AAGTCACAAGTACCTCAGGTCATTAAAATGTGTGTAGTCTGACTTGATGAAAGGGGTTGAAACTTGACCTAATGATTCATCTCTCCGTTGCTGTCATTTCCTTCTTGTCTATTCTACTCAAGAAAAGTGCTATTATATTAGCTCAGTCCAGGAAAAAGCAGCGTTTTTTTTTAAAAAAAAAAAACATAACTCATTGTCCAAAATACAGATACACAGATCAATACATTCTAGCATTCTGCCACCTAGAAGCAGCCACCATTCATGTTTTACTGTATGTGGACGGATTTCTATAAATATGTACCTCTGTTCTTCTCTTTTCCTTAGCTCGGCCCTTCGAGCGATCCACTGTCAAAAGCAGATCTTTTAAAAAGATTAATCGAGCTCTGAGTGTTCTTCGAAGGACAAAGAGTGGAAGTGCAGTTGCCAACCAAGCTGACCAGGGTAGAGAAAATTCTGAGCACACCAGTTCCCCTGAAGGTAAATGAATCCTCTGCAGGTCTGGACAAGACAGGGCCTCCAGAATTAATTCAGGGGTAATGACACCTGAGCACCACCCACTTTCTCTGACTCCCCTCCTTATGGGTAGCAAATATTTTTGTCTCCCTCCATTAGCCTATTTCTCACATAAGTAACTAAAGGCAGAAATTATTCCTCTTAGATAAAGAGAAAAGTTTTGGAAACTTTCAGGTGCTGCTGTAATGCAAATAAAGAAGAATATGTGAAAAACACTTAGAACAGTATCAGGAACGTAATAAATGTTAAGATTTTTTGTCACTGTGTCTAATGTGTGAGTCTAAGTGTTTTTCATACATTAGGTCTTTGACCTCACAATGGCCTTTTGAAATAGCTATTATTATGATACCTATTTTACAGATGAGGGAACTAAGGCACACGGAGTTTGCTTACCTTGCCCGAATTAACTTGCCAAGCTCTTGAATGCAGGCAGTGTGGCTTTAGAGCTGATAGTAATAATCATTCAAAATTAATGAGATTAGATACCGAGCCCGTAGTCACCCAGTTAGGAAATGATAGGTCTAGGAATTTAACTTGGGGCCTCTAGTTCAGAGCCCACTCTCAAAATTTACTGGGTTCTGGAGCCCACCACTCCTGTATTCGTATAGTGCCAACCTTCTGTCTTTCTTATGCCTACAGAGCATTCATGTGCAACCAGGTGAAAAATCCCTTCTTGCTTACTTATCACCCTGTACCACACATACATCATGTACTAACTACTCTGAACTTAGTGTAGTCCTGTAAATATTGTCTCTTTCTCTTATTTCTGTGCCGTGTCCAACCTGCATTCTCACATCCTTCAGCTGGCCTCTTTAATTCCTTCTCCTAGGCTCAACATAGTTTTTACCTCCTCCTTGAAGTCTTCCTGATTTCTCAGTATGCAGCGGCAGGAATGAATAAGTTCCTCCAAGTTGAGAGGGTGATTTGAGTCCAAAGAACAAAGCAAGAAGTCCATTACTCACACTTAAATTTGAACAAGGTCCAGTTAGATACAGGAGTCCTCTACATCCCAGTCAGTAAAGAGGATTTATGGTAGAGGCAATATCCGTGCCACTTACCTTGACGGGATGTTCTAATAGATCATACCCGAAGATTCTAAGCGTCCTGGATTAGAGAAACATTTATATTGTCATATACTTAAAGAACTTTGTGCAAAAGTATAGTAGAAAAAATAATGAAATACACAAATGCATCTGGTATTGAAACAAATTGGTGTCATCTGAAACACCAAACACACAATAATCCTCTAAGTAATGAGAAAAAGCTGAATAAAAAGCACAGCATCTTACAGTGATGGATAGATCTGAGGTTTTTTTTGAGGTTGCCAGTCACTTTTTTTTAAAGATTTATTTTTTAATTTATTTATGCATATAGAATTGGGGTAAGGGCCAGAGGTGTGGGGGGATAAGAGGATTCATCAGAGACAGAGTGGAACCAGAACAGGTAGACCTACTGAAATACATTGCTGAGGGGAACAGTGGGTGAGACAGAAGTCTGCTATGCTATGTGGGTCACTGCTGGCCAGGAATCAAACTCATGCCACAGTGGCTGGGGATAACCTGATAGCACTGAAACTTTAACCCTTCACCACCAGAGATCTGAATTGTGGAATTTGAAAATGGTCATGTAAAGTGTATCAGCCATATCAGTCCTGCAGATTTGATCTTGTTGACTCTGTCTCCACTTACCATGTTCCAGTGAGGCTCAGGCAACTTGTGAGGGCCTCAAGGAGCCACTTCCACTAAGCAGGTGTAGCTCTTACTGCATTCAGTGAATGTCTTCCCTCTGCACGCTCCTGGTCAGGCCAAGGTGAAGAACAGCTCCCATTAGTGCAATGGCTTATAGGTCAATAGGGCAAGTCTGCTGTGGGGCTGCCCTGGCTGTGGACCCCCTGAGGGAGCTAAAAGGAGCCCTGGATTCTGACCTGATTTCCGAGGGCCACCTAAATCTGTCACCTCCAGAGGTCATGTCATTTCCACTCGGTTAAAATGTCCTCATCCATAAAATGTCTGAGTGTCTGTCATTTTTGAGCTGCACAACCAAAGCATCTCTTCTGCATTGAGGTAGGAGGGAACCTGGGGGTGAGAGGTTCTGTGGGAAAAGAAGAATCTCAGGTAAAAGGTAAAGCTTGAAAACACCAGCCTAGATTTTTCTTAGTAGTATGTTTCTGAATTTGGGATTTGAGGCAGACCAGAGAGAAACCTCTCTTCTAGAGCATGAATCATGCCATTTTACTTCCCGTTAGTAACAAGTGTCAGGTGTAAAAAGCTGTGACTCCTGAGTTTGAAATACAGAGCCTTCTAGGAACAAATCTTCAAATGACCTGAGAAGGCTAAAGAGCAGTTTTGTTCTGTTTTGTTCCTTGATAAGCAAATAATAAAAACTTGAGGTCATCCCTTATGACCCTTCATTCACTTGTGAATTCACTCATTTCTGTTCAGTTGATGGACATCAGCTGAAGTCTACAAAGACCTGTACACACAACTATGGTACAGACAGAAAGTATGTCCGTGAGGAACTTATGAGTCCAGTGGGGGCTGTAAAAATAGGCACAAATAATAATAGAAGGCTGAGTGCTTTAAGAAATAGTTTTATGGGAAATGAGATGTGTAGAGGGATCAGGGTAGAGTTCACTAGATGAGTACACTTCTTACAGGCCTTGAAGGAAATTTTGATTGAAGCCTAAAATTCCAGGCAGAGAAACTCTGCTGTCATCACAGCAGGAAAATGGAAAACATGGATGAGAAACAATGAATAGATCAGAATTTTGTAAGAGGAGGGGCTGGAACTACCTGTTGAGTTGGTGTCATTTAGAAGTGCTGACTTTGTCTATTGTAGTCTTCCCAAGGTTATATCACCTGATTCCAGATGGTGAAGTTACCTGCATTAAGATCAATCGCGTGGATCCCAATGAGAGCCTGTCTATTCGTCTTGTGGGGGGCAGCGAGACACCCCTGGTTCACATTATCATTCAACACATTTATCGTGGTGGACTGATTGCCAGAGACGGCCAGCTCCTGCCGGGAGACATCATACTCAAGGTGATGCGTGGGGACATGGGAAGGGGCATAGTAAAAATTGCTTCAGAATAGTTGGGTAGATAGATAGGTGGGTGAAATGTTAAATGTGGAGCAGAGAGTTTCCATAGTTATGTTAATGACTTGAGATTTCTGATTTAATTGCGATAGATCTTTGTCACTCTTCTTTCCCTTTCCTGTATGCTCTCTGTACATGAATATTTCTCTATCATTTTGTCATTTCCCATCCCTCCCTCTAGTTAATTTCCACCCTTTTCTTTTCCCTTTTCTGACCTCCTTTTATTTCACCCTTCTCCTTTCTTCTTTCTACTAACTTTCTTTCCTACTTCAGGTACCAAAGTAATACATAACTAGAGCATATATTTTCTAAAGTTGTTTCTAAACAGGTTCATGAAATATTTCGCATGTTATCTAATCATGCATGTTCACACACCCTCTCAATTTCCTGTAACTAATGGTGCTACATGGAAAACATATTAGCCCTCAGCAGATTGGGAACCAATCCGGAAACCCTTCTGAGGGGTCAGTGGGGAAGTAGCTGCCTGGGGCTCTTCTGTCCTCTGATGCCTGGGGGAATGATTTAAGGAGGAATTTCCAGAAGAGAAGATAAAGGAAGAGTTGCCTATGACATAGAAGTCAAACACATGCCAAAAGGAAAAAGAATTCCCTCCCTGGTCACATATTTTCTGTGTGATACCCAGATGACCATTTTCATCCCTTCTAAGTTGCTGAGTAGCCAACATTTGACATATCATATAGTATTTCTTGGTCAAAGACCTTCTCATAGTTTGGAGTAAGAGGAGAAAGAATTGAAAGCAGTTTGGGTAGAAACACAATTCCCACCAGCCACCCACATGGAATACCAAGAGGGCCCAGCAGCCTGAGGGCTTGCTGTTAGCAGTGTGCTCACCGACACACTGCATAGCTTCCTCCCAGTTCTAGTAGAAACTCTGCTGCCTGCAAGGCGGCCTCATAAAACATGTGATTCTTATGGCCTAGATGACTCTTACTGGCAAAAGAGCTGCCAGGACTCTTTAGTAGGCCGCTTGAACCTGCTCTTGGCCTGGATGTGATGAAAGAAACCAGGCCCAGGTCTAGTGGACTTCAAGCTCACCTGCTTGGACAAAGGAGCTGAATCTTGCCTGTGCATGGGGGAACCTCCACCCTTCCCTGGAGACACAGCAGACACCCATGATTGTAAGTTGCAGGGAGGCTTTTTAAAATCTCACTGCAAGGCTCTCTAGCAATTGGCTGCAAGTGCAAGAAATCTTAACCATAGAATCCAAGAAGGTTGTTTCCTTCTATGGGGCTCTGTCCTTAAGCACAGAGCTCAGTGCTGCTTCCAAAGCAGCCTCCACCATGGTGGGGGCAGGGGGAGGAAGTATTGCTCAGAGTAATTAAACCCACAAGTGTACACAGCATCAGTCCTACAGGTCATGAATGAGGCACAAATGAGAGGGCCCAGCCAGCGTCACATAACCTAGTGATCAGATCTTTCAATAAAAGTGCCTAGAAACTTCCATTCAACCTGTTGGAAAGTGAGATTTTCTTCTCATTTTGTTAAAATGGTACATAAGACTATCTCTCAAGACTTCACACACACGTACACATATGCAGTCTTATCACTCACATATTCATACACTTGTCAACATACAAACACGTTCATGCACTTGCACGCACAAACATACCACCCATCTCTCTCTCTCTCTCTCTCTCTCTCATACATACACACACTCTCTCTCCCGCCTAAGTAGAGAGGCCTAGAACTTCCAGTAGGGATGAGCCAGAATGAAAAGTTAATCTGGAGATGTTTGAAAAGAAACTGTCTGCTCAGTCTGATTGGAACTATTGTTGAAGGTCATCGTTCGAGCTCAATGGGAAATTTTCTTCTTTTGCCTTTTCCTATTTTTCTCCCTCCCTCACTTGAGAATAAGCTCTGCAAACAATAGAACCGAAACGGTGAAAAGACGGTGTCTACTCAGAGGTAGAAAGGGGGTGCAGGTGACCCCCCAAGAAAACAGGGTTAGAAGGAAGGTTGGGTGATGGGGACACCAGGTATTTGGATGCAGACCAAGGCGACAGCACAGTGGCCTATTAGGAGGGGGTGTGGCAGGTGGGCTGGTGGCCCAGTGGCTACAGGTTCTGAAGCCCCCACCCCCCAGGTCAACGGGATGGACATCAGCAACGTGCCTCACCAGTACGCCCTGCGGCTCCTGCGCCAGCCCTGCCAGGTCTTGCGGCTGACCGTGCTCCGTGAGCAGAAGTTCCGAAGCAGGAACAACGGACAGACGCTGGACTTCCATGGACCCCGGGATGGCAGTTTCCATGTGATTCTCAACAAAAGCAGCCCTGAGGAGCAGCTTGGAATAAAACTGGTGCGCAAGGTGGACGAACATGGCGTGTTCATCTACAACATGCTGAATGGGGGCGTGGCTGACCGACAAGGCCAGCTAGAGGAGAATGATCGCGTGTTAGCCATCAATGGACACGACCTCCGAAACGGCAGTCCAGAGAGCGCAGCTCACCTGATTCAGGTGGGTCACGGGTTTTTCCAGGATCCAAGTTAGAAACTTGGTGTGAGCGGTGATGCTCGTTGTCTTGACCTGTACAGCACAGTACCTCTCTTGTAAGACATCAGCATGGAAGGGCCAGGTAAGAGCATTACTCAATCAAATGATGTACCTGAAGCCACGAATGTTCCTTAGGTGTTGCCAGCATACAGTCTGATAGCAGGTAAGCATGTGTGCTTCAGCTCCAAGTTATGATCACTCAAGGTCAACAGGGTTGTGTTATCCTGTGCTTGGTGTGTCTGTCTCAGACCTAGAGATACAGGGATACAGTCTAGGCACATCCAGGACCACCAGTTGTACTGACTCCCTGGAGAAGCTCTGCAGTGCCCCCTTCAGGGACCCTGTGCACAGAGACCACCCGAGGGTTTGCCAAGGCTCAGCGATATCTCCTTGACACCTTGGAAAGCCCAGGGGGACTCAATCATGGACCAGATGGAAGCCCCCCCTAATTATTGATCATTCAAGCAAATAAAGAGCCCAACATCTGGACTTTGCTTCGAACTAATCACACTCTCAGCCAGTGAGATGATATTAAGCCCCAACATGCATCGTGTTAGCGCTGGCTGGATCAGTAGGAGTTTTTATGATATTCATAGTTGCCAGCTTTATTCTCAGAGGGATAGGCTTTATCCTGGCCTCTTGTATTTAAGCCATTCTTCACTTTATTTAGTTCAAATATTTGTTGGATGAACAAACTAAGTCAAATTATAAATATGTAAATTACACAGAGCATAACTTACAGATTAATTCCACCTCATAGGATCTGTTGTCAAATCACTCACAAAGCCCACACCAAATTACTTCTTACATGCCAGTTCCCCCCAAAATAGGATCTTTACATTTTGTCCTTTGAATTTGTCCACTTATTTTTTGTTGAGTATTTTCTATGTGCCAGGAGGAGTGTAGCACAGCAGTGAACAAGACCAGCACAGTCCTGGCTTCATGGAGCTTGCAAGATAGTTCCATCTCTTTTCTCAAGTACAGTCAGGCAAGCAGTAAGCAGATGGCTATAGCCTGTATGTGCCAGCGAGTGAGACAATGTTATCCAATAACATTGGAACAAAAAATGCTTTTCTATTTTTCTTCCTTTTTTGCATGAAGCATGATTTTCTTTTCTCCCTTTAAAAATTAGGCCTTTAAAAAATACCACATGATTTTCTCTCATAGCAGGAATATAATGGAACAGGCAAGAAAATAATGATAATGATGAACAGCTATATACCAGAGACATTTTGTGGGGTGGGGAATGGGATCAAAAATGGTGGGGGGAGGGAAATGCATTGGATTATGGTGAGGGCACATGGGTGATTTGGTGATGGGAAACCCAAGGGGGTTGCAACTGAGATGGAAAAATGCATAAAATGATGTAAAAATTAACTATTTAAAAAAAAACCTCAAAAAAAATTAGGCCTTTAGGCGATCATCAGTTGTGTATGTTAATTCATGTCGACTCCCTCTGCAGGTCCATCAGTACAACTCATATTCTAGAGCTAATCTGCCAACTGTACTTGGCAAGGGTAAAAGAAAAACTCCTTTACTCACCTCATTTGGGAAATTTTTGCTTACATATAGCATTATACATTTGTATATTAATAACAGAAGAGGAGCACACATTTCCCTGAGAAAGTTTGTTTACAAGAGAAAATCTTGCCCAATAGTGGAACTTGCTTAAAGATGCCTCTGCTCATTAAACAAACCTGATGTGCTTTGTAAGCAGCCAGTTTGGGCAAGGCTCGTTGGAAAAGAAATGGAAAAAGTAGAATGCTGGGAAAACTCAGTGAAGCAATCTCAAGAACAGATTTTATTTATGTGATACTTGTAACACACACCAGACAGGCGGATTAAACTAAATACTCTTCAAAGGTTGAGACTCAAATTTCCAACCAAGCCTTAGCTACAGTGGCCTGTTGTCTACTCTATGAATCATAGTTACCTTACAAAGAAATTCCCAGACAACATGTCCTCTTGGTTATATTTTTTCTCATAGTACCACACATTCTGCCCTTTCTACATTATTTCATTGAAAAGTTATTACAGAGAACCCACAACTGTTTTAGATTTGACCAACTTTACATATGTGGAGCTCTAACCTCAGCTTACAGCAAATCCGAGTACCCCAGAGTCACACAGATCGAGAGTCAGAAACTCCCAGGAGACAGGAGCTTCAAATAGGGGCAGCTGACTTACCGTAGCAACGTAGTGCAACGTTACCAATTAAGCTTTTTTGGGTTTTTTTAAGCACCATTATTCAAATAGTTGCATGAAAGAGACAGCTTTCTGAAATTGTCCATGTATACCTCAAATAATTGTGCAGATTTGAGACCTTTGGAGAGGGAAGATTCAACTTCCCAAACCTCTGAGAATCAAAATATATCTGTCCATAGATCACGATGAAATGATTTACTCTGAGACATAGCTATTGGAGGATTACTCATCAGCAATTCTGGATCAGAGAATTCATTTATTTAGGAATTCAAATACATACAGTTAAAGAGAATAATGATGGCTTTCACATTTGAGTGTTTCTTGTATACCATTTGTATCCTAGACAACTCCTAGACTTAATGCAGAAACTGAAAAAAATTCAAAACCATTTGTAGAGGTGAAGGTGAGAGGGTTTTCATTAATACTGATATATGATTTCCCACACATGAATTAATATTTAAAGACCTTCATTAAAGAGAAACTGACAATTAGCCTTTTCAGTCTGAAGAAGAATCTGATAGGCCTTCAGTCAGAGCCAGAGGCAAGGCATGGGTAGCTCGGTTTGTTGTAATGTGTGACTCCAGCTCATGAATTCTACACACCTGGATGAAAACACAACTCTTTGGTAATTTCAACAGTCAAGTTCCCTGGAGCCAGTAAGCATGGCCGGTGAAATAAGACTTGATAGATCTGTGTTTTGGTTTGGTTTGAATAGATTGGCACAGTTAATACAGAATCAAATTCCCATTCAAACAAATTTTCTTCGTGTGGTATTATAAATTTAATACACATAGACTACATATATTTTAAAACATTCTTCTGGAGCTGAATAGTCTTAAAGTCCAAATGATTTTTATGTAGGACTTCAAATTTCACACATTCATGATAAAGCATGAATTAGTTAGCTGCAGCTTTTCGGCTTATGTACAGCAACACAATACCAACACTAAGCAATCCGAAAACCTCTCTGCCCTTCCTGAGACCTATACAGCCACTCCGCAGGCGTGGTTTTGATTTGTTTGTTTTTACCAAGGGGAGTAGGTATGGGAGTAACGTACTTAGGCCAGGAGTTGGGTTCTCCTGCTTACCCGGTGATGAGCAGACTCAGGCACCCTACTAAATTCTCATTGTGACCTTGTCACTGACCTCTCTCTATGATAAATCAGACAATCATCACCTTTCATGTCTTTGACCTTAAAAGGTGCACCTCTGGGAAGGTGAGGATGAGTGTGATCTACAGTTTAGTGGGGAAACAGACTAAGTGCAGTGTCAGTTCTCCTTCTCCACCCAAGTCAAATCCAAGGCCCTCGTCACCTTTTCCTCAAAGCCTCCTTCATCTCCTTTTCCCACGGCCAGACTTGTAGCTCTTAGTTCCCCAGAGTGGCTGCTGCCTCTCCAGTAGATAATGGTCTCAGGTTCTATGGTAGGTATTGAAGTTTCCATAGAGAACTGATCACTGTACATCATATTTGCACTCACAGTCCTCATTATACAGGGAATATCGATTCACAGCACCCCATTAACTCACTCTGAAATTATATTTCTAGAGCCCTTGACTTTTTGCCTAATGAGAGCTTTCTTTTTAGCCATGTTTCTCCTGCTCACTGGAAGAAGGGTTAGGGCAAAGACTTTGTCCTCCCACCTCACTGTATAGTCTGCGGCCATGTCAACAGGAATGACTGACTTTGCTGTTCTCCTGGCTGGTGTCGGTCACCCTGTTCTAATGCCTTCTGAGGTCTGTGTGTCAACCCCTACCTCAGAACTGTTGGGATACGTTCCATAGAGGGGTCTTGAGAATTGCCTTTCAATGGGTAATGATGAAAATGGATGCCAGTCTTGAATTCTTAGGCAGAGAGCCAATCTCTAATGTACATATATGAAATGGCAAAATGGGAACTCCATCAGTGAGGTTTTGGGTGAACCTGGTCGGTCACAGCTATTCATTGCTGGTCATACCAGAATTTCTAAAGCCCTTGGCTAGAACTCTAGGCAAGTAAGAGAATCGCAAATTTAAGCTCAAACTAAGGGTAAACTTTCTAATTAGTGCTATCTGAAAATGGCTACAGGGAGCTTGCTTTCATTGAAGGCACTGAAGCATGAGCAGAAATTGCTTCGGGGGATTGAAGCATGGGCCACAGAGAAGCTGTTGGATTAGCTGATGCCTGACATCTCTTCCATGTCTACAACTTTCTAATTTGTCTTTTTAACATTTATTTTTGCATACAGAACTGGGGTACAGGCCAGAGATTAGGGGCAGTGAGAGGCTTCACCAGAGACAAAGTGGGGAACAGAACAAGCAGATCAAGGAAGTACACTGCTGAGGGGAGCAGCGGGTGGGTCAGGAGAGGTCTGCCGCGCCATGTGGTCACCTACGGGGCAGGCGGGAATCGAACTCATGCGGAAGCGGCTTTAGATTCTCAGTGCTGTGCTTTAACCCGCTACGCCACCAGGGAGGGCCCAACTTTCTAATTTTATGGACCAAGTGTTCCTCAACTTGCTAGTGCTTTGTGGGCACAAGATGGATGATCATTCTTGAGCAATTGCCAGAAGAGAAGCTAGAGTAGGGCAACCCCAGAGAACCATTCCCACAAGTGTAGACTGAAAATTAATTAGCATAAGATTGCCTCACCCTGGGTCATTGGGGGAAAGGCCAGTAGGAAATGCAGGCACTGCATGATTTTATTCTAAAGATAATGGTCATTGAACCCTCTGATGTTGGTGGGTGGTAGCCTAAGAATTGCATGTTATAAAATTCAACTGAAGTTCTCAGTCTGTAATAATCCAGTCACACACAGGTCTCCTGTGCCATGAAGGGTGTATGTGTAGGCTGTCTTTGTTCTGGGCAGCAGACTCATGCCAGCAGCAGTTTGTAGTCTCTGTTTGAACAGAATAATTCCCTCTGGCCCTGAGGGGAGATTGTGTGTGATGGCTCTTGGAGTCCATACAAAAGAATGCAATAAGCAAACTGACTGGACCCAGGTGACTTACAGTGTAGTCAACATTTAAGCATATGCTATCTGGTATGATACATTTTGTTTAATTCCAGTCCTCCTTTCCGAGTGACCAGGTGAAACCCTTGGCTAGATGAGCAGTTCACACCTTGAATTGCAGTTGCTCTATCTGCTCTTGGTCTGCCCTGGTTATCTCACCTCTCTGCTCTGTGAAGTTTACTGGTCCTTGTTGCGTCTTGACTCTATGGGAAGTTCTTACCAGCCGTAGTGAATTCTGTAGGGAAAAGAGGATTCCCAGGCTAAGCACTGTGGAAGAAAATGCTTGCCCTGGAAAGGAGAACTCCTGGACTCCTTTCAGCTAGGATATGAGATCTTAGTTTTAAATGGCTAACATGCAAATCGGCACCTGGGCCATGGTTCTCTCCTGTGACCTTTGCTTATTCCTGTCATACAAATATTTCTAGTGGTTTAGAGTCACTTATCAGAGAATAAGTCATTAAGCAAAGCGATGAAAATGGCCTTTGCATGAAAAAATCTACTTAGTTTTAGCCCTCTGGTTTAGTCTGCACATTAGAACTTTCCCATTAACTGGGCTAGAAGTAACTGATCCCACTCCTGGAGACTCTTCCCTGTGCCACTCATATCTTTTAAGGTTCCTGGTTGTTCCTGAATCAGGACAAGCTTCCTAAGGGCAGGGGCCACATACCAGGCTGTTGTGTAATGCCTGGCCCCAGGAGGTCAGCTCTAGCACAGAATGTCTGTAGAGAAAGAAGCCTGCAGCCACCTTAGAGCTACTGGAGGTTCTCAGAGCCCCACCCCCTGAACCCATAGAAAGGAGGGCGGGATTTTAATGTTGGATTCTTGGAAGACAAAGGACAGCATAGCAGAGCCATCACGCTCTGCAGATTGTGACCGCTGTGTCCAGAATATGCCTGGATCAAAATGTAGTGTTTAATGGATAAGGAGAGGTGAGCTCACGTGAAAGGGGTCTGACAGGTACCACTGGTGAACAGGACTCCTGCCCGCAAAGCTTCTTCCCTAGAGCAGTGAGAAGAGATGGCCCTAAGTCTGCCCTGGAGCCACCTCTTATCTTGACTTCTGTTATGGAAATGCCAAGTCAGCCACTCCTGGTGCAGATGTAGGAAATAAGGTTCTGCTTTTCTCTCCTTCAGTCTTTCTGTCTCCCTCCCCCCCCACACTCAATCTACATTCACCCCCGACTCACACCAGTGGAAAGACAGACGCTTGTGTTCAGAGCTGTTTCTTGACACTAAATCCAGCTGCTCCTGTGAGTTGAAGCCAGGACAAACACATTAGGTCGTTTTCCACCTCACGTCTTCAAATGCTCAGAAAGAAAAAGCATTAAATACTCTCCCTGTGAGCCTTTTACTAGGTGACTGGTAAGCATCACAGATCCAGACCAGCAGAAAATTTATTTCCAAGTAAATTGATACCAGAGTTATTTATTGGAGGAGTATTCCTGCCAACAACTTAATACTAAAAGTTGGCATTTGAAAATCCAGTAAGAAAATCATGCTTGAAAATGTGAATTAAATAGCTCTTGCAGGCTATTCCTTGGCATTTTGGACTTGTCTGGCCAGTTAATTCAATAGGTCTCAAGTTTCCTCTGTTCTTACGAGGCACTTTGGCCATGCGACCGCCTCTGGTCCCCAATGAATGTGATACAGTTCATGCACCTGGAGACAACACCCCCAGCGGCTCCCTCACAAATTGGGGCACAGCAGTGGAAGTGTTGATCTGAATGTGTGCTGTTTTTTAGTATTTTTTCTTCTGAAAGTTTCCAGAGATAACCTCATGAGGGTGAGGCTGGCAATACAGAGAGAGAGAGTTGGAAAATGCCCTTGCAAGGATACAGTTTAATGGGCTCACAACGGCCAAGTCCATCTCTGCTGTGGAGGTGACTAGTCAAGTGCCCAGGATGAAGACATTGACCCTGTTACAGCCACTCTGTGCACCTTCTTCATGCCCAAGCCCAGTTTCTCCTGAGGTCCTTTCTAATCAAATCAGTCAACTGTTACGAAAGTGATACGTGAAGTCACCGGTGACTTCAGACTGAACTGTCAGGGAGAGTCATGTCCATTTCACTGGTCCAAGGTGCATCTAGCCTGTCTGTTCTGCAGATCTGGAACCTGTACAGAACTGCCCCAGAGTTCTGGTGTGGAGTGGACTTTTTCAGTAAGCAGTATATTTGCTACTAGGAAAGCTCTCTTCAAGTATCAATGTACATAGCAAAGAGGACTAGTGGTCACATAAAAAATAAGGCTTGTGAGAAACTAGCAAGGCATCCCTAGATTTGGGGTGCTCCTCCTTTCTAGCCCAAATGTTTGAGCTGGCTGAGACAGGATTTCCCTTCTTGTGGTGGTGGTGCTGTTGCCACTAATTGCATTTCCTGTTCTTACTGTTAACCTTTGATCTTAGACCTTCAGCCTGGGTTCTGGACTGTGCTCTCATGCACCACCCACCTTACTCTATCTGAACAGTCTTTCAGGAGCAGTTTGTGTGATGAAGCCATCAGCCATTCATTAAATACAAATTTGCCCTTTCAAAGACCCTTGCATGAGTCAGGTTTTCCTTAGTTTTTCTTTTGTAGCAATGTTCACAACCTGATCTAAGGATAAAGGAAATAAGTCCTGTTTTTGGCAAATTACAGAATGGGCACTGCCAGACAAAAATAAAAGAAACCTTTTATTTCCATTAAAAAAAAGAAAAGTAAAACCAAACTAAGTTCTGGTGCTGGATGCTTTAGATGGAATTTCTGAGAATAGCTAAAATAGCTAAATACCTGTTTTCGTCATCCAGGCCAGTGAAAGGCGTGTTCCCCTCGTCGTGTCCCGCCAGGTGCGTCTACAGAGTCCCTGCATCTTTCAGGAAGCCGGCTGGAGCGGCAGCAGCAGCCCGTCCCCGGGGCAAGAAGACAGGAGCAACATTGTGAAGGTGAGACCCAGCCGGGGCCTGTCCACAGCTCCTGCGGAGAGCTTAGTCTGGGAGCCTGTTTACTGTAGCATTTCTAAGTGTGATCTCTGGACTTCATCACTTAAAATACTATTTGACTTGTCTTGCAATGCTAACAGGGTCCACGGTTAGGACCTGGGAAGACATCAGGTGCACCTCATCCCAGTAGGAGAGAGGAAGGGACAGGGAGTCCCGAAGCCTGACCTTCCAGAGCATAGATGTGGACCTCATGGCTAGTCTAAGTCAAACAGATGTCTTGTTTTTCCAACAGTCATTTTGTTTAAAGACTGTTTTCCATCCACTTTGAAATGAAATAAGAGGTCTGCTTGGTTTCTGGTCTTTGAAGATCCCAGTCTGCCTGAAAATTAAAATAATGTTCCCCTCCTATTTTTAGAATGTTTTTGCAGAAGGGCCCAGGAAGATACTGTAAAAACCCTTGAAGGCCTTGTGACATTAGGGAGTGTTGGAGATTGTGGCACACTAGGGAGGACATGTCTCCTTTTTTTTTTTTTTTTAAGATTTATTTATTCATACAGAACTGGGGTACAGGCCAGAGATGCGGAGGGTGAGAGGATTCACCAGAGACAGAGTGGGGTGCAGAAGAGGCAGATTGACAAAGTACACTGCTGAGGGGAGCAGCGGGCGGGTCAGGAGAGGTCTGCCTCGCCATGTGGTCACCTCCGGGGCAGGCGGGGATCGAACTCATGCGGAAGTGGCTTAAGCTTCTTTGTACTGTGCTTTAACCCGCTGTGCCACCTGGGAGGGCCGGACATGTCTCCTTTTAAGATATTCAGTTTCAGGAAAATGTGTTAACACTGCATGAAGCAGAATACCACCTGCAGGTGGAATCCATCTTTCAGGTTGGCATTTTGCAAACTCTCCGTAAGGTGACTCAGCTCCATTTGTACTTCTGTTTATGATCAGTGCTTTAATTCCTTCAGTTGGGTGGGTATCTGAGCAACACAAGCCTCGTTTTAGAACAAATTCCAGGTCCTAGAGTCTTAACTTAGCATTGTATTGTGATGGCAGTTAGTTTCAAGCCACCATTTCCCCAGGGATCTGTTTTCATTACATCACTTGTCTTTGGAAAAAACAATCTCATTGATAGCCCATTCTTCTTGCAACAGAGATTAGGGAATGCTTACCATGCTCTGGGCTCTACTTCCATTCAGGATAACACAAGTAGTTTTTGACCAGAGCAGGTAGAAGCAATAGTCAGACTCTTGATTCTGGAAGATCTCTGCTTTTTGCACCATTAATTTCACAGCCTACATGGTGACATCCATCTCCTTTGTCCAGTCAGCCAGGCCTCGTAGACCTGTAAATCCAAGTTTATTTACAGTAAGCAATCTAGGCAAATCAGGTACATCCTGCTAGAACATTTTATGGTTAAGGAAATTGTAATTTTCTTTTTAATTTATAGTTCTGTTGACCTTCCAAAATAACCCTCCTACAAAAAAAGGGGCTAGGTAAATCTCAGGGCTCTTTGATTTCTTTTTGTAATGATCTCCCAAAAGTTTTATTTGATTTAGGAATAACATGAGTGGTAGGGGCTTCAATGATCCAAAGAAATACCAAAGAAGGCCAATCAGGAAATGTGGGACAGAAAATCTTTTAGTCAATTGAAAGCTATGGAGGAATCAAATTTAGGAGCACATTACCTTAGTGGGAGGAAAAGGGAATGGACCAGTGAGAAGTCATGGAGGGACGTCACTGTGCATTGTGATACTGGATTGCATGGGACATGGGTAGGTCAGGATGTTTCATCTTCGTACTAGTTTTAAACATCTAGAATGTTTTATTTACTTGTTTATTTATGCATACTGTACTGGGGTACAGGCCAAAGGTGCAGGGGCAGTGAGAGGATTTACCAGAGACAGAGCGGGGAGCAGAACAGGCAGATCGATAAAGTACACTGCTGAGGGGAGCAGCGGGCGGGTCAGGAGAGGTCTGCTGCATCATGTGGGTCACCTCCAGGGCCAGGGATTGAACTCCACTGAAGTGGCCATGGCCAGCTTCACAGTGCTGTGCTCCAACTCGCTGTAACACCAGGGAGGGCCCTAGAATGTTTTATTTTTAAAAACCCAAATGTTGTATGCTGTATACATTTTTACAGCCAACTGTCATGGTACACAGGTGCCCTGACTTTGCACTCTGGTGGGGCAGGCACATGGCTCTGGGAGACACAGGACACCTGTTTTTTTCTGTTTGTTTGTTTTGTTTTGTTCTTTTAAAGATTTATTTATACATACAGAACTGGGGTACAAGCCAGAGATGCGGAGGGTGAGAGGATTCACCAGGGACAGAGTGGGGTGCAGAACAGGCAGATCGACGAAGTACAGTGCTGAGGGGAGCAGCGGGCGGGTCAGGAGAGGTCTGCCGCGCCATGTGGATCACCTGGGACAGGGATCGAACTCATGCTGAAGTGGCTTTAGCTTCTCAGTGCTGTGCTTCAACCCATTGCGCCACCAGGGAGGGCAGTCACTGATCAGTTTTTAAATGTTGAAATGTTTTGCCTGGCTTGACTCATTTAAGCAGATAGCAACATTTCTAACCTTTTCCTAAAAGTGTCTTGCCAGTCAGTGCATTACCCAGACAAATTTTTTTGTTGCAATAAAACTGGGAAAGCCAGCGTCACTCCTGAACTATTTCATGACATAAAGTGGCTGCTTTCAAATGAATACATTCATCTCAAATGAATGCATTGGTAATACATTTTTTTTTAAGTAAAATGTTCCCAGATTAAAGTCCTATCTTCCTGTCAATTGCATTTCTTTTAGCCATGACAATTGCTGTTCATTGGGCATTCTTACTCATTTCACAGGGAAAGTCAGCAGCTCAAATGATAATGAAAATCTCCAAAATCATTACTAGAAAGCCAATTCAATGATTAGACTTTCCTTCCTATCTGGAAAAATATTGTAAATGATGATAAAACTCAATACTGGAAGAGTTGTAGGAAACTGACACTTTCACAATATGTCGGTGAGATTATACAAGAGAGAGAACAGTTTCAATATCAATTTAAACATGTAAAATGCTCAGACTCTTTGATTTAGCAATTGTACTTTCAGGACATGAGCCTAAAGAAATATTTACACAAGTGCACAAGATATGTGTGTCTAAGGATGTTCACAGTGACAATGTTTAATTTTGCAAGCAACTGTAAACAACCCAGATGGTCATCCATGGAGGAAAGGACACAGCTCCATCCTGAAGCACTAGGCAGCATAGAACTAGGGCAGTAAGTAGGAAGGTGGATGGGTAGATGATAGACATACATTATATATAATACCTGTGTGTGTAGATATAAAAGGTGTATGTATTTTAATATGAACAGATGACCTTGCTTTCCATGGCATTCTATACTGTGTTATTTTTAAATGAGATGTCACCATCTTGGGAAATTAGTCCAATACCCTACAGTATCCCAAGGCCCCATGTGGAAATGATGGTGTTAAGTCCTTTGTGAGAATCAAAAGTAAATGCTTCAGAAATGGCAGCAGGAAGGATTTGAAGTGACCCGGATCTGGTGGCCGGAGTTGGAGACATTGTGTAGCTGCTTTGCCAGCTGGGCTCTTTCACAGGTGTCTGTGATCGTGTCCTGAGTCTAATTGCTTTTCAGAAGGGAAAAGTCATGTGCTGAGAATGACCCTTGAGAGTCCCTCTGGACTTACTCCTTGGCCTCAGAATGTTAGAACTTCTGTATTCATGTGGTTCTATATTTGTCTGATTTTGAAGCTTTAAGAAAAGTTCTGTTTCTCTTTTATAACCCTCATGTCATAACCAGACTCTTCAAGGCTCTTCCAGTTTCTGGGGTTTATATCTGAACATAACCCAGATCTTACGAATAGTCATTATAGAATCTGTTAATCTACTAATTATTTATAATTTATGATTTACTCTTCTGTCATTAGCAGAAAACAATTTGTGGCAATTTTCAATTATTCACTCCTTCATTTTATTTGACAAACGTGTATTTCCATATTCAGTGAGCTAAGTGCTAAGTTCAGTGTTGGGGGCCACAGTAACAGGCCATGACTATATACAAGATCATTAAATTAGACAGGGGTAATTTATTTATTAATCATAAACTCGTTTTTAAAATTTTTTTATTTTTTTTTCCTTACATCATTGTAGTCCCCATAATTACCCTGCCACCGTATCACCAGTGAGCCATCACCCTGTTTGACATGGGTAATTTGAAACAAAAGGAAAACATGAGATAACACATGCCCAAAAAGCCAAAGCTTATCTTCATAATGCAACATTAAAAGTTTACTCTGTATGCAGGCAATGGTTCTTTATGATGTCAGCCATCAAATTTGCATCAGTTCTGTTGTTATTTAAATAGATGATCTGTTTATTTAAACAGGTGATATATATCCAGAAATCAAACTCTGGCATTGATATATTTAGAAGTGTCTGCTCTGCTCAGTTCCTACCATCTACCCCCATGAAACCACTTTATATTCTTTATGCAAAGTGCAAATACCAATTCTCATCTCCCTTTTTTAAACTAAAGGTTGTGTCTGTGTGTGTGTGTGTTGGTATGTGTGTGCCTTTTGCCTGTTTATTTTTATGGTTTATGGTTTGCCATCTACATCTTTAGTCCAGAGTTAATTTTTGTGTATGGTATAGCTGCATGTCACATAGAATTGCTGAGAAAAGCTGCCAACTGGAGAGAACCTAGGTATTGGCATTTTCAGGGTATAATTCTAGATGAAATCCATTTTTCTCGGGGGATTTCTAAAATTAACTTTCTGCATAAATTAACATAGATCCATTTAAAATATAGTTATTTTTTCCTTCACTTAGAAAATTCTTGATATTCATGAATGGCAAGTGTTAACACTGACTCGTTACTATCAGGAATAAGTGAATCACTTGAAAACTACTGGGTATAGTTTACTTTGTTATGTTTAGGATTTCTCCAGGGATCTCCATCCTCTCCTTCCATTTTTACTGGTCCTGTTTGCAATGTTATCTTCCTCTGAGTCACCCTATATAGCATTTAGGAGAACAGAACTTTCAGTGGTTGGGGGTGGAAGGGCAAGGAAAACAAGACAAGAAAGCTCTCTGCTTGTCTCGCTCAGAGACCAAAGGCCATCCTTGCACATTGATGTGACTTGGGTAGGTTTTGTAAGTAGGAAATGCAGATCCGCCTGTGAATAAATGTGCCACGTTTGTTTTTCTGTCTGTGCCTTCAGCCCCCTCACCCCACCATCACTTTTCACGAGAAGATGGTAAGTGTCCGAAAAGACCCCAGTGAATCTCTCGGCATGACAATTGCCGGGGGAGCATCACATAGCGAGTGGGATCTGCCTATCTACGTCATCAGTGTTGAGCCTGGAGGAGTCATAAGCAGAGATGGAAGAATCAAAACAGGTAAAAAGTAGAGAGACTGAAGGGCCTGGAACAGTGAAGGGAGTTGGCCACCTGCCCGGTTAGGCTTCTGTTTCCCAAACTGACAAGAGGTGTGAATCGGCCTGTCACCTGCTACCTGCTAACCATTGTTGGTTAAAGAGATGTTAGGGAGAGAGTCTGAAATTATGCAGTGTATGGGAATGGACCTGCCCATAGAGGGTGTTTCATCAGTGGCAGCTATTACTTTTGCAGTGTCTAGAAATGTTAACTTTCTATGTCTTGAAGAACACAAGTCCAGCTCATTTTTTCTTCCCGTTGTAGACTCCTCTCCCAGGCACACTCATGAGTAACTTTTTTTCATTCAGTCTATAGCCAGGTGCCTGCCGCATCCCAGGCTCTGTGCGTAGCTGTGAGCTTTTGTCAGGTGGTCTCCCTTTGTGCTAAACCCAGGAAACACCAAAGGAAGGCAGTAGTAGCTATGTGATCAAAGAGTATTAAGACTGAGTTGTCTTCCTTGCTTCCTGCCTTTCTTCACTTCCTTTTTTTTTAAGGCCAAATACCAACAGGTATGCTTTAGAAATCTACAGACATGACTTACCTGATTCACAGTTCCCATGAGGCCCCACATCAAAGCAGGCAGCTGATGCAATGCCCCCACCCTGCCGCCTGCCTGCCCCGTCAGCCCCTGCCACCATCAGTTCTTGCCCCTTTGACCTTGAAGCAGAAGTTCCCGTGCTTGCTCACTAACGATGACCTCTGCTTCTCTGGCCGTTAGGTGATATTTTGTTAAATGTGAATGGGGTTGAACTAACAGCGGTCAACCGGAGTGAGGCAGTTGCCTTATTGAAAAGTACATGCTCCTCTGTGGTACTTAAAGCTTTAGAAGTCAAAGAACATGCACCCCAGGAAGACTGCAGCAGCCCGGCAGCCCTGGACTCCAGCCACAACATGGCCCCCCCTGGAGACTGGTCCCCTTCCTGGGTCATGTGGCTGGAATTACCCCGGTGAGTCCCAGTATTGTTACATCCTTGGGGTGGGGGGAAGAAACAGTTCTATTGCTTAGACCACTCTTGTGCTCTCAGGCTGACTCATGAACTAGCATGTTAAGGAGACCGGGCTTTCCCGTGGAACTATTTGAAACAATTCTGGCTTCTCTTTTGTAGCTCAGAATGCATGCAGAAACCCAGGGCCTGGCGAGAGCCTGGATAGGGAAACGCCCGCATTCCTGCTGAGAGGCTGGCAGGGCTGCTGTGCCTGGTCCTGTCCATTGCTGCTGCAGCAGGGAGCTCAGCTGACAGGGGGAAAGTGCTGAAATCCAGCCTGTGCATAACCCTGGTGCAGGGAGAGGTTCACCTTTCCCAAGTTTGCTCACAGAAGCCCTAGGAATTTGCACAGAGGAGGACTTGCCTCTGTGGTCTCACCTCTTCAGTGTCAGGGTTGCCCTGACTAACCATAAGGCAGTGCACAACACTTTGCCGTCATCCCAGTGGTTGAGCATGTGTTGAAGGGAGGACATGTGTAATTTCCTGTCCTTGGTTCCTGAAAAACTTTTGTATTTAAAAACTCCAAGAGTTAGGATCTCCCTGGTGGCCTAGGAGTTAAGTCTCAGTGCTCTTGTCTGAGTCTGATCCCCCACCGGGAAGCTGACCCACATGGCAACAGCAGACTGCTGCTCCCCTTCACAGTGTATTCCAGTAAATCTTCCAGTTCTGCTCCCCACTGTGTCTTTGAATTTTCTCACCCCCCAGCCCTCTGGCCTACACAAAAAACCAACTTCAAGAAGCAGCTGGATTGACATTTTACTGAGATGAACTAGAGCCTTTTAGGCAATTGATGCTCTATTAGGTAGCTCTATTAGGTAGCAATATGGGAAAATTATGTGTTCAAAAGACAGATAAATTAGGAGTTGCTCACATGCATCAGAGCATAAACTCTTAGCCTTCAGAGTTGCCTTACTAATTCCAAATGCCCGATTTAAATGTTAAGTACTAGAGTCGCTGGAGATGGCACGCTGGCATTGGAGGGAAGGAAGGCAAGATGTTTGGTTTCAGTACTTTTTTTTGGAAGGTAGAAATGCGTCAGTCTCGTTTACTTTTTTTTAACTTTAAATGAGGTTCCAAAAAATCCCTGCCTCAAATACCAAATGACCTAATTATTTAAAAAAAATTAATACCTTTTTAAACCAGTTGAAAATTAAGCATAGAAGTTTTAAAATCTTTAAACATTTTAGAACTGAGCCAGGGCAGTAGAGCATAGTGTTCCTTGAACAAAAATTTTTGTTTTGTTGTTTTTAAATTAACTGGCATCTGTTCAAGTAGCTTTTAAAATGTCTTGTGCTTGAAAGCTACTCTGTCATATAGTCCACGTTCCTTGCCATCCACTTGCGTAGGGCAGGAAGACTGTGAGGCCCTCTCAGGCCCAATGCAGCCAGGCGCCTGGCCCCTCCCTCCACCCTTTGTCACTTGGTCGGGCTTAGAGGCTGCAAGCTTGTAGCAGATATAGTCTGGTTTTTGCTTGCTTCCTTTAAAAGAAGATGAGAAAGGAAGTGTGAGATGATGCTCTGGGTTTTAGTCACTCTGGTCATTCTTTGTTCTCTCCATTCTTCCTTTTCCACAGTAATGGAAGTACAGTTGAAATGTAGGGGCCACCAGGATGCAGGCCTGCCTCTCAGCCCACCCACTCAGAGGTTATCACTGTGACTAATTCCGTGTGTATCTTTCCAAGGAGTGCCTACGTCAGGGGTTAGCAGACTTGTTCAGGAAAGATCGGAGCTTAGGATCGCAGTCTGGCAGCTATTCCTTTCTGCTGATGACGCAAGAAAGCAGTCACACATAATTTATGTGAATGAGCCCGATTGTGTTCCCATAAAATTTTATTACAAAAACAAGTGATGTGCTGCAATTTGCTGCCCCTTTGTGTGTGTTGTGTACACACACACAAAAAATGGTAAGGTACACTTTAAGACTATATACCTTGGGTATCATTCATGTGAGTACATGTCAAGTTCCCTCACTCTTTGTATACCTTCTGTTACAGTGCCGCACTGATTCCTGACCAGTGATAATCACTGCAGAATTGTAATGTCAACTGCTGCTAGGAAGTGGTTTAAGGTCTTATGGTTTATCTGTGCCAGGCAGGTTGTCAGCTTGTGTTCAGCTGCAGGCTGTATTTAATAGCACTGAATGGCGGGGTGAAATGTGAGGCCCATTTGGTTCCTTTTTCTCTGTATGTGGCTTGAGCTTTCACCCAATGTTCAGATTAACTAAGTCTTTTAGTTTTCAAGCACTTCAGATATGTATTAATTGGGTATTTTATTTTCTTAATTTTGACCTGCCCTTCACATTCCTGTTTTTAAGTAGTATACTTGCAGCTGTGCAGCTTTCATTTCTGTGGGGTTTTCTGTGCTATCAACTCATGCTCTTGTATCAGATTTCCCTTGGAACCTGGTATCCCTGCACTGTCTGTAGAACAATTATTAGTATTTTAAATTCAGTTAACAGATTGCTTATAAATTTCATTTTCTAAAGCATTTGTGGCCTTTTTCTGCTAAGTGGTTTGTTACTATTTTTATAGTTAACTTTCCCCCATTTCTTTTGTAATGTCTGCTGGTTCTTTAAAAATCTTTTGAATTAGATAAATTTTTCCTGGAGCAGTTATTTGCTGGAGAGTCATAATATAGGGTTCAAAGTAATAGGGCGATAGTCCAGGTGGTAGAAACCTCTTTATGACTGTGTTTTTTTTTGCCTCCCACATCAGTTAAGATCAGCCTTGCAGCACCACTCCCTCCCACAGTGACAGGCTAACTCCTGGTAACCTCCTGTACAGACAGTTATCTGTGTGGGCCCTTGTTGCCTCACTCATGCATTTCTTCTCTGCCAAAGTAGGCCTCGTTTGGAAAGCTCTGCTAACAGCCAGTTGTATTTCTGATGTCTCCACATGGAATGGAGATTTTCACAGGCCGTAGGGTTCTGCTGGCTTGGTCTGTGGGTTCAGTTGTGGCATCCTTTCTTTCATTTTCCCTCTCTGACTTCAACTGCAGCTCTCACTCCTATAGTAACTAAGTTCTGTTGAAGATGGAGCTTGCATTTCTGCTTCCAAGTCTATGTGATTTTTAAAACAGAAGGGGAAACAATCTTCATGCCATTTTGAAACTAGAAGTTGGCACTTTTCAGAAGTCCACAAGAGTCGTGCCACCTTAGCAATTAGATGGTCTCGGAATGCGAGTCCTACTTGTTAACACTTTCTCAATTTTCAGGGCCAGGGCATCTAGACAATTACTGTTTTCTAACCTCAACTTTACAGAGTCCCCACCCCACCCCACCCCCCATTGCATAAGTGGTATTAGTCACTTAGCACAAAGCCCTAGGAGTTTCTGATCATCATTTGTTGTACCTCAGCAGAAGTGATTTGCCTAAACTGTTAGATTTTTCAGACTGCAAGTAGGTATTTTTTTATGTGAAATACTTCCCCCTTAGCTTAACCGATTTTGAAGAAACCCATGTGCATTAAGCAATGATCGAGCACAGAATGAATGTACCTAATGGAGACAGCATTAGTATGCTGGACCATTTGGTGTCTGTTCTGAACGGGTAATGTCAGGTAATATAAGCAGTGGCAGAGTAAATGTGAGGTGTAGACAATTGGAATACCTCCCCCCCCCCCCTTTTCAATGGTGCCTTCTGTGCCTGGAATGAAAGCTGGGCAGCAACTCCAGATAGGCTTTATTTATACACAGATCATCAGATGTGATCAACTAGAGAGGTCTCCGAAGACGCTCACGACCTGCTTTGTTTTCTCTTGGCTCTCAGGTCACACACTTCACATCTGGAAATCTTTCAGAACATGCTCTCATCTGGACTAGTAGAGTAATACGTATTAGCTCATTTCTCCTCTTGCCTAAGAATTTAACCTTTTACATACCCAAAACACTGAAAAACATTTGATGAGGCTTTTTCATGGATTTTTTTAAGTCAAAAAGTTTCAATTTTTAACCCTAAGACAGGGACAGTATCAGAAACCTGAGTAGTAATAGATGTAATAGTATCCAGTACTTATACAACCCTTTCTGTGTGCCAGGTCTAACTCTCATCAACCCTATGATCCAGGTACTAATATTTTCCTTAAAGATAGGAAACAAAGCAGAGAGGCGGGCTTACGGAACATGCCCAGGGTTACAAGGCTAACTAATAGGCAGAGTGGGGATTTAAACCAGGCTGGCTGGTTTTAGTCCATGACTTTAACCACTAACTTTGGTAGGCATCCTTAGGTGGATGCAGTCTATGCTTAGTTTTTATAACTTGAGCTATGTATTTCTTTTTTACTCACCATAAAATCCAACAGCAGGAGTCAGAATAATTCCAACTCTTGTCATTTAGTGGGTATTTCATGTGCCACCAGCATAGCATGCAAAAGCCTTCATTACTTACCTGAGGCCTCAATTTTTTGCCATTTCCTTTGCTCATCTTCCGTGTCAGAGATGATGACGAATGCTGGTAAGTCACAGTCAACCAAAAGCAAATGCATTACTCATGGTCATTTTAAGAGCAAAACTGTTTTTCAACGCCTTTTTGTACTTTTCCCCAAACTAAGCCTCTTTTTTAAAGTAGGATATGAATACATTTTAGTATTTGTTACAAAGATAGGAGGGACCTCCAAAAGAAAGTAGTACTGGTGGTTCTGCTTGGCAGGAATTTGTTGAATGAAACAAAGATGTAAAATATTCTAGGGCTTGCCCTCATGGACTCAAATCTAGTGGGCAAAAACTTTCATTACCATTCAAATACAAATGGTATACAGGTACAGGATACTAGAATAGACAATAGCATGAATGACAATACATTTTATCTAGCGGGAGGATACAACCAAAACAGAAGAGTAGGCATACCAATTATTTTCATAACCATGCTGCATAAGCCAGCCATAAACCTCAATTACAGACAATGTTAAGACTTTATTAGTTCATCAGTCTGTGACGTTCAACTGATCTGGACTAGGTTTGATCATGGTGGGCTCCCATGTGCATTTGCAGTTCTGCTGTCCTTGGCTAGCCATCCTAGCTTATCTAGGGTCTGGCTGGTCGTGGCACACATCCACTAATGTTCTTATGGCCGAGTCCAGAATCACAGTAGAAAGAATACCATATAGCTATGCACTAAGAGGCATGGAGCACCTGGCCCATGAAATATTCAGTAAGTTAGGTACAAACTGATACGTAAGAAAAACAGAATGGTCAACAGAACGAGAAACTCTTTCAAGTAGTACTGGGTGTACCAAATGATTTATTTTAAGGAATTCCAACTAGGAAATGTTAAGACAGATACTTGCGCATGATTATTAGAATCACTTAATTTTTTATCTCTATTCCCAGGCCAGTACAGGTAGAAATTTAAGAGCCTGGTATTTGATTCAGTAAATTATCAGCTTTGTACAAAAGCAGTTGGTGAACCATCACATAAATGTGATTTAACACCAGAGCTCCTACAGGATGAATTTACTATGAACAGGTCTTATTGTGAAATACAGCAAATGAATATTTTATGGCTTTTCATTTAGTGAAACTCATTTTCCAACTATGATTTCAGTGAAAATTATTGTAAATCATGTGGATAGCATGACACTGGATACAAAACAAAATTGAGTAGCTCTGAATTTAGATCTACATTTTTGAGTTATTTGCCAACAATCTCAAAGCTGTTTTTAGTTCAAGGTAACATCATAAAAAGTCTTGATTAGTCATGCTGGTAACAAACATAACTAACACATCATTTAACAAAACACTTCACAAGAGACTTTTTATTAGTTTTCAAAAAACAGTTATTTTCAGGTACAGTTAATAAAACAGCCATATCTTAATTTTTACCAAAATGAAAATACTTATTTTATTTCAAATCACTTCCTGGATTGGGGAATTTTAAGAGTCAAACTGAGCTCCTGACACAATCTATCATAAATGTAACATAACATGCACTAAACCTGCTCATATGTTAACATGGATCCAAATGACTCACATGGACTAGTAAAAAAGTCTTCAAATTTTCTATGTTCGCTGAGAATTCTACCCATTTACAGAAGGCCTGTGGTGTCATCTCTCATTCCTTCTATAACTTGCTATTCAGTTTATGACCCATTTTTATCCCTCCAATAAGAATCATTCTTATAACCTCAAAAAAAAAAGTGTACTTCAATTTCCATTCACCTTATGTATATGCTTCCCTTAAAACCAAACAGAATTATATGAAGTACAGTCAAGCCACCAAAAAAAAAAATAAAAGCCAAATGAATTAGGGATTAGGCTTAAATTTTCAATTATTTATTCAAAGGATTTTGTGCATTAAAATTTATATCCACATGTATGCTTAATTTGGTTCTTCAGTAAGAATTTATACATATCTAACTTTTTAATATAAATTGAGGCATTATATCTTTTATTTATGCCAAAAATAATTCTTCCTCAGTAGATGTATAAACAACATAACAGATGGTATCACTTTTTAACAGGTGTTTATTTAGCTATGGAAATCAGAAGTTCAATTAGAACAAGTCAATAGCAAAAAGTTCATTGAGCTACCACACAATTTTGAGAAATATCCAGTGCAATTTAGCCTTTAAAAGGAGGGTGGGGAGGGAAGGAATGGGCAATGAAGCACAGTAATTATTCCCTAAGAGTTAAATTTAACTGCATGTATACACTGATTACATTCTATTTCAGGTACTTGTATAAATGTAAAGATGTTATATTACGAAGAAACACAGCTGGAAGTCTGGGCTTCTGCATTGTAGGAGGCTATGAAGAATACAATGGAAACAAACCTTTTTTTATCAAATCCATTGTTGAAGGGACACCTGCATACAATGATGGAAGAATTAGGTAATAATAATGACTACTTAACAAAAAAACTTCAAGTATTTCTTATATACGCAAAAGCTTGGCCCCATTTGAAGTAAGGTATACATTCATTTTACCTTTATTATTGGTAAGAAATTAAACATTTGTGTAGCATTCATTTTCTAAGAAATCCAAAATGATCATATATTCTTGGTCCCATACAACAGCTTCCTATGTTTTGAATCCCTTGTAATAAAATGAAAGTTAAGGCTTATATAAATCCCCATCAGAAATAATTAAAATTGACAGATGTAGCAACACCAAAGAAATCAAAATGTTAATCCTATCTTTGTGTTCTATTTTTAGATGTGGTGATATTCTTCTTGCTGTCAACGGTAAAAGTACATCAGGAATGATATATGCTTGCCTGGCAAGGATGCTCAAGGAACTTAAAGGGAAAATCACTCTCACTATTGTTTCTTGGCCTGGCACTTTTTTATAGACTCAAAGATGGATGGGTTGGAAAAAAACACAAGTAGACTAAGCTGAAAAACGCCCCATCAATTTTTGTACTTACAGAATACATTGTAAAAATCTAAGCTTTAATGATCTAATGAGTCAACTAAACCTTCAAAAAATATAACTCTCAAAACAAACATCACTAATAGTTTTTACTCAGTGTGGAGCATTTCTCTAAGACATATTTTTCTAAGTAGTTGACATGGTTTGTATGCCCCCAGTGAACTCAAATCAATTTAATTTGGCATATGCTGAGATCTGCAAAAGGTAAATTATGGGCATTTCAAGAAAATTAAAGCCAGAGGATTTTAAAAGGGCACTGCTGAAAAATGTTCCTTTCATCAAATGAGAAATAAATATTTTTCAAAAATTATAGTTGTCGTTAGTATGTGATACCAAGTTTACCTCTATTAGTAAAAGTTCCTAGTTAATTTTTTTAAATCATGCTACCATCACTCACAAAAACTTAAGCATTATCCCTAACAATGCTCAAAATTTAACTTTGGATTTAATAGGAAATGACTCATCTCAAGTTCTTGTCATTTCTTTTTAACTGTAAACTCCACATGCTGGTTAGGTTAGCCAAGGAGATCCACTCTGGCTTCATCAGTCACACAGATGGCCACAAGGCAATTCTAATTTGTCACTGACCAGCGTTTGTCCATGTGGCTGCTAGAAACTAACCAAAGGTGAGCAAGCTGTTTCAGAGGTCACTCAAATGCTTTTAGATTTTAATTTGCATATAAAAGTTTCCCATTTACTTTCACCATGAACCCAAATTCAGAACACCGAAAACCTATGAAAAAGTTATCAAAACTGTATGAGTCCTTTAATATACTAAGCAACAGTGCTGCAGCAGTGATTAAAAAAGACAAGCTTTAATTTCAATCAGATGTGTCTTTTACAGTGCAAACTCTTAAGAAACGCGCATTTGATTAAGTCAAGAAATGATGGCCACGCTGGGAAACCCTGACTTTTATCAAATACTGCATATGTACACAGCTCTCTAAATTCCCTGCTGAGTGACTCATTCACATTACTTTCTTGGATATAAGGTCATTACGGTCTTTAAATATTACAAGACAAAAGATTTTTTTTTAACTTAACATGAAAAATCCACTTTTATTTTGGAGGAAAAGAAAAGGTTAACTTTGCATACTAACAGAACAAGATTCAAGGTAAATTTCTTAAAACATTATCCAGAAAAATAAGATTTATCGCATCTGCTCCTGGGACTAACATACACACAGGCCGTACCCATTCCTACTCTGTAGGTGCAGGTTCGGCGCTCTCCTGTTCAGGGGCGGGCTCACTGCCGGCTTCTTTTCCTTCTTTGCTTCTTTTAGATTTTTTGTGCTTGTGTCTCCTGTGACTGTCTCCTTCTTCACTTTCATGTCGACGTCTACTATTACTGAAGAAAAGGAAAGTTGTGTACTTAAGAATGTCTTAAGTGGGACCTCCCTGGTGGTGTAAGGGGCTAAATGCAGCACTATGAAGCTACCCACAGCCACTGCAGCGAGAGTGGTTGGAGCCCGGCCAGGGAGCTGGCCCCATGGCACAGCAGAACCCTCTTGTTCTCACTGGCTGCTCTCCTCAGCAGTGTGTATCATTACATCTGTCTGTTCGGTTCCCCACTTTGTCTCTGGTAAATCTTCTCATACCCTGCACCTGTGGCCTATACCCCAATTCTTGTATGCATAAAATTTTTAGTCTTAATACAAGTAATAACAATGCACTTTCCCTAGGTATATTCTCAGTATCACACTGGATTTTAAAACATTTTTTCTTACATTTTGGGAAGTTGTCAATTTACATGCAAACTGTATTTATAGGCTCACCTTCAATGATAACTGCCCTAGCTTCCTAGAGACCATGTACTTTATCCAGAAGGACTAATTATAAACTAGAAAAACTAAAGCACCAAATTAGAACAGGAAGTATTTTCTAGGGTTGATTGAAGCAAACAACTAAATTAAAATTTAGTGCTGACTTTTTTTGGGATTACAAGGCACTCAACTTTCTCCTTGATTAAACTGAAGTTTCTATTAAAGATTGATTTATTTGTGAAAATACTCCTTTCCCAACAAAATAATGCAGTAAGCCTGATTCTCATTTTATTTTATATTCACTTTGGTGATTAAATGTAGTCTTGTTAAAAAATCCTTACTGAAGCCTAAATGCAGTCAAATATTTTAATAAAATTACTCTATACTTTCCAATTTAGATATATGTTCTACTGGTTATTTGGCAATGTTTGCTTTTACTTCCTGAAGTCAACTTAATTTCTCCTTTGGTTTCACTATTTTATTAAAAGAACAAACCTCCGAGATGACTTATGCCTGGTTTCCTCTTTCTCTCTGTGCCGTCTTTCTCGGTGTCGTTCTTCTTTCTCTCGACTTGCTCTGTGACGTTCATAGCCTCTTTCCGCATATTCCCTGTATCTGTATCGCTCTTCATCACTGCAATTGAGAAAGAAACAAGTTTCCTTGACAAATGAAATGTTAATTCTGAATCACAAATGCCAAAAGAAATTATGTGACATGAGCCTCCAAACCAGAAGATGCTTGGCATCTTGTACAGAATAGATACAAAATAAATGTTGAGATAGAAGGAAAATAATGCCATTCCCAAATTACTAGACCTCACATAAGAATATAAAACGTATGTTAAAAATCAACTTTTGTGTTTTCAAAGTTATGAGGTAAAAATCTATACAGCAATGTTCTTCTTCAAAAAGTATAATCTGTAACTGATTTTAAGTGTTAAGTTTTTCTTTTACTACTTTCAGAATGAAAAACATTTGTATAGCTCAGATTTCCAAGCAAAATTTTTATATTATTTGTAAAAGCTTTGGTACAGAGCCAAATTTCTAAAATACATTCAACTCAGACTCATGATGGCTACATGGTAGAAAGCAAATGATGGCAATTATAAGTTTATCAATCACATCAAGTTTATTCAGCTAATAAAGAGGTATGAAAATGAAAGGGGAACATCAAATTTTGCCTATAGACATGCCTGCAGTCTGACATCCCACTACTTAATACTATATGTGTGGGCAAGGGAAGGGATACAAATGGCTAATAACTTCAAATGCATAAACTTAAGCTGCACCTCCATTTTTGATTTGGATAGCATGAACTGGTAACACTGAAGGCAAGCTTTAGAGGTTAATTATCTTCCGAATCCTATCCTATTCTCTTGTCCTTCAATTAATACTCTTCTCTCCATGCTCTGCTTTTTTCTCTCTTTGTTCACTACAGAAGTCAACACTTTCTACAACCCACTATAAGTACACTCTTAGAATGAAAAAAAGTCTTTTAGGAGCACTTCATGATAGAGTTTTGGTTTTTAGAAATGCATGCCAAATACAAACTATTCAATTAACTTGAATGAAACATCAAGTCATTAAGGAATCTGAGTAATGGAAGACAGAATTGGGTAAAAGTATGAGCCATGTAGAAGAACAAATCAGCTGTGATCTCCTGGCAAAAATACTATGCCTAACGCCAAGTCATACTGCTAACCAAGTTATTCTCGCCTACTGTGATTGTTACATTTTAAATTTATGTTTAAGTGCAAATATGCACATGTAGATCTGTATACAAATATATGTACATGTTTGTATACACATATACCTTTTCTTTCTAACCACAGGCATGTACTTTGTATGTCACAGGAAAGGCAATGTACCGTAACAGGCAGTGTAGAGAAGGGTGCAGAATGGATCCAGGACCACAATCTGACTAGCACATAAAGCACATAATAAAATATATGAGCTTGCATGACTCTGTAAAACTCACTGTTCTGATCTGTAAAATCTGTAACTATCTTTTCCAGGTTTTTTGCAAGCACTGGAAATTAATATTTATAAAGCAAGAGTAGGCCCTCAATGAGAATAGCTAACACGCAAGCTCACTGCTTCAGTAAACTTAATGCTGTAGTTCTAGCAACATCCTAAGTGAATATTATCATTAATACCTGTTAAAAATTGAGGTTCCCTTTGTAATGATTCTAATTGGAATTACAGAAAAATCAGTAACGTCACTTTATCTCATTTGTTGTTTTTAACTCTTTTCCCTCTAGCCCTAATAAACTGTTAGCTTTGATGCCTGTTAGATTCTGAGGGCAGTAGTCTTACTAAAGATGGAACAAGATTCAGTCTCACAAACAATCTCTCCCATCCTTTTTTTGATAAGCAGCTGCAGCACAAAGGCTTCTCTGGGTCTGGAAATCATTAGAACTCATTTCTAGCACCCTAGAATGAGCAGTCTTTCTAGCCCACAATTAAATTGCCAAAAACACAGATGTTGAAACTAGTTTGTAATTTTCAAAACAACCAACCTGTAATTTGTAACACAACACATACTACCTGCCATATCGCTAAAATGTCAAATCTTCAGAGGGAAAAAAAGTTACTTACATTTCTTGGATTTTCCAGAGAATGCTTTATTCCTAAGATAATTCAGAATTACACAAAATTCCTTTACCTTTTGCCTCTCTGGCCTTAACTTTCCGTCATTTAGGTAAACATTGACTCTATTGCCCTACAATTTTGCAAACTGAAAACAAGTGTGCTTTAGTTTCAATAAATATTAAGTAGCATTTATGCATGTGTACATCTGAAGTTGAAGAATCAAACTTTAGTCTCAAATCTTCCTTTGTATCATTTAGCAAATCATTCTATCATCTAGCAAATCAATTCGTTATAATCTTATCAAGTTTATTTTCTCAGCTTGTAAACACACATCTAGAGATACTTGCACATCTCAAAATATATTCATTTAAAATGCATTAGAAAGTTTAACTTTCTTGAAAATAATGCCCTCAATCTTAAAAGAACCATGCATTTAAGTGACTAGTATTAACAGCACAGGCTCCACCCTACAAAAACAAAAAATCGACTCACCAATACAAGCAACCACATTATGTATGTATCATACCTTGACTTAAGTTAATATTTTATTAGCACCTACAATGTGTATGCCAAGTAATTAGGAGCCATAGGAAGTGAAAAAATTAATTCTACCTTCCACTTGAACAATTTTTTTTAAACAAGTTTTATGCTATTAACGAGTTCTAGTCATATTGACAAGGTTAAATCTGCAAGGACAGTTTATTTCTGTCTCAGTAGGTAGTTCTGTGCTTGATGCACAATACAGACTCAGAATATTTTCCATGAATAAAAAAAAAAAAAAAGAAACGCCTCCTCCCCCCCAAATAAGTGCACAGAGCAAGGTCAACGAAAATCTTCAAGCTATCATTTTAAAGCTACTAATTCTAACACAAGAAAGGATTTAAGTAGTATCTCAATCATAAGTAACACTTCTACCATTAATTTGTTTCCATTTCCTCATCCAAGTCAAACTTTAAACTAAATAAACCCTCTAGATCCTACAGTTTTTTGAACTAAGAAATATGACAATACAACACCTGAAAAAAAAATAAAAAGCTTCCTGGTCAAATGCCCAAAAGTGGATAACTGGATTAAAAAATATGTGGTACAGGCCCTCCCTGGTGATGCAGTGGGTTAAAGCACAGCACTAAGAAGCTTAAGCCACTTCCACATGAGTTCGATTCCCGCTTGCCCCGGAGCTGACCACATGGTGTGGCAGACCTCTCCTGACCCGCCCGCTGCTCCCCTCAGCAGTGTACTTCATTGATTTGCCTGTTCTGCTCCCCACTCTGTCTCTGGTGAATCCTCTCACCCTCCACATCTCTGACCTGTATCCCAGTTCTATATGAATAAATAAATCTTTTAAAAAATATATTAAAAAAAAAATATGTGGTACATATACACAACGGAATATTACTCAGCAACCTAAATAAATAATAAACAAACAAACAAACACATGCCTTTTGCAGCAACATGGATGGGGCTGGAAGGGTTCATGCTTAGTGAAATGAGCCAGAAAGAAAAGGAAAAACACTAGATGGTTTCACTCAAAGCAGGAGTATAAAGGACCAGGGGAGAAAATAATAATAATAATAATGAACAACTATGTATCAGAAACATTTTACGGGGGTGGAATGGGATCAAAAATGAGGTGGGGGGGGGTTTGAGGAGAGTGCACCGGACTATGCTGTATCTCATACAGCAAAATCAGAAAACTGCACCTTACATTATCTTACCCATAGCAATAGCTATGAGAAAAAAAGTTGTCTTTGATTCTACAATGTGGTGGTACCTAGACTGCTATGTTAATAAGATGTTCAAATTAATGCTTTGAAGAGTAAGATGTCCAAATTAGTGTTATGATAGTGATACTGACTTTTCTTCATTTCAAAACCTGTTAGGTAAGACAGTTTCAACAAAAGTTTTCAAATTTGTACTCATCTTTCTCCTCTTGAAACACTTAAGTCATTTTTTCACTGATATGCCCACTGCCAGGCATTACTGTACAAAGTACTAGAAATGAAAAATGGTGCTCAATCCCCTTAAAGAGACATATTCAGCCAGGTACGCTTTAAGGAGCATGTGAAGGAAATAATTGTTTCAACTTCAGGAGTTCACAGAAGACTAATGTGAACTGGACTTAGGAATGAAGAAAAGTTTGTGAGGCAGAGAGGAGAAGAAACATGAGCAAGGGAAGTAAGATACAAGTGGTTCTCAGAAAAGCAGCCAGGTATGTGTAGTTAGAGCTACAAATAGAAAGGTACACTGAGTACAGATTGTGAAATACATGACAGATTATTTAGGAATGCTGTAATGTCTTCTTACGGTCAGGAATATATGCTAGTACCACATCATTGTATGAATTCTTTTCAATGGCACAGAAAGTTTTGGGAATCAACGTCCGGATACCAACCTCCATATTTATTCTTTCCTAAATCTGAAATACCTAATGACATATTTGCAAGTAAATCATCACACTACTTCTCTACCCAACCTCTCCTTAAACAATTATGACATAGCCCTTTAAAAAATTTTACTATAGCACAATGGCTCAGGTAATTATAAAATCATCATAGGATCAAAAAGACTAATTTAAATAATCAGTGTCAAGTGAGATCTCTTTTACTGAAGAAACCATAAGGCTTCTTGCAATAAAAAACCTAAGTCTAACAGTCTTAAAACATTTTTATCTTTAGAACACAGTGTAGAGTAAAAAGTGCAATATTCTGACCTGTGTCCTGGGATGCTCTAATTTCAGCCAGTGGTATGGTGAGAGTCATAAAAATTTCTCCTAAATTGTTAAAAATCTCCTTCCCAAAGAAAGTTTAAAAAATGTTGGTATTGGGCCCTCCTTGGTGGCACAGCAGACTGGAGCACAGCACTGTGAACTTGGTCATGGCCACTTCAGTGCAAGTTCAATCCTTAGCCCTGGAGGTGATCCACATGGCACAGCAAAGCTCCCCAGCCTCGCCCACTGCTCTCCCCAGCAGTATACTTTGATCTGCCAGTTCTGCTCCCCATTCTTCTCTGGTGAGTCCTCTCTCCTGCCCCTGCACTTCTGGCCTGAAACCCCAGTTCCGCAGGGATAAATCAATAAATTTTTAAAGAGGGAAAAAAAAAGCTGGAAAGATTTTTGTGTGACTATTCTGTTTATTTTCAAGTTATACAGGAAACATAGATTAACTAATTTAACTAACAGAAAAATGTGTTCCAACTATCATTTTACCAATTAAGTCAGATGTTAGTTATTTCCATGTATGGAATGAGGAAAATTTGCAACTCCAAGGTTTGCATGGAAATATTTAGCACATTTAATTTTTTTTAAATGGTTGATCATTTTTTAAAAAAAATATTTATCTGTGCATACAGAACAGGCAGTAGAACAGGCAGATCGACGAGGTACACTGCTGAAGGGAACAGCGGGTGGGTGAGGAGAGGTCTGCCTCGTCATGTGGATCACCTCCGGGGCAGGTGGGGATCGAACTCATGTGGAAGTGGCTTTAGCTTTAGTGCTGTGCTTTTAACCTGCTGCGCCACCAGGGAGGGCCCAGTTAATCATTTTTTAAAATTTATTTATTCATACAGAACTGGGGTACATGCCAGAGGCACAGGGGAGGTGAGAGGCTTCACCAGAGACAGAGTGGGGAGCAAAATAGGCAAATCAACAAAGTACACTGCTAAGGGGAGCAGGGGGCGGATCAGGAGAGGTCTGCTGTGCCATGTAGAAACCTTTGGTGCTGTGGATTGAACCTGCACTGAAGCGGCTGTGGCCAGCTTGCAATGCTGTGTTCTAACTCGTTGAGTCACCAGGGAGGGCCCAGGAATTTCAGTTTTTAAAGATATTTTGGCAGATATGTATTAAGTTTAATAACATTTCAATTTTCTCAACCTTTTCTCCACATATTAGGTTAAACAAGATAGCTCTAAAAGAAAAGGTAATAAGTGTAACTGGAAGTCTTTTTATAAGTGTGCCATGAAATTAAGAAACTAAAGATTTTCATTACTGAATGTACTGTATCTTTTTGGGTACTCTAAAAGATATGTTTAAGTTCTAACTGCCATGTCAGTAAATGTGAACTTATTTGGAGACAGAATCTTTGTAGATATAAATGAATTACAATGAGGTCATAATGGGTTTGACTGCTCCTAATTCAATAACCAGTGTCCTAAAGAAGAGAGATGGATAAAAATGGAGAGGAGAATGCCATGTGAAGCCAGATTAGAGTGATGCATTTATGAGTCAAAGTTTATAGACCAAGAATTACTTACCCACCAGAAACTAACAGACAGGCATGAAATGTATTCTTCCATAATCTAGGAAAATGAACTAACCCGCAAATACCTTGATACTAAGCCTTTAGCTGTCAGAACTGAGAAAACATAAATTTGTGTTGTGTTTCAAAACACAACTTTGTGTTGTTCACAAAGTTTGTGGTAGTCTGTTACAGCAGCCCTAGGAAGCAATTATACTGAATAAAAAGTACTTTGATAAACCAGGTGGTTTCCATTTCTATTTCTAAGAAAATGGAACCATGAGGTAAGTAGGACTTAAAAATAACTCTCCAGGATTGGTTAAATGTAATTTAGCTCATCAATAATATTTTAAAACATTAAAATAACTGACAAAAATCACAGCTACAAATTTTATGATTCTGATTTATATCTTTTATGTTAATAAAATTGCTCAGTGCTTGTAACACGCATTCATGAATACATGCATTAGTGATAGGGAAAAAGAAGATCCTTACAGTATTCCGATATAGAGTTCCATTAAATTGCAGGATTTACATTAGTTTATTAAAATGTAATAACTAAAATTAAGGGGTGTGTTTAAATAATTAAAATCCTATGTTTATAAATCTTTTAATATTACAAATTTAAATATATTGCAGGAAAGACTGATAGGATGGTCAACCTAAAAATGTTCAGAAATAAAAACATTTTACGTGAGAATAAAAGTCTTTGAGAGGAAGTGGCTTAAAAATAAGAATTCAAGTACAAAAGAAATGAAAATTTGCCAACTGTAAAGAGCCTCTGCATTTTATAATGATGTGACATTTAGTACATCACTAAATGTTTTAATTCACTGTATATTTAAAAAGACTAATGCTAAGTTTAACATTGATGTCTATAATACACTGAAATTTCGTCTGTATTGTCAACTACTTACACTTAAGATGAAAAACTGTAGGTGCTGAGATAAAAACAGGTGACATAGTACAAAGTTTTCAAAATCTTTTAAGGAAGAAGTGAAAAATAAATCTGAATACTGTTACTTTAGTAATGGAAATGATGCTTTTAAAATTCCTATCCCTAATCACTTTTTAAGTAATCATTTTCTAGTTGACTGAATTTTCCAACCTCACACCAAGTATAAATAAGCATATGAATAAAAGATTTCCACACACAAACCTGTTGAAAACACTTGGTGTAGGACTATGATCTCGCTCCCTCTCTCTCTCTCTGGTGCGCTCTCTCTCTCTGTCCCGGTCACGGTCCCGCTCCCGGTCTCTGTCTCTATCTCTATCTCGATCCTTCTCTCTTCTTGCATAGTAGTCCCATTGTTTGCTGGTGTCCACAAGACTAGGCCATGAAGGAGCAGAACCAGGAAGGTGGGGAAAGGCAACTATAAGAAAAAGAAAAAAATAGTTAAAAACAAAAGTTATAGTACCTAAAAAAAAAAAGAGAGAAAGATGCAGGGATGGGGGGGATTACTCAAAGTTCACCCAAAATGCTTATTAAGATTATAATGTGTATTTATCTGATAAATAGAAAAGATATTAATGTATGGTGCATAGGCAGTCTAGAGGGTATAATCAAAAACAAACCTGAAAGACCTAACATACAAAAATTCTCTGTTTGTAAGGCTATCAGGAACCACAATAGATAATACCATAAACATCCCAATACAAAAAATGTAAACCAAAATACCTAAGAACACCTTCACAGTAATGAAGGAAAATAATGGTCGATCTCAAAAAAACATGTCCAGGGAACCCTCACTTAAAGTTTTCTGTAGATAGGTTCTTTGAACTGCAACTTTATGTTCTGCTCCCCACTATGTCTCTAGTGAATCCTCTCACACCCTCAACCCCTCTGGCCTACACCCCAGGCCTTACATGTGTAAATAAAAACAAATCTTTGAAAAAGAAAATACAATGATTAATGAGCAAAATTTCCAATTTAGGAAAGAGAATAATCCAAAAAGGAATCAATAATGATAAAAGTACAAATCAAGTAAACAAAAACTCCCATACAACTTTTTAAAAAGCTGAAAGTCAGTTTCTGAAGACAAAAAAAAAAAAAGAAAAATCCTCTGAAAACTTAAGTAACCATATAAGTAATGTAAGAAACAGCAAGCAGAACCCCAGATCTTGACGATTAAACTACCCATTTTATATAAATATATGTAAAAACTAAGCTAATGCTTACAAAAAAAGATTTACCAAACAAAAGTGACTCTATAATAAAAATAAATCTTTAATAGTCTCATAATTACTAAAGACATTACATCGGTAATTTAAAATCTTCCCACAATACCAAATGGTTTTCATAGGTGACTCTCACTAATTTGTAAAGTACAAACAATGCTAATATTACCAAACTTCCAGAGACTAGAAAAAAAAATTATTCCTCAACTTACACTACATGATTTGTATAACCTTATACCAAAACCAGTAAGGACAGAACTAACATAATGGAAAATATTAGGCCATTTATATGAATTTAAATCACAAAATCCTAAATAAATATTAGCAAATAATTCACCAAAAGAAAAATTCTACCTTTAAATACAAGCCAAACACAAACAGAACATTGAGTTCAAATGACTACACTATTCACAAAAACACTAGGTACCTATGACTAGCGTGCGAAAAATGTATTAATAATTATTGTACTAACTGAAGCACATTAAAAAACATCTACCTAAATGGAGAGAAGAGTCCTTATTAACAGAGAGACTTGATGTTGTGAGGTATGATTTCCATACAAACTGATGTAATACACCAATATAATTTTAAAATTATAAAACTTGATAAATGAAAATTATTCTTTAAACTGGAATATATGTAAGAACTACTTATTCCTTTAGAGAATTAATATTTTTTAGCTTTTCTTTAAAATAGTATTTTAAACCATGGAAGCATGTTTTTATTGTCTCAAAAATACTCAGATACTTTACTGATTCAGTCAATATAGACAACTAAAACCAATACTTACCATTGCCATATGGAAAAGCACGTGCAGAACGACTATCATAACCAGAGGAATGTCCACTGTTGAAGAAAACATGTGTTTTTATGTATGCTGCAAATAAGTTCTGAATTTTAACAGTTTGGTACAAATGCAAAGAATATCAAGGCAGAATTATGACTCACTTAGCAACCACATTAAGTTTTTTTTTTAACTTTTATACATTAAAATACATACTCTCTAACTTTACTAAATATTAAATCTATCACCTACTTGTAAAGAATAAAATAGCTTACTAAGCCCTTTTTAGTATAAGTAATCCAGTCAACTCAGCCTGAGTCACAAGGTCAACAAACTTTGAGGCTAAGAGAATTATTTAGGACTTAAAATTTAATCTTCAAAAATTAGTCTTAATAGTGTATAAATAAGAAATTCAAACCCACTAATAAGATCAATAGATACCTTTTAATATGCTGAGAAAAAAAACAGATGTTTAACAAGGAAAATAAAATCATATTTGTATGTTGTCACAAGTCACACTTAGGTGAGCTTTATCATTTCCTATGGAAATCATATAAATGGTTTGATGATATCTATGATGATGGCTTCTCAGTCTTCTGTAATATGGACAATTTTATCCAAAATGCATTAGTTTAGTAGCTTATTTGCTACTGAAAAGAAAACAATGATAACTACCATTGATTAATAATTCCTATTTGTAAAATGTGCTGATGCCTTACATTCACTAGCTGTTTCAATCCTCACAACTCTATCCTCTTTTTGATAAAAGAGGAAAATGAGTCTCAAAGTATAGTTATGAACCTCAACATAAAACTGGAAAGTTCTGAAGTCAAAATGTAACCAGATCTGTGTAATTCCAAAGCTTATGTTATTAAACTCAAACTGCCAGCCAGGAAGAAAAAACTCTTAGTGTATAGCATTGCAACTAACACAAACCTTAAGTATAGGGTATAAAAAATAAGGTAATTGGCATGTAACATGGATACAGCCATCCTTTGTGGAATCTGAGTTGTAGTAGAGTAGTAAGGAAAAAAGGCAGTTTAAAAAACAAACAAAAAACAGTTGTGCTTACCTACTCCTAAAACAGACATACGTTATTCATTATTATTGCAGTCATCTAAATTGTACTTCTTATAATAGTTGATAAATTTTTTTAACAATGGATCCACCTAGCAATGATAAAAAATGTATTTATACTGATTTACCTTTCTATTGTTGGTATAAGAGATGGAGGTGGAGCGCCTGGTGGAGGAGGAAAACCTGAAACATTCAATCAAAAGATCAAAAAAGTTAACAGAACATGCCTTTAATGTCAAGAGTGAAACAAGTAGTTGATATCACTAAATATCTCTGGGAACATAAACGTGCTTTCTCTATGTTAAAATTGACAAAAAATAATGGAGCTTAAAATTATAAGCATATTTTAGAACAATAAAACTTTCAATGAACATTCTGGTCTAATACACAGAACACAAACTGGTAGTTAGGACACCCGGTCTTATTTTCAGCACCACACACAGCCCATTTTGTGAGTATGAGAAAGTTAATCTCAATGCCTTACCTTTTCCATATATAAAACAGTAGTAGTATTGCCACCAGAAGTGCTATACTTGAAATGTTTTATAAGAAAAGCAAATAAAATAGCATTTACCGCTTTCAAAAAAATATTTTGAGAGTTTGAGATGTATAGGAATTTCTTTTAATTGTGCAATTTATAAATAAAATCTTACCATTAAACATAAGTAAAGCTAAGAACATCATTATAAAATATATTTTAAGTAGCAAAACCCTAAAGAACTATTTTATTTTACAAAGAAAGACACAGAGTGTAGTTTTTGGATTAGTTTGGAAAGAAAATTTGGAATTTTGCATCACAAAATCTGCATATCTAAATGAAATACCAAAGAATATGGCTAAATAAGACCATAACAGTAAATCTATTCTACACTTTCAAATTCAAGTAGGCAACAAGGCACTCCAACAAAAGACTAAGATTTCAAAATGTATGACAATTCCTTCCAAGATTTAACAACACTTACTATTAGGAAATGCACTCAATTATGTAACAGACGTCTAACGCTACAATTCACATTGCTATCCTGAATGAGGACAAAAAACAAGCCATCCTGTATTCTCTAACAATCTCTATGTATTTCAAAATACTTCCATTAAGTCTCCATACTAGTATTCTATAGAGAAATAGACCCCACTTCTCAACTCTTCTCATAAACATTTAGTCAGTTTTGGGGTCTGCTCCAATATATAGTTATCTTCACAGTATCAAGCTTTGGGATCTATAATTCCTCATTTTTTATCTAAGAAGTATAGTTTAGCTATTACCACATTCATCCTACAGTCCACAATATTCTTCTATATAGCTTCCCAACCACATTTAATATCAAATTAAAAGAACTACCAATAACCCTTTATGAATTTTCTGGTTAAATTTTTTTTCAGTCATATTCACATACAATTAGTGGCTCTAAACGTATCTAAATATAGCACTATCCAATGCTATATAAACTCCTTTCTTTTATCGACATTTTGAATTTAGTCACTCTTGCAAACACTGTTACTTTACATTCTCTTTATACTACCTGAATTTTAACACTGAATTCAATAAAAACACTTGCCATCACAATTGATTACGCTACCAAAAAAAAAAAAAAAGAAAAAGAAAAAAAGGAAAACAACCTGAAAAAGTGTTATAAAACAAACAACACTGGACCAAGTATAAAGTCCTCCCAGTCTATTACAACAATGAACAATCAAATCACCACTTTAAGAACACCCATCCGATCAATGGTCAATCTCTCCAACTGTGAGGTTCAGAAGAAATTTTCTCACGATATTAAGTTAGGCCAGCAAAAGTAAAATAAAATTAGAGAATATGACAAAGTCTAGATAAATGATCTTTCTCTTCTCTTGTAGTCACTTTATCATAAAAAAAAAAATTCACAGGCCTGAAAAAATTTCTTAAGAAAAATTTTATTCGTAACCTATACTGTTTTTGTCAACAAACTGATATAGTGAGAATTTTCCCAGAATCTCTCTTTCCACAGAAATGGGTAAGACAGGAATAAGAAAACTAAATTATCTTAATCAAAACTGGAATGAAGCAAAGGCAGAGCTGAAAATAGGACCTTGAAATCCCAATAGCCTATTCCACATTCTAACCACATCAACACTGTCCATCCTATAACTATAAGCTTGAAATTTCATGTTTATTAACAATGATGGAGAAAACATGAAAAAAAGTTTTACCTGGAGGTGGTACAGTTATTGGAATACCTAAAAAACAAGTGATGAAATTTAATATAGTAATTGGATTTCATAACCTGTTACGTTTTTATGCCATCACCAAAACAAACTTTGAAATAAAACCCCTCACGCCTCATTTTCCTGGCTTATTCACTCAAGAGAAGCCTTCTGTCTTCTTGCAGAACAACAAGTATTAACAGCCGACTTCCTGATGAAAACCCAGCCTAACAACCTAATGGCAAGGGTTCCCCCACTAGCTGTAATCACAAAATTAAACATCAGTTAAAAAAGCACACTTGTGCATACACAAACATCAAACTCCATAAAATTAACACTACATATGAGAATTAATGTCTGAGCTTGTTATTAGAGGAGATGATCAATGAGCTCTTCAACACTGTAGGCAGTGCAACATAACTCTACAGATGATGAATAGTCATTTAATATTAAGTCTTCCTATTGTTTATGGGAATAGGGAAGTTATTACATCTCTTGATTTGTGGGACTAGAGAAGGGTTTATAGTCAATTCTCTCTCTCTCTCACACATACACATACACACACACACACACAAGAAAAATGTAGATGATTTGCTTCTGCTGGTAAATACTAAATGAATGACTCTCACTCATATGCGTAATTATATACTGTGCATAAACCTCTAAGACTGGTCAAATGTGCTCTTAAATATAATGTAAAATTTGTTTATTTTAGCATTTTGACATGTTAAAAAGAATTTATATAGCATGCAAACTAACTTTTGGTGAAGAGGACATATCTAAGTAGGAAAACAAAAAAAAATGATAATTTTTTCATGAAAAATTTTATACTATGAAACTTCAACACAAAATGAATGGTCTACTAAATCCTATTTAAAAATCACATCAAAATTTGTCCAAAGCAAGAAAAAACTAATTCATCTACTATATCAGAAAAATAATAAAAACAGAATTGTTTTTAACATTGTTCTTTTCAATGGAAACATCTGCTAGTAATGTATTTTAAACTTTTCTAAGAATGTTTTGCCAGAAAAAGAGGTTTCTATAAAATGGTTGTCAAGAAGCAACTGACCTTAAAATGAAGATGAAGCACCTAACTTAACTACCTTTGTAATAAAAGGATATGCTAAACTTACAAAACCAGCATGACTGAAAAAGGTAAAGCAGACATGATGTTTCAAAAATTTGAGGCATGAGTACATACTTATTTCACAGGTGTGGAATGGGGAATGGGATCAAAAGCAGTGGGGGCAGGGAGTGTACTGGACTATGGTGATGGCACACAGGTGATCTGGTAATGGGAAGCCCATGGGGATTACAACTGAGATGAAAAAAGGCACAAAATAATGTAAAAATAAACTATTATAATTATTTTTTTAAAAAAGAATACGTACTGGCCCTCCCTGGTGGTGCAGCTGGTTAAAGCACAGCACTGAGAATTTAAAGCCGCTTCCACATGAGTTCGATTCCCGCCTGCCCCAGAGGTGACCACATGGCGTGGCAGACCTCTCCTGACCCGCCCGCTGCTCCCCTCAACAGTGTACTTTGTCGATCTGCCTGTTCTGCTCCCCGCTCTGTCTCTGGTGAATCCTCTCACCCTCCGCATCTCTGGCCTGTACCCCAGTTCTGTATGAATAAATAAATAAATCTTTAAAAAAAAAAAAGTTAAAAAAAAAAAAAAAAGAATACGTACTAAACTGATCTGGCTCTGTGGTGATTCTCATCCATTCTGAGTTCATTCTGTTGCATCCTAAATTACTAAACTAAAAGAATCCAATAAAAACAGTACAAGCTAGCAGAGTTCCAGCCACCAAACTAAATGGGAACTAAATAAGACAGAACATATCAAAAGTTCTATTATCTATCTATTATCTGATTTTCTTTAGAAAAGTATAAATTTTCTTATATTATCAAACGGCACTATTTGATGTACGTTTCACCCTTAAATGTAGATAAAGGATTGTACCAATTCAGATACCTACTCTGTAATCCTAATAACTTTACCTAAATTAGCAACATACATCACACTTCAGCTTATGCTCAATAGAACTTATTAAAACGTTATTTCAAGAAAAATAACTAAATTTAGTCCTCAAAAACACTGAAGTTGTCAAACTTCTACAAAACATAGTCGTAAAGCAAATAATTTAGCATGTTATGAAGTCTTTTAATTTTTTTTATAAATTAGTAAGTTACCATTTTGCATTTTTTATTTTTTTGGGAAGATTTATATATTTATGCATATAAGAAGCCTGGGGTACGGGCCAGAGGTGTGGAGGGTGAGAGGATTCACCCGAGACAGAGATAGAACAGAACACTGGGCTAACTGAAACAGTCTGCTGAGGAAAGCAGTGGGTGAGACGGGAGAGATCCACCATGCCATATGGATCACCCCACAGCCAGGAATGAACTCATGCTGCAGTGGCTGTGGAAAGCTTCATTTCATAGTGCTGTGCTTTAATCCTTTGCACCACCAGGGAAGGCCCTGCTTTGAACTTTAAACTACTATAGTAGTATCCAGACAGCTTAAAAAAAAAAAAAAATTGAAGCAATTAATAGTATAACAAAAAAAATCATTTTCTCTATTTATTATGTATATACATATATATAAATACCCCACACCTTTCTAATTGATATCAACCCATCAAAACGGTGGCATGACGACTAGAAAGAAGACCTAGTGAGACCTCTTTCATCTAAGGTACTTCAGTATAAACCTTTATTGGTAAATGTTCACTAAAAACTGTATTTGATGAAACACTATGTGCTCAATATCAATGTATTATGTCAAAATAAATTCTGACAACTGTCAAATGTATTTTCAAAATGCAACTAAGTTTAAATATGTGATATAATGGAAGACCAACATAATTCTCATCTAAAAATTACTATACAGTATTTGGCTTTTGTTAACAAAAGATAAACAGCGTAATAAAGGAAAAGAAAGGGTGCCTCAAAAACCCCTGTCCGCTCCCCCTCAACACTCCCTGGTTCCTGGCCAAAAGACTGGAAATACACAAGGCAAGAGAACACTTTGTTTCTTCTCTCAATCCTTTTATCTATAAGACAAGTAGGGAAAAATGTTTATTTTTCTGGAAAGCTTTGTAATAAAAGCAGTAAATGTAAGATTTCTGGTACTAGCCAAAAGTAAAGGCAATGTAAACCTCAGAAGAAAGCAGAAAGGCTCCAAATGTCAGCTGCTTTTCTCCCTCAGCCCCATTTACCATCATCCAAAATCAAGATACAGAAAGCATGAATGATTTTCAAGTTCATACAATTTTAAAGCACAAGATGACTACTAAGACACTGACATATAAGCCAATGGCATCTTAGGAAAGAATATATTCTGAAATGCGAATCTCAGGCATTTCAAATTTTACATAAATAGCTAATCCTTCCTTCAACTAAAAAGGAGCAGGAATGACTTATCTGTCGATCCAAACTAATTAAACTATATCTCAGTAAATCAAAGTCTTCCTCAACTAGATAGTATTCTACTGTTCCCAAGACTTCAGAGCCAAAGTCACATGAGCCTTAAGTGAGTAACATAACAAAATGTCTTAAATGATTTCTGTCAATAAACACCCTTATAAAAGATAAAATATGATAACAAACTAACATTTAAAAGTCTAAGTAAATTAAAAGTCCACCAGGAAATGTAATATAGTTTGAATACAGTTTGAAAATAAAATAAGCCAGACACAGAAAGACAAATACTGTATGATTCCATTGATGTGAGATACCTAGATAGGCAATTTCATAGAGAAAGAATTGAGACTACCAGACAATGGGGAATTGGGGGTAGACTCTGTTCAATGGATATACAATGTTAGGGATGATAAAAAACTTTTAGGCATACAGCATAGTGATGTTACTTACAACAGCACGATGAATGCACTGAATGTCATTAAACCATCATTAAAAGGTTAAAGTAATAAATGTTACATAAAGTACACTGGACAACAAAAAAAATCCACAAACTCAACTATTCTAGAACATCAATCTTTCAAATTTTACCATTTTCTTCCAATAAACAAGTACTTCAAAACTAGTTTATTCAATTAAACTTAAGACTTTTTAACATAAACTAAGCAAATCGTAAAAAATTCACTTAATTGAAATGCTGTTTCTTGAAATCTGATTCTTTTCACAACATTATTTACCTACCCACAAATAAATATTCATGCACTTTAATATCAGGGAAATACTTTTTAAAAAGTAAAAAAATATAATTGGGTGAATATACATAATCCAACACAGTCTTTATGGTAGTTAATAGACGTTTGAACAAATCTGGTGAGAGGAGAAAAGAGTTTTTTAATTACTTTTTTTTTTACTGGTTTTATTACTTTGTAGCTATTACTGAAACTCAAGCTCCAATTTCCTTTGTAAAATTAGAAGAATATTATAGAAATTATCAAAAATCACATAGATGGAAATGTGATTAAATCAGTACCTTCAATAGAAGCACTAAATAATGACACTACGAAGCATTTCTGAAAACATTAACATAGTAGAAACCATTTTCAAGCTCACTAGAAAATGAGGGAAAAAGAAAAGCCCAGATTTTGTAAAAATTACAGAAGACCCTAATTTGTTGTCAAGCTGTTTGTATGAACAAGGAGTCACATTAAGTACTTTTCCATTTAAAAAAAAAAAAACCACCAAAACATCCTAAAGTCACCATGTTAATTTAGGACAAGGCATCCCTTACATGTTTACTGCACTCTCAAACATGAAACCTCCTCTAGTCTTTTTAACAGGTTTTCATGTAAATTTGTACGTGCTTGAGATGGAAAGATGGCAATACATCTCCTCCCTTCTGTTAACTAAATGATAATAAAAGCCTACTGGATTGAGTTATCTCTAACACCTCATTGGAGTTAAGGCAATGAGCCTAAGTGATGACCATGCTATCCTCCCAACTAAGACTCTTCTGAGAGTGTATATTAATGACGCTAAGACAAAAGGCATAAAGTAGAACTGTTCCAGCCAAAACTGGATGTATGATCATCATATTTATGAAAAAGAGGGTAGCGCCAACATATGGGCATACTGTATCAGTACCAGGTATCATCTGTTCAACAGACAGGACTTTAGTCTTAAAATCATATGCATTTAAAAGCTAATTTTAACAAAGACATTCAATGGTTAATTTTCAAAAAGATTTCTTCTTTCCTTTTTCCTTATTATTTCTTAAGAAAGTAAAATAAAACCCAAGGTTTCTCCAAGAAAAACGGGTGCTTCTAAAGGCAATACTTATGAAAAGACTGAGTCACACCCACAGCTTTCTTTCACTAGCAACTTATCTTTCCTAAGGTGATCTAAGTTATTAAGAACCTCTAGAACATGCTGTAATTACGTGCATTCTGTGTAAATGGTAACTGAAAATACAGCCAACCTTCAGCAGATATATATTAATGCAGCCAAACTATTGATTAGAGCCAGAACCCAATTCTGAGCGATAACTGCCTATGTAACTATATCAAGTGTCACCCTGAAGTTTGTTGGTGTTATGAATACATAATATGTCGCTAACTCAATTAGCTAATATTTTTAGGTAATGTCAAGTATACATGAATATTTGTAAGTAACACTGTGGACAAAATGCATATCCCTATGCATACTCCAACACCTCAAAATCTAATTTTAAAAAAGGGGTAATTCAGATAGTCTCAACTTATTTTCAGTTTTGATACTGGTATCACCACACCCCACACACCAACCCTGAGGTATATTTATATACCTTGCTGGTTAAACCAGAATTAAAATTCATCTAAATTTTTATCCTTATATGCTGACCAGACAATAAGGAAATATAATCTGCAAATAAGCACCAAAGGAAATCTGGAGAGATCATTTAAAATATTAAAAGCATGTAATTGAGAGTATTAAATAAATAGTTTAAGCAAGTGAAAAGCATTCACTGATACTCTATAGTATAATGCCACAGATATCCTAAACATTACTAAAAGATGTGTTCTACCTATAAATACAGTATATGGCAAAGAAATCAAATAAATTTATATTTTAAAAAGCACACTTCCAGATAACACGGTTACTATCAGCTATCATGCTACAGAATTTATATTCTTATATCAGTTAGGTATTTATTTTTTCATCATAACTCATAACATCTCTCTCTTAACAAACAGTACTGAACTATATGTAAATTGTTAACCAACTGAAGACATACTATATTCACTAGCAAATTAAAAAAAAAAATCAAATCTCCTTTGATATAAGTTTAAGATGATAAAGTAATCAAGCACAAGAACTGTGAATGCTATATGGTGACTTTTTAATTTTATTAAATCAACTAGGCTCAAAATTAATTATTGCTACATTTTATGTTTTTCAGCAGACAAAGAACTCACTTATGAATAACTACATTCTTGTTAAATTACTTTCCTTTCTACTTACTTAATTTTCACCACTTTAAAGACCCCAGAAAGGTGGGTCCAGTAGTAATTTCTCAATGGTCTGTGCTCCTCAACAAGAAATTTGTTGTTGAAACAAATGTAATTTTTGAAATAATGCCTGGTTTAGGTACTTTTACTCTAGCAAGTCTAGTCTTTCCTCTATTTTTGTGATTATAGACTCTTTAAAGTCAGTTTTTTTCTTAATAGCTTTCTTATCCTTTTTGAAGGTAGAGACTACAATGGAAGAGGATTAAAGATGTAATTGCGAGGCCAAAGCAATAGCTGACATTTAGCGACCAAGATGAACAACACAGTGAAGTATTCAGACTATGTGTCACTTTGTGCTCTGATAACTACAGTGGTAAAGCACTCTAAAACAAAACCACTCTCCTGAAAACTGGTTACTTAGTAAAAACTGACTTTATTAATAGAAAGCATATTTTAACATGTCATCCATGTAATTCTAATTAGGACCAGCAGCTATCTATACTTTATTATTGGTATTCTTCCTAGAAAGAAAGAAATTATTATCTCACTCATGTTAGGCATTAAAATTGGTTATAGCAATAAGTATTAAAGGCTTATTGGGAATGAACAATAAAGATTACTGGATCAAAGGGGAAAGGTAAAAAGTAAAATTAAAATTGGGGAAATATTTGTTGATTTTTTTTCTATTATCAATGGTCTAGTTCTTACTAAATAATCAAAAATGGCTAAAACATTATAAGAGCTGACATTAATGTTTTGTCTCATTTAAAAGAAGTAAATACCAGCCACCTGGCACCACCAGCAGTCACCTAGATAGAAAACAGCACACACAGAGGGACAAACAGGTTGAAATTGGAATTTCAATAACATGGGATATAAATCTTTTTTATCCATTCCATTCTAAAAATATCTCTACAATTTTTCAAAACAACTTAACAAGTCAATATGAATTTGCACATATACAAAAGCAACTTCAGTTTGGGGATCACTATCATGTTTATTACAATGTTAGTATCTTCATATTCTTTAGTATATTTTATTTTGTCTTTGCTGAACTAGCAAGACAGCTGTTTCAGTGTGAATAATAAACTTTGTATCTACTACTTTATATGCACTGAAATCCATGATGTTATTTTCAAATACATATTTTAATTGTTTAATTCAAAATTTTAAAAATGCCCACTATTTCTTTTCAAAATCAAATGTCTTATTTACTATTTACCTGGTGGTGGAATAAGAGGTGGAGCAGTGCTGACAGTTGGAGGAGGTGGAAGAAATGGAGGAGGTGGAAGGTGGGTAGGAGGAGCTCCTGGAGGGAAAAATGGAGGTGGCTTGCTAAAATTGTTGTCTACTTCAGTAGCAGATCGTTCAGAAAGGACCTGAAATTAGAGCATAGTTAATTTATAAAGTTAAACTCAGTAACCAGTTTCATTTAATCTTAGAAATACACTATTTGGGGGAAGCATGAGTATTTTTCTAGCTGTGTGGTAAGACCTAAATATAGATGTGAGCATATATTCAAACATACACTTTTTAAAATGTTCACTTTTTAAAATCTTAAGAACTGTTACAGAAAAAAAAAAGTCTTAACAAGAAACTACTAAGGGCCTCCCTGGTGGTACAGGGGTTAAAGACACAGAGCTATCAAGCAGTTGCCAGACACTGCAACATAAGTTTGATCCTCAGCCATCCAGGGAGCTGACCCACATGGCACAGCAGACCTTTCCTGTCTCGCCTGCTGCTCCCCTCAGCAGTATGTTTCAGTAGACCTGTTCTGCTCCCCACTCTCTGGTGAATCCTCTCACTCCCCACACTGCTGACTTACACCCTAGCTCTTGTGTATGTAAAAAAATCTTTAAAAACAAAAAATAAATGACAAAAACATCCTAAAAAGGAAGACAATTAAGCACTTTACAATGTGGTGGGTATCATCTTAATATTACTCAAAGTGGCACAATAGGTTAAAGCACAGCACTGCAAGCGAGTAGCAGTGGCTTCAGTGGGAATTCAATCCCTGGTCCTGGAGGTGACCCACTTGCGAGGCAGACCTCTTCTGACCTGCCCACTGCTCCCCTCAGCAGTGTACTTCGTCCATCTGCCTATTCTGTTCCCCATTTTGTCTATGGTGAATCCTCTCACCTACTCTGCACCTCAGTTCTGTATGCATAAATAAGTAATTTTTTTTTAAAAAAGGAATTAACCTGACAGCAGAGCCAAACATTCATTGTACCAGGGCCTGTGTTAAGTTGGCAAAATAAGAGCCCATAAGAAAGACATAAACAGATGCAAGGAACAGGAAATCAGATATAAAAAAGTAACTTTTTCACGTGAGTCTTGTAACTTTTAAGAAGGACTTATATTTGAGAAGTAAAACTGGTTATCAAACAGCAATCTGTATGAACAGTTAAGGGACAGACACTGAAAATTTAGGAAACTGGCATCTAAATAGCTGGATTTTTGGACAAGCTCCCAAAGGGATTCTGATGTGCTAAATATATTCAGGAAACATACCAGAAATAGGAAAGATGATGTTACATATTTCTCAAATCCTCACTGGTTAAAGCATATCATTTAAGCATATCCCTTCTTTCATTAGCTTTTCCATGTTTAAGTACAGTAATTTCTATAAGGTTTAAACTGACAAGATATTTTTAAAGTAGGGAAAAGAATTACTTTCAGAAATCATGGTATCATTAATGGTGGAGAAAAAGAATTATCTTCTATTTTAGAACATTTACCTTTAAGCATGAAAAGAACATTTACATGATTAAAGACAATAAGAATGACTCTATAAACATCTGTGAAAGCCCTAGAAAAAAATAATGAAAAATACGTAGTCAAGCTTAGATGAACGCTCCAGTTACTGAAGTTTTAACTTGAATTATGCAAGTTACTAGTAACTCATCTCCTTTCATGTGTAAACAATTCACTTTACCCAGATATGCCACTTTTATTGTGGTGTATTCATACAATGAAGCTATCCTGGATTGATTTTAAGAATATGAAAAAATTCAAATAATTGCTCATTTAAAAAGATACATAAAAATATTATCACAATAGTACTCCAATCTTGCTTGATGACAAAAAATAAGCATACTAGAATGTTGTTATTAGAGAGCAGAATTACCACTATTCTTTTCTTCTTTAAATTACTACACGTCACATGATTTTTTCCTATCATATTACCTACAAATTACATTTACAATAAGGGGAAAAAATTCTTACATATATTTAATAAATTCAATTAAAACATGGACTTAACCATTCAGTTAAAAATAGTTTTTTTAAAAAAACGCCAAACCTGTATGTTGCTGTTTTCATTGGCCCGTCGCCTTCCTTCTACCCGGCTGATAGTTATAGTCTGACCAATAACATCAATTGCCCCAGGTAACCGCCTATAACATAAATATTGAATCAATTCAGTTTCACGTAATTAGATGTTTGAAAAACAAAACAATAACTGAGAAATAAGATCTAAAACCTTTTGCAATATACTTTTTAAAAAATCAGTTAATACACACTGAAATAAATTAACTGAATTAGAACTCACTATCCTATACTGTCATAAAAGTTTTATTACTAATGTATAACCATTAAAGTGACAATCATACTTTAATCTGAAGTATTTTTATAAGTTTTCATCTAAATTTCCTACTTCTTTATCTACTACCTCCAAAGAGGTAGTGGAAAGCAAAAATTTTTGGCCACCATGAACTATATATCACAGCTCTATTAAGGAAATATGCAAAATAATTCCAAAAAAGGCTTTAAAGGAAATTTTCAACTGTTCATTTTGACCCACACAGAGTGCACTCTTATAATGGTTCATTCTAGATTTTAGAACACATAAAAAGGGACCAGATTTCCATTTCTGATAACTTACATTGAAATATTTAAATCGCTATCTCTGATCCCTTAATGTTTAACTATGAGTACATGGGAAAAGTCTACAACAAATAATGCTGCAAATGTGACAGGCAAATCTAGCAAGTTAAACTTGATAAAATAAAAATTTTTTATTAAGATAACATTAGTTTACAATGCGAAATGATTGAGAGATATAGGATCATACCCTTCAGATATATGTAGTTAAGGACTATAAAAATATACTTAACAAAACATTTGTGGGAACAGGCGATGAAAGATGGATACAAATTTATTTCTCTTCACCTGTATTTGAATTCTGAATAATTCTGCTTAAAACTCTGTAGGAGTAAATTAATGAAAATAATGTATATCTCTCCATAGTCACCTAAAATGACTAGCAATAGCAGCTACCAATTGCTAAATAACTACCTCTTATACTTAAACCTCACAATAAACCTTTACTTAAGAATTATTGTATATTTTTAGAGATACAGGAAAAAAGATAGGGCCCACAAAATGAAATCACTGACCTCAGCAATAATTAAGTGACTCTATTACTTTCATACTTGAGTCTTTCTGATTCCAAAACCTATAGTTCTTTTCCCTTAAGATATACTGTCTTCCAGTTCAGTGTGACTATCACAAGATAATTGGCCTTTGAAAATCTTAAGACTTCTGAAATAAGTCAAAAGGCAAAACACAAATACTGGATGATTGTACTCATATGTGGAATAAACGATAACAAAAAAGACCAAAACCAAAGAAAAACAATTCTTGAAATCTCATTGCAGAACTGGTACTACCAGGGGATGAGTGAAGAGCAAAGCATGGAGGGAGCCCTACAGACTATGGTGGATTATGGGTGTTCTGGTAGTGGGTGTGGTGTGGTAACATACATCTGAAGAGATATAAAAATATATCCCTAAAATATATGTAAACCAGTATTACCACAATAAATAAAACTATTTTAAATACCAACTTCAGACTTCTGTTAGTCAAAATACTTGTGAAAGTTTACCCTAAGTGAACCTTGAAAAGTTACATTAAAAACTATACTTAACATATGAAAGACAGCCCTATCCCTATAAAAAGTACATAAAGATCTTCAAGTACATTGTCTACTTATATATAAATCTCTTTTCTATCACTTAAAAGATAAAGAAATAATTTTCAAGAATGGTTTTACATAACTAGTATCCTTCAATGTAATTCAGAAAATATATTAAAATCTATATATTAGAAAAAACTAAATAGCTCTGATAGAAAATAATTGTTGCTCTATTTTTTTCCCCTAAAACCTAAAATAGTTACAAACAGCAAAGCATGCATCATCTCAGAGTCTAACAACTTCTCAGAGACAGGTGTGTTCTGAGAAGAGAATTTCCCTCCAAGTTCATATTCCCTCCAAGCTATGCAGACTTCATTTATCAAAACCTTCAAAGTTTATAGCTATGCAGACTTCATTTATAAAAACTTTTAACATCCTACTTCCTTTCCACTACTTTTCTATTTCTAATCACTGGATCTACCCCCATCTCCATCCTTTTAAATTTATTCCCATCAGGAAAAATTCTCACAAATGTGTAATATTGCAAATTCTTCAAATTGCTAAAAAGTAGCAAAATCTAGATCTAGACATAATGATCTTTTCTATGTCAAGAGGAGAGGTTTTTTTTTTTTTTATAACCTTTTACTATGATGTTCTAAGGACACTAACTATTAAAAATTCTAGGATACATGTAAGTAGTCAATTCATAAATATGGTCAGAAGTCCAGTTTTTATATTTGAGTCACTAAATTTTTTTAGTCACTAAAGATTTAAAGGGGCAAATACGCTTCTAAAAATCATAAAAATTAGAAATCAGCCTAAACAACTATAGAGGTACAACTGTAGAGGGAGTCCAGAAAACATTACTTCTCTATATTGACAAGCCCCCTTGATTTAACTGATTTAATAAGAAATGTGAAATGCATCATTTTGTTCAGAAATATCTTCTGATAAATAGATATGCAAGTAAAAAAGTAAAAAATAAACCAAAAAAACCTTACTATTTAATGCAAAAAAGTAATTTTAAAAAGTGTGATTCTGATATTACATTATGGAAAATATTGAACCATATTACCTTGAAAGTTTTTCTGTACAACTTTTAGTTGAATGCATAAAGACTGAAAAGAGCTTCGCTATAAAGAAGAGTATCTGTCCAGAATGAGTTTAACTGGATTTACAAGGTGGTTCTACAAAGGAAATGGCTAACGAACATGAAAATTCTCTTCTCTATACTGGACTCAATTATACAATAAAAAGCTAAAATATTATTAATCAGAGTGGAGATCTACAGTTTCGCTAATATGCAATTTAATACAGGCAGTGATATACACAAAACCTCTAACTTTTGCTCCTGGCACAGATTCATTAGCATATTTGCATCTCTGCAAATAACTATATTTACATATCTTATTTTAATAAATTTAATGTTCCAGAAAGGGTATGAAGCCTCCTTACAAAATACAACATAAATTTTAAAAGTGACAAAATCAGGACTAAGAGAAGGCAGACAAAAGATTACCTGTTCATCTTATTGCCACAAATTTCAGGGAGCTTCTTCTTTAATAGCCACAGTAAAGTACATCATTATTAACAAAAGTTTTTAATACACAAAATAAAACATTAGGTCTGAAGATAGCCTTATGTGGTACGAGCAGCTAGTATTTTTTGAGAACCTACTACGTGTTATAGGAAAGCACTGTCATAACCAATATATATGTGTATTCTTCCTAATAGGTAGCCAGCTATTATTCCTATTTTACAGATAACAGAGGAAAACATTTTTTAATTTATCTTAAAAAGTATGATAAAGTAGGTAGTTTTAAAACATTTTTGACAACAAAGTTCTTTAAAAAATACATGCTGCACAGCAATCCATTGTGCAAACACATAGCTGAAAAGTTTCATGAAACAGTATTTGTACTTCAACGTAATACTAAAATTTGAGTTTATTAATGTTTAAATGTGACACAAGAAAAATAAAATAAACAATACAAAACCAAGAAATTCTGGCTAGGACCATTAAATTGACCTTACAACCCATCAATAATTGTAAACTCATTCTTTGAAAATACTGAAATAGGACAAAGTCTCTAATATTACTACAATGCAAACAAATGTGAATTTCATAGAACTTTTTCTCAAAACATGCCTCAATGCTGGGTGAAGCACAACAATGCATAATCTGGCAAGTTGGCAAATTATCCAATCAGGGGAAGCAAAACAATGTACTATGAGTATTTAGCCTCTTAGTGGTCGGGTACTTTAATCTACAAATTTAAGTTTGTGAATAATCAAAGCATTTTTACCTAAAGCTAATTTAATACATTAAATCCACATTTAATATTATGACTAGATTCTTAGAAACTGAATCTAAGGGAAGTTGAGGAACTGCTGTACTTATGAGCAACATGTTTTCAGACACTAGAACCATCTTATTTCAAGAAATTTTTTGTATCAAAAGCACAACTACCTTAAAACATATTAAGAGAAATGACTGACATATTACCTGAAATTTCAGATAGTAACAGTAGCAAATGGAATACACAGCTTAAAAATATATGAAGTATAACTGATTATTAATACTCCCCATACCTTTGCCTGAACTGCAGTTGTTAAAGGCAGAAAACCAGTAGGTCTAACCTGGCTTTATCTTTTACCATGCATTTTGGCAAATTCCTAATTTTTCAGATTGACTTTCCCATTATCACCTGGGGGCTGGCCAGTAATTAAAGGATTTCAATACTGAAAGGACCTTCCAGATAATACAGTGTAGCCTTATCATTTTACACTTGTAGAAAGTAGTGGAGACTTTAGGGAACTTTCCTAATTTCGCAAAGGTACAAGACAAATCTAATCTCCAAGCCCAGTACCTACTCCATGAAACAGCTAAAGTTTAACAATTATTCTTTATACAAAGAAGGCTACTAGTACATTATCAATAGGAACATGATGAAAATGAAATCTCCCATTATCTGGCCTTTTGGAAACTGTAATATATGCTATCTGCATTGTTATCCATATTTGAAATAAATCTATGGCATGAGCTATAATATCCAAGTTAACTGTTTTATGTAAGTTAAATTGTTATTTTAATTCACAGAAATCAACATGAAAAAATTCAGCTACCACTCCATATTGGTTCATACTACTTTTATCTAAAATACTTCTGAAAATAAAATTGTGGGATGGGGTAGGGTGGTTTGAGGACTAAATGAGTTGACACATGACAAGCAAGCCAAGAGCCTGGGACAGGCTGCATTGCCTTCTTCAGCCAACATCATAAGTTCCGTACGTAGGAATAGTTAGATTCATTTTATTGTTACACTCATGAATCACATTTAAATAATATATAAAGGAGAAGTGAAATTCCTAGGTCACAAGACATGCACATTTCCAACTTACTAGAGAATGACAAATATGTTCCAAAGTCACTGTGTCAGTTATACTCCAACCAACTATGCAAAATATCTACATTGTTCCTCAGCACAATTGGCCCTATCAGATTCTTTAATTTCTGCTGACCTTATCTCTGTGAGAGCAATTCTCAAAGCGCTAGTAACTTTTCAATTTCCTATTAAGTTATATAGCCAATAAATATTATAAAACTAAAACATACAATCTCAATATATAGCTAACAATTTAATTTATTACTAGGATAATATATATATTCCATTCATATTTTTGTTTGTTTTTCTTAATATATCTTTTAACATTTTTGGAACATTTGTCCTGAGTTCATAGTTCTGGAGTTCTTAATAGTCTATAATCATTTATCCTTTGTCAATTATACAGGCTGCCAATACCACCTTTCAATTTGTGGCTTCCATTTTTATTCTTTGTTTTCCCCTCTGTGGTAGGCATTCATTTCTCTCATGGCATCATTTTTTGCTATCTTCCTGGTGGTTCCTTGCAATCATGTCTCTCACCAACCTAACTGCAAAGTTGATCATATCATTTCACTCCTCTAAATTCTTCAATAGCTCTCCACTGCCCTCACTGTGAAGATGAAATCCCTGAGGACCAACATCTATGCTTTACGGACTATTTACTCTGAAATCTGCTTCAGGTAAGGGCAGCGATTATGCCTCATTATTTTTTAAACCATCAAAAACTGAGCTATGTGGTTTGTATATAATGCTCCAAACATAACTGCTCTATACATAAGTAAACAGATAAATATGTTATTACACTTTCATACATGGGAAAAAAGTATCTTATGAAACAGCACAAACATATTTTCTTTGCCGCTTTATCTATAGACTTCTTGTAACCTGTTTTTTCTCCCTTATGACAAATATTGTATCCACATTAAAACTACTGAGTTACTGGAGAAAAACTTTAAATTTGGGTTATTTACCCTCACCACCACCTCATTCCCTGACTCTTTTCTATCCTCCCTCCTTCAAAAACCTTAGTTCATCTGTTAATGCCCACCAGATTTCTTTTAAATAATAGTTTAATTTTACATAATTCTGTGCATTTTTTCATCTCAGTTGTAATCCCTGTATGCTTCCCATCACCAAATCACCCATGTGCCATCACCATAGTCCAGTGCATTTCCTTCGCCCCACTATTTTTGATCCCATTCCCTACTCCAACCCCCATAAAAGGTCTCTGGTATATAGTTGTTCATTATTATTTTTTCGCCTGGTCCATTATACTCCTGCTATGAGTGAAATCATCTGGTATTTTTCCTTTTCTTTCTGGCTTATTTCACTAAGCATGATCTTTTCCAACTCCATCTATGTTATTGCGAAAGGCATGTGTTTATATGCTGATTAATATTCCATTGTGTATATGTACATCTTTTTTGGTTGCTGAGTAATATTCCATTGTGTATATGTACATCTTTTTAATCCAGTCATCTACTTTTGAATGCCCACCAGTTTTTAAAAGTACTTTCTTATACTGAATTGTCTATGTAAATATCCAAAATTGTATCACTTTGACTTGTTTTATCACACACAATTCCCTCAAAAACCTTTGATTTGCTATAACTGCCAAAATCTTGTCTTTTTATTTGGTTGAGTATTAGTATTCCATAATGTAGATAAACCACATTTTCTTGATAAAATCTTCTATCAGTGGGAACTTAGGTGGTTTCCATGTCCTGGTGTTGTAAATAGTGCTGCAATAAACATTTTAGAGACTACAGTTTTTTTTTTTTAATTGCTGGCTTTATGTTCTCTGGATAAATGCCCACGAGTGGAATTGCTGGGCTGTACAGTTATTTCCACCTTCAGTTTTTTAAAGCTTAACCCATGACAGCTCATCAGTTTACATTTCTACCGACAGTGTAGGTTACCTTTTCTATGCACCTCCATTCTCAATGTGGGACATAATAGCTCATTGTGATTTTAACATGCATCTTGTAGGGAACAATGACAAGCATCCTGCCATGTTATCTACTGGCCTTCTGGATATCCTCTTTGGTGAAAGAACTTCCACACTTGACAGATCTAACTTTATTTTTACCTAAACTCTTAAAACTTTTATGGGTTTTCAAAGAATTTTAATTTTAAAAACTAGTATCAGTCAATATTTTATAATATGAAAAAAGATTAATGGACTTCTAAAATAGTAAAATATGCAAATTTTATTCTATAACCTATTTTAAAGCAACACATGTAACTGACAGTATTTTAAGGGTACAGCTTATAATCTCATCACCTATTATACCTGTCATTTGGGTAGCTGTATATATATATATTTGACTTTGAGATAAATACCTACTTTTGAGCATGACTAAATTTGTTTTTTCTAGCAGAAAAAAATCCTAATGAAGAAACAGACGACAAATTCTTACTATTTATTGTAAAAAAAATTCTATAGTAAAGGAAATCAAGAAAATAAAATCTTAAAAGGTTTCCCTCTTTTTTAGGTGTTATGATAAAAAGTATCTGATTATTTACATGCCTAAAAGTTTGTGAATGAAAATTAAAAGCACACTGAATAAAATTAACTTGCCCAAGATTAAACTTTAAAATTCTTTAGCTATAAGAACAAACTACCTTTTACCTCATGATACATCATCACTGTTCAAAACATCAATTGGTAAATTATGAAGATATCCTGGTCTATATTTCTAAGTCAAGCAAAGTTTAATTGCTCAGATGGATTACTGTGGGCAATGCATTTTCATACTCAAATATTTGCTTCAAACTAAACCCTTTAGGGTATAAACTATAATTCCCATTTTACTGTCTCATATTGTTTACAATACCCATCCTAAGAATGCATAATTAATAAACATTACAGGTCATAAATACTGCCTCAAAAGGCTAGATTTTATAAAGTAAATAGTGAAAGCTCCTAAGAATTAAAAAATACAGTATGATAAAGAATTAAACCTGTAGCAAGGAGAAGGGGGGGGAAACCCTTATTTAGAACCTCTAAACACAGTTTCATGCAATTTGTAATATGTTATAAAAGATAAGAAGGATAAAAGGCAAGACATGAGGTGACAGGGCCTTATTACTTATAAAGTAACTTAAGACCCTCAATTCTATACTGGAAAAGCATAATGAAGGGGGAAATATGATACAGTCTAATCAAAATTTATTCTGCTACTAATAACACATAACAACATCAGGGGATATCCAATATTTAAAAACAGCCTTACCTTAGATCAGGTGATTCCGCCCTCCCGTATCGATCCTGCCACTTCCCGACGCTTGAACTGGCTTTTCTGGAGGCAGAACTTGTCTGAGACTGAGAAGAGGTGCTGTTTCTGGTGAGATAAATTTTCTATGTTTTTTCTTACATATTGTTGTCTCTAACTCCCCCACCCCCCGCTCATCCTGTTTCTATTTCCTTACACACAATCTTTTTGTTGTCTTTGACCCCCTCCCCCATATTTTTTTCTTTTGACAGGCTCTTTCTAAAGTCCTTTAGCATGTTCCTACAGTATAATTTTCTTCAAATAACATAAAATACTTGCTGTGATATGAGATTACAGGTGGCATTTAAAAGAGTATTTTTCAACATACAGTATGATGTCAAAATGCAGAAATGAGAAAAAATGAAAGATTTACTTCAGGATATATTTTTAAGCAATAAACTTCAGTACTTTTGTAAATTAATAATTTCTGGGGTTTCAAAATCTTATTTTGATCTTTCTTTATATTGTTCAGTAACAGATATAACTATTGTTACTGTAAGCAGTTAACAGAAAAACTCTGATGTTTCATACACTCCTATACTAAATATAAAAAGAAATTTCATTTTAACTTTTTCAAAGTAAAATTCTAGAAAAAGCTAATTTTATCCCTGGTGACACAGTTGATAAAAAGTTCAAGTATCTGTATACTTGTCAATTGTTTAAAGAACTAGTTAGATGCTCTTTCAAAGCAATAAGAACAACAGTCTATGTATCTACTTATTTATATACAGGAAGAACAAACCAGAAACTAGATGAAATGAAATTATTAACAGGAATGAAAAAGTAATAGATATATCTGTATATCACTCTAGATAGCCTTGCTTTGGAACTACATTAGTTTTCTATATATGAAAAAGCTAATTAAGTTGATAAGAATGGAGGCAAACAAATGCTAAAACTGATCACAAACAGAAAAAATGGATCAAATTATATTTTCAATGTCTAAGCAGTGCAAAGTTAACATTTGAATATGAAGATAATATTCTGACTACAGATCTTCAGTAAGAAAATAGAATTGCAAAGAAATCTTGAATTCTAGTAAGTCTGTCATTTTTTCATGACAAGACCCAGAAGTTCTGAATCTATTTTGTACATTTTAAGACCAAGCAAATGAGTGTGTGTGTGTGTTTTAAGTTATTTAGAAACAGATTTTCACTCACTACAGGAAATGGAAGCTACAAAATGGAAAGAGGGTAAATAAGAATCCTGAGTAGTCTGGAAATAAACATAATTTTCTAATTAAGGTTTTATAAAAATATACATGGCAATTTCATATTGAAAACTGCTTTTTTTCTGGATCTGACTGCTGGAAAGACCTAGAAATAGTGACAACCCTGTAGCAATGAGTATAGCTAGTATTCAACATTGGTTTCTGTTTATTATTTCCCACTAAAAGGCATCAAGTGTGCCCTCAAGAAATGGTTGCTTGTAGAAAGCACAGCACTAAGAAGCTAAAGCCCCTTCTGCATAAGTTCAATTCCCGCCTGCCCTGGAGGAGGAGATCCACATGGCGAGGCAGACCTCTCCTGACCCGCCGGCTGCTCCCCTCAGCAGTGTACTTCGTCGATCTGCCTGTTCTGCTCCCCTCTCTGTCTCTGGTCAATCGTCTCAAACTCTGGCCTGTACCCCAGTTCCGAATGAATGAATGAATAGATGAATGAATGAATAAATAAAAAAGGGGTAGAGAAGTACAAGATTCATATAAATAATGCCAGAAAGTAAAGATATACTCTAAATAATAGGGGGACAACTCAGAGGATTATAAGAGTCAGTTTGGAGAGATTTCTACAAACCAGATTTAAACAATTTAAGCATCAATATGAACTATAACACACACACAAATATACAGACACACACATATATGTATGTACACATATGCACACACACAAGCCACATACTGTCTCACAAATAAAAACTGAGTTAACTGACAGTAAGTGGGGTAAATAGGAAAGCTCATTTTAAAAGTAGAATGCCAACTAATAAACAGAAGAGGAAATAACAGGTCATCTGTCTTTTGCAGTCATGATAGCAGTAAAAATCATCAATAGAGGCTAAAATTCTTGGGACATTCAAAGAGGAAAAGAGTTATTTATAGTCTCTTCACATGCTATTTTTTTTTTTTTAAAGATTTATTTATTTGTGCATACAGAACTGGGGTACAGGCCAGAGGCTCAGGGGCAGTGAGAGGCTTCACCAGAGACAGAGTGGGGAACAGAACAGGCAGATCGACGAAGTACACTGCTGAGGGGAGCAGCGGGTGGGTCAGGAGAGGTCTGCCACACCATGTGGTCACCTCCGGGGCAGGCGGGAATTGAACTCATGTGGAAGCGGCTTTAGATTCTCAGTGCTGTGCTTTAACCTGCTGCGCCACCAGGGAGGGCCTTCACATGCTATTTTTAAACACACAAGGAAAATAGCAACCTTGCAGTGTAAAACTGAATGAACACCACCACAAATAGGTAATTACACACTGGTGGGACACACTGGTATCTATACCTCCAGGCTAATGCATTAAAGATATCAGAACCTCACTGATTGTTCCTGCCTAACAAACAAAATCTTAATCTACTAAAATATGAGAGAAATGCATATTAAGGGTGTTTTATAAACCACTAAGGGTATTTTTTAAAATGTATTCTTTTAAATGTCAGTGTTAATAAAGAATGGCTGAAATTAAAAAAGTTAATTGCAATGAATGATTCTAGATCCTATATAAGGAGGAAAGAAACGAACTGACATAAAAGACATTATTGCAATGATTAGCAAAATTTATGAATGCTGTATCAGATAAAAGAGTTAATTCAATACTAGATTTTCAGATGTTGATAATTATTTTCATTGATTATGTAGCAAAATATCCTTGTCCTTAGAAAAAACATGTTGAAGTATGTAGGGGCAAAAGAGTGTATCTAAAAGTAGCATTCAAATGGTTCATAAAGAAATTTTTTTTTTTTTAAATTTCTAAAGCAAATACAGTACAACTGAGTTCACAGTCACAGACATTCTTAATACTTTTTTCTGGAATTTTTCTAAGTTATTTGTTACCAAAACAAAACATGAATAAAATGAAAACAAATGGACACAAGAGAGGTTTTGAAAGTTATAGTAATGTTCTTTTTACTGATCAGTGTGCTGCTTATATGGGTTAAGTTTAACTGTGAAACTTTATCTACCTATCCATTTATGGCATAATATGATTGGCTTTTTATACAAATATTAACATTTTACTAAAGAAAGCCAACTTGCTGGGTAGTACAGAAAGTTAGAAACCCAGAATTTCTACTGATAAAATACAAAAAGGAGGGCAACAGTCTATACACTAATAGGCAATCTAAGTTTTTAAACAATGGAACATAATAGTGATAAACTTATTATTCTAAAATTATTTACTGTGCAGTTTACTATGTAATAAATATTACTATCTCCTCGCTAAAGTAAATGAATTTTACTTTCAAATATGTCTGGCTCCAACATCTCTCTATACATGTAAAGAATGAAACAGAAAGAAAAAACCAAATATTTAGGGAAATACGTCATAACAATTGAAAATTATCTTTAGATCAAATGAAGATGAATCCAGAAAATAACTTTCCCCAAAGCAAAAGGTACTGTACTTTATGTCCAAAGGTGGTAGCATTGCCATGCTAGCATGGTGGTGGTTACCCACTGCTTAGTAGCAGATACAACTGTTAATTTTGACATCAGTCCTTTACCTCCTTTTTACTGTCCCTTATTCCTCACTGTCTTCTTATCTCTGCTTACTGTCAGTCTCTCTCTGGACCCAGTATCTCACATTATACTCCTCCCTGTAGTACCTCCCTTCCTTGATCTATCCCCTTCTCCTGTTTGCCCACTGTAACCTTAACTCACTAGTTCTAGCTTCACTCCATAAACAAATGCACACCTGACAAGGCAAAGAAATAGATCTCAGCAAGCTGACTTTTCTTATTTTAAAACCCAATGCCATTAATCTCAATCACAGGTGGAAATGTACAATCTTTCTCATTATTTTTTCATTCTACTAATATCCTCATCAACATATAAAAATGGTGTAATTTCTCCCATCTCCCTGTTGATCCTGAAATTCTCTCCAGTTACTGTCTAGCAATCTTAAATCTTTCTCCCAATTTTTAACACCTAAAATGACTATTTCGGGTCTCCTATCTTCTCAAACATTCAACTTCCCCTTCTGTTATTCTATTCTCACTCATCAGATAGCATGTTTCCAATGCTGCTGGGTAAATGAAGCAGTCAAATGAGAACTTAGAATTCTTCCCATCACCATTATCTACCTAACCACCCTGACTGTGTCCTGTGTCCTGCCCTCCCTTATGACTTTTTAAAGGACATTATACTTGCAACTGTCCTTTCTCATGTCTTGCATCAATTTTCCCTCACTAGTAACTCATAAATTCACAAACATGCTATTATTTTTTTCATTTGGAAAAAAACAGTCCCTCTAGTTACTGTTCCATTCCTCTATCCTTTCCCAACAGAAAAAACAGTCCTTTAAAAAGTTGTTCATATTTTTACATTCTAATTCCTCTCCTCTCATGTCTTCTTGAATACATTCCAAAATATCTTTTTTAAATCTTCACTTTGTAACACTGAAAATGATCCTGTTCAAGATCACCAATCATCTCTGCATTTAAAAATCCAAGTCAGTCTTACTTAACACTTAACAACAGTCCCTCTTAGAAACACATTCTTTCAACACTACATATACTGGGTTTTCTTTCGATTTCATACATTATACATCTTTACTGGTCCCTTCTTATTGGTTCATTTTCATTTTTCCAACTTGAAAAGGAGAGTCACAGGGTCTCTCCTTTGATACTTGACATTTACCAAACTTAGCTCTTTTACAATCTGTTTCATAATTTCATTTAAATACTACTTTAACAATGATTACTCACAATCTCATGTCCAACATTTCCACTCTAGCCCAGATTCATCTATTTACTTTCTATGCAAAACCTCTACTTATATGTTGTAATGAGTATCTCTTTTAATATGTCCTTAATTGAACTCTTGGTCTCTAACCACCAAACATCACTCCTGAGTCCACCAAACATCACTCCTGCTATAATGTTCTATATCTCAAATACAAAAGATACTTAAATCCAATGTATCCAATTATCTGATGAATTCTCACCACCTGCATCACTATCACCTTGGTGCAAGTCACCATTACTTCTTGTCTAGACAACAGTTACAACCTCCGAAGTAACCTACCTATCAGTTTCTGTCATTAATCCCTCTAGAATCAATCTTAATGAAGTTGCTAAATTGAGACTAAAAGCCTAAAGCAGACTGTTTCACTCCTCTATCCAAAATCTGATGGTGATTACCCATTCTCTTCACTTACAGGAGAGGCAATTATGGGGCCCTAGAAAATAATACGGTCCAAATTATAATGAGAAACAAACAAAACACATGGAGGGGAGGCAAACTATAGAAAAATTGCTATTGATTTTCAAATTGCTTAATTATTTTTTATAATAGCAAATATCTAGAGTATGTATTGTATATATGCCAGAAACTCTTAAAACAATTTATGTAAATTAGACTACTTAATACCTATAACTCCTTGTAAGAGAAGAATTATTACCATCTTTGACAGATGAGGAAATGGAAGATGAACAACATTAAGGAATTTGTCCAATGACATATGGTTAGGTACATTCTAGCAGAGCCAGAATTCAAACTCCAGAAGTCTGGCTCTAGAGCCCAAGTTCTGTTTCATCCTCTAAACTGCAGAACACTAAAACACAGCAAATGAAACCTGACCACTTCTAAAAACTGAAAATAAATACTACTACACATTTAAAATGATCAATGTTCCTTAACTACTATAACATCTTAGGATATTGCATTTAGTTTAAATAATCGTATTTGGAACTACTCATAACTAGTAACTGTTAAGCGGAGACAGTCAAAATCTAGAGAACTGTGACAATTATTGGCTGAAAGTTTCAAGAATCTCTTTTTTGGGGGGTAAACTAGATGCTCACACAAGATTCTCTTCTTACATTTATATATTATGAAATATAATCTCTTAGGGATTATATTTACAGTAACAAAAGGTTGTATAAAGTATAAACAACACAACGCTGAATAACCTGGCTAAAAGCTAGTAGTACTTAAGATTAGTAATTTGTTTCAGGCCCAGAGAAATGAATGGGTTAGTCATCTTTACCTAATCCAAGATTAAACTGCTGGCATAAATACAAACAACAATTACTGCCATAAAAATGAACTTAAAAAAATGAACGGTTTACATCAAACTTCCCTAATCTAGCCTTTACCATTTTCACGATTAAACAAAAAAGACATATATGCCTCTTAAAATTGGTATCCTGTGGATCCTAAAGTCAGGTATTATCACAACAGATCAAAGGGAAAAAGCATTTCACTGCAAGATTTTCCAGGCTGAAATTTTACCATCTTTTACAAAAATTAGTAAAACACCTTTAAGTCAAAAGATCCAGATTTAGTAAGCCCATAAATTCTTTAAAAGAATAATAAGCACAGAAAGCAGCCAGACCATTGCTCTCACCATCTCTCCAAAATGTAAAAGTGCTCTCTCTTTATAAATACACCTAGTGTCTTGCATATCTAGGTTTTTTTTTCAGATGGACAGCACTTGGAAGTTTTTTCATGAATTCCTTTTGTATTAAAACAAAATGGAATGTTCCCACCTTTTGGTGGAAGATTCAACACTTTTACATTTCATGTTGTATGATACAATGTGAACAGACCAATGATTTTCATAAAGTAAGTTAGAGTTGTCTTAACTAACCTGCTTGGTGGGAGTCCAGTCTTGAACAAAGAAGGAGGAGAAGTAAACTCAGCTTTTGTAGATGGAAGAGCTGCTTCCTTCTCTGAATTTCCAGTTCTTCCCTGCTGTACCTTAAAAAAAAGGGTTATTAGCTTTTTTAATTTAACAGAATACTCAAACACCACACTGAAAATATTCAATTTGCATGTTAACTTGTAATAGTTGACGTGAAATTAAATATGGAGGATGCCTCACTGCTGAATAGTTAACAAAATTAATCTACTTTAGAAGAGCACTGAAAATGGACTATGGGATCAAACTGACCTAGTTCACAGTATGTCACTTAAAAGTCCAATGAACTATAATGCTTCAGGAATTTCACAAATTCTCTCAGATCACCACAAGTAAGATACTTGTTAAAACTCCCTATTTCAGAATTCAAAAGTCTTGAAGAATTTTCCCCATTTATGTTCACTACCATTATCCAAGAAAACAATCAGTGGCCTTTTTAGCCATACTGACTTTTTTCTATTCAGGCAGTGATTTAGTTTAACACCAATGGTAAAAATTTGCTCCTGCACTTCCATACTATTTCTCCCCTGTGATTTTACAACATCATCATCATCATTAATAGCACCATCATCTTACTAGTAAATGCACACAGAAGGATTGTCAGTCATTTGTCTCCTTAATACTTCTCCCTCTTTCAATTCACTTTTAAACCCAGTTATCTACTTATTCTATAATTTCTTCCATATTTCCCATTCTTTCTGCTCCTAACAGATCCTTTGAGTATGGGCCAGTCATACTGCCTTAGGCTGGTGGGATAAGTTATCTTTATATTCTTTTGCTTTCATACCTACCAATCTTTCTTAAAACTATCATTATTTCATAAAACCTAAACAAACTAAATTCATGTTGCATCATGAATGTGAATATCACATCACATTTTACGGCCTTTTAAAATTATACTATCCATTTTTGGCATTACTCTCCTTCCCCATGAGACAAAGGCCAAGAGAATCTGAGACAGCTTGACTTTGATATATTCAAATGAACTACCAATTCAATTTCAAAAACCATCTACTTCTCAAATAACCATTTTAGTAAAGCCAATCTTATGCATTACAATCTGATATTGACATTGGTGAACCCAACCCCTAATTGGTACTGTCATATAATTTTGATTTAACAATGTCATTTTATTTGAAAATGAATCCCACTGCTTCAAAAAAAAAATCCATTTTAAAGCACGAATTCTAATATAGGGTAATGACGATCAGCACTAAGACAATGACAGAGGAGGACAGAAATGGACTGGACAAGACACTTAACAGGTAAAGATAAACAGGGAAAATAAACAGGACTGGCTATCAAATATTTATTAAATATCTATTATATAGCAAAAGCTGAAATTACTAAAATAACACAAACCCCCAATGGTTAAAGACAAATGTGAACAACCAGAGAATAACACAATAAAATGCCACGAAAAATGTATCGACAAGATAAATGATACTATGAAAACAAAAAAATAAATGCATCACTATCCCTGGGGATGTGAGGAATACTCACAAAATTGATGGTATGGTTTCAACTGCTCCCCTGAGCTCCAACTTCTTACATATATAATAAGCATGTCTCATTAACCATGGCCAAAACAAAGCTACTGATTTCCCAGTACCCCCCAATCTGATCCTCAGTCTTCCCTATATAATATGCAAATGGATACCTAAAACTATTATGTCATAAAATCTAAACAAAGTTCGTTGTTCCACATTTGAACGCCATCCTATTTAATGTGATTTTATTAAAGTTAATTTTATTTAATACCATGTCACATACCACCTATTTAAATATACTACCCATTTCTGGCACCACTCTCCTACCCCTTGAGGCAAAATATCATCATCTACCAAGCTGTTCAAGAAAAAAAACCTAAGGTATCAATACATATGCATCCACTGTCTACTTTACTTTTACAGTATATGCCAAATGCAACCACTATTATAGCCCCTCTTAAAACCCATGTCACACTACCATATTTTAACTGTTCTACTAAATTATTTGTTTTGCGTTTACTATTCTAAAATCTGTTCTCTGTACTGCCAAAGCAAACTCATTAAAAGTATAAATCAACTCATGCCTCCCTCTCACCTGCTCAAAATTTTCCAGTAACTGCATAATCATTGCAATGAGAATAAAATCTGTACTTCTCATGAAGGCCTGCAATAATTTACATGGTCTGGGTCCTGCCTACCTCTCTGGTTTTGTTTTCCTCATTTCTCTCCAGCTTATCTATACTATGCCCATTCATCCTTTATCAGGGATGTTTTTGCCCTAGGTGTTCCTCCTGAAACAGTCTCTCCTCACACCTTCTCATGTCTACCTCCTTAACCATTCATGTATTCCCACGTCTCCATGGAGATGGCTTCCCTGATTATTCCCAATCTCTATATTACATTTTTTATGTGCTTCATATAATTTCTCTCTAGTATCTTCATCTGAAGGTATTTGTTTTATTTATTAATTATCTGTTGTCACTACACAGTTGTTCAAATCTGTATCCCAACTACCTAAAAACAGGCATGCAAAATGACACTTGCTTGGCTTCAGAAACCACCTCAAGTGTAATTTCTTCAGAGTGTTTCATAGGACAAGTTACATTATTTTTAGTAAGATTATTTAACTAATGCCTTTCCCATTAAGTCAGATAAACCCTAAGACCAGACTATATGCTCACCTCTCATTGCAAACAAGCCTGAGACACTTCCTACCATAGTCAATGATTAATTAAAAATTGGGAAGCAGGATTAAATAAGAGAAGAAGAGGGAATTAAAAAAAAAAAAGTGGGGAAAGAAAACAAATGAACGTATTTCATGAGTTCATTGTTTTATCTACTAGTCCTCAAATGCTATACTCAGGATTATAGGGACTGATAATTTGTTTAAGTGGAACAAATAAGACTATTTTAAGAAATGACTGTAAGACAGTGATTTTCTAAAAATAATTCATGTCAGAACTTACACATCTAAATAAAAGTTGACTAAAGTCTATAACCTGGAGGAGCTAAATATTTACCCAAATTATGTTATCACTGTACCAAAATTTATTGTCTTTTGCAAGTTTCCTTCAGCTGCCACTCATAGCATGGTCTATAAAAGTTTAACAATAAAAACAAAATAATATCTTAAGATAAATTTATTAAGTAAATTGTAATAACCCAAATATGGATTATGCAAGTTTCAAGGTGATACTCATGAAAATATTAATAACCTAGTAAAACATGTCTCACAGAATTTTATGGTGAAAAAGGAAAAGTAGAAAAATCACAAAAATTACCACAATTTTGTTTCAACTTACAAACATAAAAAAAAAGAAAAAGCAACAGTTTAGAAATTTGAAAGCAGATTTTTAAAAAAGCTTACCTGATTAAGCAAATCAAAGAAAAATGAATCTTAAGTTTGCAAGAAGAGAGCACTAAGTCATACTGATTTTTATGCCAGAATTTCAAAAAGTTGATAGGATGGAGCTCTAGCACCCAGAACATGTGAACAGAATATAAACCTTGCAGGTAGAACATCTTCTATGAAAAATTAAAATTATCACAAAAAGGAAAAAGGGAAAAAATCTAAAGATAATAATGTTAAGTACTGGGGAGGGGGGCGGAGGGCAGCATTTAGCTCTACTGTGAAGACAACAGCCTTAACAAGCAAGTTCCATTCAAAGGCACAAAGCTCCCAATCACTTTTTAGTAGCTCATTCTCTCATGAATGAATGGCCAAGGACCAACAAACATCTGAGAAAAGTCAAAGTCAGAAACCAAAACCAGCAAACTTCAAAAATCAACTTGGAGAAAACATGCTATATAAGAAAAGACTGTCTAAAAGAACCTATCATTAGTAGTAATATCCTTTGAAAGATAAAAGGAGGAAAAAAATACCACATAACTAACTACATGAAAAAAGAAATAGGCCACTATAGTAAATATTAAAGAAAAATTTTCTTGGATACTAAAAATTTAGTATAAATATAAAAAATGATCATGAGAATGTGAGGCTGAAAAAGCCTGAGATATGGAAAAGATATAGAAAATGTGAGAAAATAAAAGAACAAGAACAAGAAGTTCATTATTTGAGTAGATCAGACAGAAGAAAGTAAAATGTAAAGAAATAATAAAAGAAACTGTTCAACAGTGAGGATATGTGCTTCCAGATTAAGAGGGTATAACTGAATGCTTGTTACAATGGGTAACAGACCAAAACTCATAGTTGTGAAATTTGAAAACACTGGCTACAAAGTTAATATATACTGCCAGCAAGGAAAATTCACTCATCTTTCAATTATCACTCTGATTGAATCTATTTTAAATTGGCCAGTATAGGACCATCTCTTCTGAATTCCCAACTGTTCACTGTTGGGAATGGACAGAATATTCATCACAATATGACAGTTGGTTTATATGTAAAAGCCACTCATGGTGGACTGACTAACCATAGACTCCCATTGTACTACATCTAGCAAATAGCTTGATACATTGGAAGTATTTAGAAATACCAAGAAAACTGGAGAAGTTTTTTTCTCCTATCTTTTCCACCATCCCTAGGTTTACTTCAAATGGTATACAAGTGGCTCTGAGCTTGGACTTTCTATTTCAACCACATTACATATTACTGCCAGAACACTATTACATGTAAATCATCCTTTCACTCTTAACAAATCTACCTTGGTACTAGACACTCTAGAATTGAACCACATCCTACCATCTCTCTTCTACTCCTTTCCAAAAAAAAAAAAAATTCCTGATCCACTTACTCTGTTGAATACTGATAATTCTTTTAACTACTTTAACTCAATTAAAATAAGTTTCCTGGGCCAAGCCATTTTCTCATTCTATTTTTTTTTCTCTTCTTCACACACATATTTCTGACTAAACTAGTATTTATTTCTACTGTTCCATCACACATCACTTTTAAAAAAGAGAAAACACAAAAATAAAGGACCTATATATAGAACACAAAGTATTTTCTAGTCAACTCTCTCATTCTAAAACATAAATTTTGGCACTTAACACCTGACAAATTTATCTGAGTATTTGGGATAATAATGCCATTTTTTATTCAAAAAAAAAATTGGGGTAATTCTCTCATATCACAGGATAGCAAAAGAGAAATAGTATTTTTTGAAATGATACCACAGAAATATGAACAAGGACTTTAAATTTACGTAAGGTGACAGAAACTGTTCTGAAATTTAATGTGAATTAAATTGCAATCCGAAGATCCAAAGGCTCTCATATACCATTAGCTGCTGGCTTTAAGCATTATCAATAAAATAGATCCTATACCACACTATACACAAAGAAAAATGTAAGCCACACATATTAAATACATAGTCCCAAATCATTCTAACAGATGAGCAATATTTAATTATATTATAGGCAATAAAGGGCATTATATAATACCAATCATATACAAGTCCTTTTTCATTCAAACTGTCAAACTGAAATAAAACAGAATGGAGCAATGACTTCCACTCACATAGCCAAAAGAAACTTCAAATGATTCTTCAGTAAGCTATGTGTGGCTCTGTGTGTGTGTGTGTGTCGGTGGGGGGAGGGGGAGCCACAAAAAAATAAAAAAGCTCAATCATGATGGCTACCTTCAATAAGAGACCAGGTCCCTAAGAGTTTTCATTTTATTTTTTAGTTTTAAAAATCTACAGCAAAAAGGCTAAGTGTACAGAAGCTGGCAGTTAACAAAGGCAGTTTTCATGCTGACAGAAGAAAATAACTGTAAATGAAACTATTTTGTCATCGAGACTTCTCTATCCATTATAATCAGGTATAACAATATACGCAATGCATAAATGAGTAGGTATCCCCAAAAGAACCAGTAACTGACATCACTAGGAACTTCAAAATATTTACAGCAGATGAGAACCATATACTTACCCAAAGTAGGATGTAAATTAAAATTTAATTCTCTATACAGAACTGTGTCCAGCAGAGCGGCTACATCTGCGGATATAGCACATGCATTGCATAAGGCAGTATTTTGGTGGACAGGCTACAGTCCCAAAAGGGGCACAGAAAAGTTCCTGCCCACAAAAGTCTTGAGTGAACAACCCAATCTAAAAGTTATTCCTAATCTTCACCCCAGTCATTCACTATAAGAATTAAGATAAAGGAAGAGGAGTACACAATCAAGTTTTGAGACGTTAGTAGGCTGCTGTGCATTGCAGAGGTATGGATTACTCTTTGGACTGCATCTGCGATCATATAGAGGGAAGTCAGAAATCAGACTTGCAAGTATACAAGTGTAGTATTGACCTGTGCATCCTTCACTAGACCTACTCCCTTTTAAGTATTCATTTTAAAAGTCAACTGCTTTATCTTATTCTGTCTAGTCTTCCTTAGCAACACAAAATGCCTATGATTCTTGAAATAAACTGTGAGACATTACACCAGCGTTCAGTGTCATACACATAATAAGCAGTATGCTATCTTCCTTTCGATTTTTTAAACAGAGAAAAACAAATCACCGATTCTGACAAAATTATAGCATGATCTACATATATGACTCAAAATAAAATCACAACATACAGCAAAGATAATTTTACTTGGCATTTGTTAGTACAGGCTAAAAATTCACATGCTTGCAAAAGTGGAGATAAAACAACAATGAGCAAATTTGTAAGTCACCAGGAAGCTGAAGGTTTGGGGGAAAGGTAGCTATTTCCACTTTAATTTTGTCCCTTGAGTAGTGGTATGGGAGCAGACTCAAGAACAAAAAATGAGAGCAACCAAGGATAATTTACTAAAATTCACCTTAAAAAGATTGAATCTGCCATCTTGGATCTCTGCACCTGGTGTAACTTCCATAGTACAGTCTTCGGCCTAAGTTAAATAACATATTCCCCATTAAGATACCACGTAATTTTTAATTGATAGGCCATATAAAGACAAACTAGCTGTGGCCAATCAGTGACTTGAAACTACAAACATCAGATAATCATTAAATAGGAAACTCTGAAAGGGAAGGAATGGAAACAAACATTGTAAAAAGAATGGAATTAAACTATAATATAGTATTTAACCACCTTTACAGGGAAAAAATGACTTATTTGGGGAATAAAAATGGGACAGTAGAAAAGGCAGGTATATTCTGGAATGTCTACTAATTACCGTAATTTTATTTGTAGTAGAGGTAACTGGTATAACTTCAAGTCCCATTCGTATCCTCTTTTGTTTTTCACAGTAAGCTTTCCAGGTATCTTCATTAAACCCATAATTAAAATAATCAGAAAGATCAGCACCTAAAAATGAAACACATTTTTAGTGTACAAATAGTTCAATTCTATTTTTAGTAGCATCATTATAATAAACTATAAAAATCTAAATTTAGAATTCTATCAGTCATAACACCAATTCTGTTTACCTCTACAAAGCAACAGGAGTACAAAAAATTTTCATCAGAATTATTTCCTTTAGAAATGGATTAAAATAAAACATACAAGTCTACTTTTACATAAAGCAAAGGTATTATAAAATTTAATAAGTCACATTATCATTATGTGGTTAAGAGAGCTAAAATGACACAAAAAAATTCTAAATCAATGTTAAAAAAAAACCACTTTTCTAATGACTGTTTACACTAAAACCCCACAACAATCTTACCCGGTTTACGCCATGGTTTATCTTCAAACGAATCCAAATCTACCTCCAAGAGTGGAACTCCATTAATGCTTCCAGGTGCATCAAGGTCTACCCCTTTGACTTTTGTTCCTATTTGTAAATTACAAAATATTACCAAAGTTATATTACTAAGAAACTGAAAGATACTAATAGAAAACATTGATACCTTTTTACTACTGTTACTAAATATGACAATGGTTCCATTTAAAACATTAGATTGATGTTCATATATGCTGGTAAGGTCAAATTTTATGGTGTAACTTAAGATATTCTGGATAGAGGTTAGGAATTGTTTACTTCCTGTAACAATAGAAAACTGCTAACCGTCTTTGTTGTAAATCACTGTTTTTGTGACCTAAAAAGAGTTTCTACTGTTTTAAAGGGTTATATGAAACATGCAAGTGGAAAAGTAAACAAACACCACATGACAAGTGCCCTATGTGGCCGACACAGCTTACAGTATTTATTATCTAGACCTTTACAAAAAAGTTTGCCCATATCTGGAATTTAGGGTCAAAACCTGCTCTTTATTGAGTTTACAATCTATATACGACCTATCCAAATATGCGTGGTATTTTCCTATTTATGCAGCTTCAAGCACAAGCTTTACCTGTTGTTCCATAAACTCTGCTTCCTGTCTTGATGTTAAGATTTACAGGTGTTGTTCCATAACTCCTACCAAAAAAAAAAAAATTATCCTGAGAAAATTAAAAACAGTACTGTATTCACTATAAGCCCATATAGTAACTAGTAGACATACATTTTATAAAATGTTTTAAATTAGTTAACATGCCACTGCTCTGTAAATTAAAAAAAAAAAATTTTACACTTGATGTTAGCCAAAAGACTGAGAAGTGATTAAAAAAATTTTAATGTCTGACTTGTTTAATACCTAAAAACCCCTATGCCACTAACTCAATTACCCACTGTAACAAGCTTCTCAAGAAAACTGGCTAGTTAAAAAAAATATATACCTTATCATGATTTCCTCATCTCCCAACATTAATCTAAAGCTTGTCTGAAACCTGTCATATTTAGTAAATTCAGTGGACAGCAATCATGGGAAAATTAAAGTTCTGCCATTTTATTCCCAAAGCCAGTGACCTCCATTTAGTCCTTTCTACATTTGACATTATTTATAAATTGTTTCATATCCCCCATTAATACATCCATAAAGTGAAGGAATTTACATGAAATTAAAAAAGAAATAAATCTACAGTGAAAGCAAAACAGTATTTAGCGGCAAGTAGCAGATTAATAATTCAAGTAAAACACTACGGAAATTTCCACAAGGCTAGTTATGTTCCATATCTGGGTGACAGTTGCATAAATGAATGTGTATGTATGTATGCATACGTGTATATACGTGTATCAGTATCAGAAGTAATACTGAATTGTACTTTTAAAAAAGTATATACTATACAGAAACAAAATTTGCAGTTAGTCAGGTTTACTCATTATCAGTTGTGTATACGTGACCAAGTCATTTAAAACCCAATGGACCTTTCATAAATTTTCTATAATAAAGTTTACAGATAGCTCTCACTTTTCTGTATAATGTACTATTGTATAAGCAGAAAAATCAAATACACTATAATAAACTTATAATTATTGGAGAAATTAAAGAGAAGGGTCAATTCCCACAGAATAAATGTGAGACCTCAAGCTGTAGACCATGTTTTTGATATTACTATACTCTTGCTATGTAATTTGGCTCTTTAGCCTTCAAAGTCTAGCAGGACTTGTGAAGATCCACTGCCTTTGGTTTGCCTAATAATTTCCAGGTTTTTGTCTCCAATATAATAAAAAAAATTTAAATATTTATTTATTTATGCATTCAAGAACTGGGGTATAGGTCAAAGGTGGGTGTTGGAGGAATTAAGAGGATTCACCAGAGACAAAGTAGTGAGTAGAACAAACAGATGTACTGATATACATTGCTGAGGGGAGCAGCAAGAGAGAAAGGTCCGCTGCACCATGTGGGTGACCTCCCTGGCTGGGGATCGAACTAGTGCTACAGGGGTTTCAGATAACTTCATAGGGCTGCGCTTTAATCCTCTGAGCTACCAGCGAGGGCCGAGTATCTTTTCCTAATATGAGTAATTTAGTCTCCTTAAAAAGTTACTAGGGGGCCCTCCCCAGTGGCAAGGCAGGTTAAAGCACTGCACTAAGAAGCTTAACCCACCTCCGCATGAGTTCGATTCCCACCTGCCCCGGAAGTGACCACATGGCATGGCAGACCTCTTCTGACCTGCCCGCTGCTCCCCTCAGCAGTGTACTTTGTCGTTCTGCCTATTCTGCTCCCCACTCTGTCTCTGGTGGAGCCTCTCGCTGCCCCTGAACCTCTGGCCTGTACCCCAGTTCTGTATGCACAAATAAATAAATCTTTAAACAAAAAAGTTACTAGGATTTTAAAATCATATAGGCATGCTATACTACAAAACTAACCATGAGAATAACTAACTACCTTTAAACTTCCTGGAGTATTTTTTTTTTAATTTCACTTAAAAAATATTAAATTATATGCATATACTGGTTGATTTCTGATAAAGTTTTGTAAAGAACTATAGTACAATTAATGAAGAGACTCGATGTTTCCCATGCACAGTATTATATTCTATGTTCAATTTGAAAAGGGTAGAAAACATTAACTCTTACTAAACCACCGAACAAAACCACAATCTTCATTTTAATATCACTCCTCCCCTTTACTCTTTCTGAAAGATTTGTTATGTGCTTAATGAGTCAATACCAGTCCATTCACTTGTTCTGGTTTATGGAATATAAAATTTGAGACAACATATGGGCCTAAAAATCCTAAAAGATAATTAACAACTTGGAAATATACACTGTGAAGAGAAAACACTTTTGATAGTCTTCTTATTGGAAAAAAATTTAAAACCTAACTTAAGTCTGGATACATAGAATAATAAAAAACAATATAGATGCAACTGCATTTCAAAATTTTCTTATTCTAACTAAACAACTTGTAGTACTCAATTCATTTATTTAAAAAATTTATGTTTTAACATGGAACATATTAACATAGCTAACATGCTTCCATGTAACTTTGACCTAATTAACTGTTCCTTTCAGAAAAATATTTTCATGGTGATATTTTTTCAATTGAGATCTAATTCCCATATCCACACATTGTGTTCAGATCTGATATATTCATAAATTGCAAAATATTTACCACAGTACATTAACAACCATTACCACTCACAGTAGCACATTTTCTCTTAACAACTAATGGTAAAACTTTAATGTGAGTTGTTTCATACCATACCAAGATGGAAAATGTACAACAGAATCAGCCACTGAAAGTTTTACAGAAACACAATACCTCTGCTATAAGCATACAATTGTTCCTTAAAAATAACTTACCCATACTGTGGTGCTCCCGTTTTAATGTCTCCTATAGTGACATGAACATCATCCTCATCATCATCACTGTCGCTATCACTATCATCTTCAGTCTCAGTCACTTTCTATACCAATATAAACAATTACAAAATACATTCAATAATCTAGTTCAACATCTAACTGAAAAAGTAGCCATTGTGTCTTTTGAACTAGTTAGTTTTAGAAAAAAGCAACAAATTCACAGCATTGCTACCTATTTCAATGCATTTATAATTGACATTTTACATAATAAAAAGATCAAGAATGTGAAATAAAAGTTTTTCAGCAACATCTTTTTGTAAGTAACTCATGTTTTTTGTTTCTGCTTTTGTTAATTATAACTGCCTCCTTGAACAAAGGATCTAAGGCAATGCACTGATAGCTAAAGATAAAACTGTAAAAGTAAGCATTTCAAGAATTCTTGGCAAAAAGAGTATGAAAGTAAAAAAACAAAAACAATAGTTGTAAAAGCAATAGTGTCATATTAAAAGCAGCAAATAGTTAAAAGGGCAGCCACTAAGTCATGACATCCGCTCACACCAAGGTAAGGTGCTGCATTGCAAATGGATGAGAAAACACTTTTTTCTGAATGAAAAAAGTCACACCTATAGAGATTTTACTTCACTCCAAAAGGTTCCCTTATGCTTAGTCAAGAAACAATAAATAAAAAAAGCCAATACCTAGGCAAATATTTTTTCATATAAAAAGTTCAAACATGAGGAAAAGCAATTTACTTCTTTTCAGAATGCTAAAAGAGCATTCACACCCAAAAACATCACTTCGAATCGGAGACATCACATCAGATATTGTAACATTAAAAATTATTTGCTAACATGATGATGCTCAAACTTAGGTTGCAGGACTCAACTAAAAGCAATAAACATGGGGTAGGGAAAGGAAAGAAGTAGACTTTGAGCCTTTCACATATTCTATTTCCAGCTAAATCTCTTTCCATTAGTCTCATTATGTAACAAAGTAGATGTAAAAGAGATACAGAAAGTCACTTTAAATTCTGGCTTTCTATCTAAATGAACTGAGAAATCTACTAATAAAAGATTTTAAGCAAGGAAGTAAATGTATTTCAAAGCCCAAGGTTACCGGCTTGGGGACTCCATTTTCAGCAGTTTCATCTTCAATTCCAGATGGAGGATTAGCACTAAAAACAACAAAAATAAGTATATACATGCCTGGTATTACTGAGGTATAGATTATGCTGACATTTGCATCCTGCTTATACAGGCTTCTAAGTATCCAGAAACAAATTCAACTAGCTTTATATGTCACAAAATAGTATGTTAAAGATAGCTAACGCAATGCTAACGCAATGATATAAATGAAGATAGCATAAGGCAATAGTTAAGAAGTACAAAGGTTTAACAATGAATCAATCAGTCAAAGGGAAGCTGGGGTGAATTCGAAAAGGGCGCACTTAGGTAGGGCAATGTTAATGGTATACTAGGTGGGTAAAAGAACACAGGTTTGGCAGAAAACAGTCTTCCCCTAAGACTTTTAAATTGACTACCATTAAAATGCTGTAAACATGATATATGCCTTTTCAGAACAATGATAATTTTAATTCCATCCAACAGTTCTCCATATAAAGTTTCAATAACGAATCTGAAGAAATTTGACAGTGATGCTCAGAGAAGGCAGAAAGTTTTTCTCTAATAAATTTAATCAAATTGAGAGCTAAAGAATTAACATTATAAAGCATATTCAATCAGAAAATAAGCCTTGACAACTGTAGCCAAGAATATTAATGGAATAAAGATTATCTCATAAAAAATATATTTATACCATATAATAAACTAGTTTCTTGATCAACTGAGAAACATGGTATAAAGAAATACTTAAATCACTTTTATAACTATAAACTATATAAACCCCAATCTTGTAGCTGAGATACGGGTCAGGAGCTGGGATAGATAATTCAAAATCAAATACAATTTCAGAATATGTAACAATGTGGGAAAAAATCTTCTTAAAAAAGTATGCTTTTGGGTATGGAAGAATACTGAAATTTCAGATTCTTCTCAGCTGTTGTTACTTCCTCTTCATGTCTTCCCTTTTCAAAAATAAATTTACTGATCTACAATTCACATACCACACAATCCATCCATACAGCTATATAGCTTTTAGTATATTTTCAGAGTAATACAAACCATCACAACTATCTAATTCCAGAACACTTTTATCACCCATCCCAAAAAAGCTTTGTATACATTTGTCCTTAACCCCAGTCCTGACAATCATTAAACTATAATAATAACTATGTGGACAGATTTATCTATTCCATACATTTAATACATATAGAATCATAAAATATGTAGTTCTTTCTAACTGGTCCTTTCACTTACCATGTTATCAATGGTTCATTCATATTAATACTTCATTTCTGTTTACTGTCAAATAGTATTTGATTATATGGAAACACCATTTTATCCATCCACATTAGATGAAAATTTGAGCTGCTTTCTTTCATTTATGGATATTATGAATAATTTTGATAGGAACACCAATGTACAAGTTTTTGTACAGGTTTGACTTCACTTCTTTAAGACATGTACTGGGGAGTGGATCATATAGTAACTCAGTTTAACCTGTTGACAACTGCCAGAGTATTTTCCAAAGTGGCTGCATCATTTTATAATCTATCTGTATATTAGAGCTCTAATCTCTTTCATACAATCTGTATGAATAGCAACAAGAAAACAACCTCACCAATACCAACTTTTACCTTTTATATTTTAACTATTCTGGTGGATATAAAGTGGTTATTTTCTATACTTTTAAACCTAACATTCTTTAAAAGCACTTTTTTAAACCTCACTACAGGGCAGTAAGGCATACAGTGAGAGTAATGTCAGCAGATTCATGTAATTTTATACAGGAGTTGCTTTGAAGTTCAAATAAGTTTCTGACCCCTTTTGTCCTACAATAGTCTTATTTGTTTAATAATCTAACCAAGAAAATCAACCAATTTAAAGTAATATAAAATGTTGAAAAGTTATCACCAAAGTGCATTACAACATGAAAAACATTTATTGTAAAAGTAATTTCAGAGGTACTTTATTTTTTTAGCTAAAACTTTTTTTCTCAGCAGTTTGCTGGCTATACTGTATTCTCTACTACTGAGCTCACATAAGAGTAAAGAGTAAAGAACAGTGAGAAGTATTAAACCCTCACTTCAAAGATTTTGTCCCCGCAGCTACTAACAAGTAAAATGGTGTTAAATTAGGTTCTGAAGTAGGATATAGCTCTATGAGTTTCAGTGTCTTCCACCCTTTAGTCAAAATGCTATAATTAAGTCAATGACTATAAATGAAACAGTTCTCACAAATTTGTTAATGGAACTACTCTTCACACAATCTTTATAAATAGCAACAAGAAATTTCACTAACCTGGCATTTTCTTCTTCTGGCCTTTCAACTTCATTTTCATCTAACAAAAAGAATACATACATAAATAAATAAAATTAACAAACAAACCACTCTTAAAGAAACCAGTATTATGAAAAAATCTGAAGTGATCATCACAAGCACTAACCTAGGTCCTTTGCCAAATCACTGTGCACATGCACGTCCCATGGGCCTATAAGCACATCCAAAGTTAGATCACCTTATAATGACTTAACAAGATATGTCTTAAGAAAAAAAAAAAAGGTCAGTTTTTATAAAATTAAGCTTAGTTTAAAAGGTACTGAAGATTTCTAGATGTTTGTACAAAAGTCCCTACACATTTACATTTCAAACAATATTACTGTATGTTGCCTCCACACTTTACAGGTTGAACAAAATCAAAGCTTGTCAAAGTCACATCATCAAGGAGTCGCAAGGTGCCCAAACAGCACTCTAAGACAATTAAGAACACACAAATAGTAACTTTCAAATCTAGTGTAACAGACATGGGACTGTGACTTAATGAAACTTAAAAGCCAGATGTCAAATAAGTCCCCTTCCAGAAGTAAGTAGAAAATGCACTACATTTATTTCGAGAAACACAAATATATGAGACGATACTGAAAACTATAAGCCTAAGGGACACGAGGCACTTCTATGATGTGGGTTAAAGCGCAGTCTCTGGAAAAAGAAAAACTTCACCTTAATACAGGAGACATTCGGGGTTTTCTTTATGGGCCATAATGTATTCCATCTTTCTTTCTCTCTTAATTAATTATTTTTTAAGCACGACTTTCAGACAAGGAGGTACCCTTGCAGGTGCATTCCATACAAAACCATCAAGAAACAAGACGTTAGTTTTACAGCATCAACTTTATTGAGCTATTACAGAAAAGTGTTTCTGAAAGGGACAGAAAAGGAACCCTGCACGTAGCCAAGGGGCAAGAAGAAACACACCAACATACCTCAGTTGCGATATAAGAAACAAGAGTAAAGAGCCGCCGGCCAGCCCGGGTGCGGAGCAGCGACGCGGGAGCCGAGCCCAGCCCGGCCCGGCCCGGCCCGGCCCGGCTCGGCCCGGCCCGGCCGTAGCGCAGGGGTGCAGGTTGGGGGCGTGGGTTGGGCGGGAGCCGGCGGGGGCGGGGGACGCGCACGCCGCGCTCGGCCTAAGTCAGGCCGGACCAGGCTCCGAACCACAGGGCCCAGGCGGCGGCGGCGGCGGGAAGGGTGCGGGACGCCGGCCGGGAAGGGAGGCCCGAGAGAACCCGGGAGAGAGAGAAGGGACAGGAAGTTCCGTACCGCCATAGAGCCACTCTTCCTCCTCATCCCCTCCGGTCCCGCCGCTCATCTCCGACACTAGGCGCTCGACCTCGCCGGCCGACATGGCCGCCCCAAGCACAACTTATAAAAGATGGTGATCAACAGCCCCCTCCAACCCCTTCCCCAGCCTCGCTGCCCGGGGGCGCGAGTGTGGGGCTGACCCGCCGAAGAGCGAGGGAACGAAGAAAGCGCGAGACTCAAATCCCAGGAAGGTGGCCGCGGCCGCGGCGAAGGCGGCGACGAACAGCGAAGACGCCAGCGCTGGTCTGTCTGCGCACGCGCAGAAGCAATCGAGCGGCGCGGCGTCTCTAGGTGGCTTCGCTTCCGCGGCGCGGGCACCTGGCCCGACTTGCGCGTGCGCAATGCAGTCGGTCCCGCCCCTATGGAACCCCGCTTGGCCTCCATAGTGAGGCATTTTTACCCGGCCTCTGACTTAGGCTAGGATTCCCCTCCCCCCAGGCTTCCTTCTAATAATCAGCATTGCTTCTGCGGCCTTTTACACTCCGTTGTTCCTTTCTGCCCTTGATAGTTTGTCTTCACTGTTTCCCTCTGTGAAGTTCTAAAAGATCTTGTTTCAGTCTGTGTTTGCACATTTATATCTGCCTTGATAGATATATATAGTCTTTGCATGTTTCTATCTGGAATCGTGACCAATCAGTCTCGTGTTTCTCATTAAGTTGTACTTGATGAAGACTTGAAAAATTAAACAGCAAAACTATTATAGATGATCAATGCATTTTGCCTGCCTCACCCAGTACTTCCTTTTCTGTTCATCTTCCCGTATTTTTCTATATATTTACTTCACATGTGTTGTATTGTTTCGGTCAGGGACCCTGAGTTATTGAATTTTTTTAAAGTACTGTATTTTCCAGTGCTGATTTCCTTTTCCTTCATTTTCTTTCTTTCTTTTTTTTTTTTTTTGTATTCAACAGTGTCTTGAGATGTTTTCCAAATCAGTCAAACCGTGTCCATTTTTTTTTGTTCTTTTTTAAAGATTTATTTATTTGTGCATACAGAACTGGGGTACAAGCCAGAGGCTCAGGGGCTGTGAGAGGATTCACCAGTGACTGAGTGGGGAGCAGAACAGGCAGATCGACGAAGTACACTGCTGAGGGGAGCAGCGGGCGGGTCAGGAGAGGTCTGCCATGCCATATGGTCACCTCCAGGGCAGGTGGGAATCGAACTCATGCGGAAGTGGCTTTAGTTTCTCAGTGCTGTGCTTTAACCCACTGTGCCACCAGGGAGGACCAAACCGTGTCCATTTTTAACTGCATCATAAAGCGTGGCTAATACAAACTAAATATGGGTATTTACCCATCGTGCATTTAGATTGCATTCAACTTTTCACTTTAATAAAAAAAAACTACACTTAGGATTCTTGTAAGGAATTTCTTGCACATGTATGCAAGTGTACCTCCAAGATAGATTATAAAGCATGTGCAGTTATAGTAAATAATGCCAACTTTTCAAGCTACTTTTGAGAACGCATCTTTCAACGAAAATGATACCTGAAAGGTCAAAACTGGTGTTCTTAAACTGTTATAGTCTCATGTCCTTAGCAAGCAACCGTTCTGTACTTCAGTTTTTTCATTTGTAAAGTTTAAAAGCTGAATTAGATGATTTCTCAAATCCCTTTTGGTCTTAAAATTTTTAAAACAATACTCACTTCTCAATAGAAAGCCATTTTAGTTTTTATAATTCAGTAGACTTGCTTGCTCTGTTGTCAACAGTCTTTCTTTTTTTTTTTTTTAAACAATTAGTATCTGATGGCTAAGAACTTAAAAAAAAAAGAATGAGTAAAACAGGTCCTTGCCCTTAAGAGCTCTCAGTTTATTAAGAAAGACAGGATTGCAAACAACCCCCCTAGAAGGGAAAGGTGGGTATGTTATGAGAGAAACAAAGGAACTATTTACATCACACTTATACCATCTCATCTCACATGACCTAACAAACCCATGATTTTTATCCCCCTTAACATTTGAGTGTTCCTTTACCTCTATCCTCATTCTCCCTTGTCTGTTTGAGATAACACCTTGCCCTGTCTATTGACAAATTCCACTGAAGTGTAACCCACTTTGTGAACTCTTTTTGAAAATCATATCTCATCTCCACCCATTTATTTATTTAAAAAAATATGGACTATTTTCCCAGTGTCAAGAAGTCTTCTGGATGCTATGGACTCAGCAGTAATAAAACAAGATGTCGCTGCTTTTCAAGTTTTCATATTAATGAGACATAGCCTATCCCCTTTCAGATGGCTGAAATGAACATGTTTTTAAAGGCATTGATTAAATTGAAGCATTGATGAATAAAAATTGCTGCATTATATTTGACTTCGTATGGAGGTAGCATTTGAGTGAGCTTTGGGAATGAAGATTTTCTTAAACAGAGAAGCTTATAAATCAGTAGTAGCTACTATTAAAAGGCTTCTTTCTTTTAAACATGAGTGACCTACCTAGATAAACTTCCTTATTAAAGGTGTCCTTATTTCCCTACTAATCAGGGGAGACAACTGCTTACCTGTTGATCATGCAAAAATAAGTAGCTTGAGATACTGCCTAAAATTGTGATGGATATCAAACTACAATATTCCATGTGTTCTGATTATATTTGTTTTCCATTTTACTGTTTTTGGTGTATTGTTGTTTCTTCACACACACAAAGCAAACATTGGCTTTACTGTATCTATCTCTATAAATCACTGAAAGGGAATACTTAGTAAGGGATGATTAAAATAATCAAAGGAGCAAATAGAAGTGCCTTGGTGAGTATCCAGTAGATAACAAGTGCTCATAAATGTGCTTCATATGGATATGGTGTTCAGGCTCCACTGTGCTATTGGCTTCTAACTTTTACTTATACCACTTAAATCTCAGTGTTCCTCAATTTCCTCATCAGTATCATGATATGCTAATATAACATTTCATATTCATGTCTCAGAATGATAACAAAGCTGAAATCAGGTTTCAAATGTCAGTGGATGGCAAGTTAGAGGCAAGCAACTGCCGGTTTACAGTTTAGTCCTCTTTCCAACAATTTGAATAACTATACATGTATAGAACTTTCCTTCATATCATGATACTTCAGTGCATAGCTATGCCCAAATCATTTATCTTTCTCTGCATTCTGACATTGTTAAAACTAAATATTTATTGCTAGTAGTTTTCGGAACAACAGCTTACATGTACACAGCTCCTCTTTTACAATGTCAGGCACAAGGAAAGTGCTTAGTAAATGCCTAACTGCTGAGCATACATTGGAGAATTTAAAAATAAAATGAAGAGAAATGTGCTTGGTTTTATGAGGAATGGGAAACAATCACTTTCTATTTTGTTTGTTAAAGATTTAGTTTATTTATTTACGCATACAAGAACTGGGGTGTAGCCAGAGGTGTGAGGGGAGTGAGAGGATTCACTAGAGACAGAGTGGGGAGCAGAACAAGCAGAGGTACTGAAATACACTGCTGAGGGGAGCAGCACATGAATCAGGAGAGGTCTGCAGCACCCTGTGGATCAGCTCCCTGGCTGGGCGTCAATCTCTGGCCTCTTTACTGCTGGAGGGCCTCTGAGGTGGGCTAAGACTTCAGCCCTAGGCCATCAGGGAGGCCCCATTCTTAACTTTGCATTCAAGAGAAGCTTCTCAGTGTTTCATCTGATTGTGCTCTTAGATATTTATCAAACTTATGCCCAATACAGAACTTATGAATTTCCTCCTAAACCTGTCGTTTTCCATTCCTATGCAACCAAGTCTTTCTGGGCAAAACCAAAAAAATCACTCTGGTTCCTCTATTTGCTTCCTATGGCCCTTTCACAGTAAAGAAAAAACTTCGTTGTTACAAAATATATCCAACACTTGATACTTCTTTTTTAAAAAATAAATATATTTATTTAGCTTTTTACACATCTTTGTTCACTTGTGTACAATGCTTGATTTTTCTGCTTCCCTCCCACCCCCCACCATGTGCTCTCTCCTCCAGTTTCTTTGACCCCACTTCCTCATCCTCCCCTGTTTTATGTCTTGGATTTATTAAACTTGAGAATTCTCTTCATCTCAAATATCACTTTACTACTCGGGTAACATAAACTCTCCAATGACTTCTTGTTATACATAAAATAAAACACTAACTTCCTATCCTGTTGGTCTACAAGCACCTTCATGGGGTGGCAGCCCCCCGAATTATGTAGGGCTATACAAGCGGCACATTGCACAACTTTCGGAGTCCTTCTCCGTTTACCTTCATTTGTAGTCCGGTCAATTCTTTTAGTATTGTTCCCTTACACTGTGATTATTCCTTATCAGTTTCTTCAAGACTTAATCCCAAGTCTGTTTTGAATGACTGTAACTACCTTAGTTTCATTTTAGATACATGCCCTATAGCTTCAGTATTTTAGCAGGAGACTCTCTACTTGTTTACTGAAATAGAAATCTCATTTCCCTTGTAAGAGGAAACCTACCGTATGCCCCTCATTATCCTTCACCCTGTTGTATTATTGAGCCTGGAATTGCGCTATTTCCCTGTTTCTTATGTTCCAATACCAAGCTGTGATGGTTCCACTTCCCTGTGAAAATATTGCATATTGCTAGTTTTGAGGCTGGTGAACTCTCTTTGACCCTAATTTCATATTCTACATCCTCATTCCCCATCATCCACTTTTCTGCACCCTTATCTATAATTCCCAGATGCTGCCTTTTTCTGGATCCAGTGCCCCGCCTGCACACTTAGTGCTCTCTACTTCCAGTCTGCACGTTTCATTCTGGATCACCACTACACCCACTGACATCAAGACCTTCTCCATTTACCATATCCTCCTAAAATGACAACCTGCCTGTGCTATCTTGTCTGCTTCCTCCAGTTGGTGTTGCTAAAAGAAAGGTGCAATTGAGAAGGTGGTGCTACCAGAACATTACGGTCTCCAGCACCAACATGGCGCATAGCACTGCCTGACAAAGCTTTGCAGCGTCTTGGTCATTTCCTTCTATCCTTTGCAGAGGCTATACCTGGCTGTAACTTCTTAAGCTAATTCCTCAAAATGCTAGTTAACAAGACCGTAATCCAGTGAGCAATCTTATTTTCCATCTCTGTATCTATAAACTTTTCTAAGTTTTTTGTCATTTTAATCCTCTTTTCTTTTCCTGTTATAGGTGAATTCCTCTAGCTGTGCTCTTAATCAGATCCTTCACCTCTCTCCTACTGGATATTGCTACAAATCTTTTTCAATTTTATCACTATCTTCCTCTCTGCTGCCTTTGCAAACGCTACTAATGTGCTTAAATTTCTCTCTTCTTAAGATTATTTTCTCCAGTAATTCACAATTACTTTTTCATTTTTTTCCATTTTCTTATCCAAACAATATCCTAGAAAGATTACTTAAAATGTGATATCATTTCACCGCAACACTGTTCAGCCCAATGATTTCCTCCACTACTACACTGCAATGCTCTGGAAAGTAACACAAATATGTTTGACTTTCAAATTCTGTAGATTCATTGCAGATTTCATATCACTTTGCCCTTTTCCAGTACTTGCCATTGTTTACTGCTCCATTCTTTCTGAAAGTTGTTTTCCCCTCGATTCCAATAATGCGGTCACTATGAAAAACAGGATTGGCAAAAAAATAAAATTAAAAATAGAATTACTGTATGATCCACCAATTCCATTTCTGGGCATAGAGCCACAATACTATAAAGCAGGATCTTGAAGAGATATCTGCAGACCCGTGTTCTTAGCAGCACTTTTCACAATAGTTGAAGGCTGAATGCAATCTAAATGTCCATTGATGGCTGGATGGACATACATAAAGGAATATTATTCAGCCTTAAAAGGGAAGGAAATTTGGACCACTTATCACATGGATGAATCTTGAAGATAGAATGCTAAGTAAAACAAGTCAGTCACAAAGGGACAAATAATGCATGATCCCATTTGTAAGAGGCATCTAAATTTGTCAACTCACAAGAACAAAAAAATAGAATGGAGGTTGCCAAGTACAGAGTTGTTTTTAATGGATATACAGCTTCATTTTTGTAAGAATAAAAAGTTCTGGGGATTGTTTTTACAGCAATGTGAAAATGCTGCTAAGTAAATGTACGCTTAAACATGGTTAAGATGGTAAATTTTATGTTACGTGCATTTTAGCACAAGTTTAATAGTTTCCTCTTGGCTACAATTCTACTATGTAGAATTGAAAATGAGATTTGCTCTGATAAAGTCCCCAGTTCTTAGCTCCTATTTCTTCTTGGGCCTTTCTTTACTGCTATACTTCAACTATTCTAAACTGCTTTAGTATGGTTTCATGTCTCTCTGCCTTTGTTCATTCTGTTCTCTCTGATTGAACTGCCAGAATGTTCCTCATCCTCCTCATCCTGTCCACCTGGTGAACACCTGCTTTTCTTTGAAGGCTTTCAATACTCATGTCCTCTATGAAACTTCTCTTGATCACTTCCCTTTTCCTTTACAGTCAGAATTTATTTTCTGCCTTTTTGAAAAATTAAGCTTTTGTAACATTTTATTGCATTTACTTGCTTTACACGTATGGATACTTTTATTTCAGATTCTTTAGAAGACAAAGTTGTCACTTATTTCTCTTTATACCCTCAGTGCCCAATATGGTATCTGGAATATTGTAAATATTTTAAATATTTGCTTGACTATTTTTTTTTTTTTGCAGATATGAATTGGATATTTATTCAACAAACATTTATTGACTGCCCATTAACTCTAGAGTTGGAGTTCCCAGCAGTTTAGGGTACAATCTAGTAGAAGAGATATATTAAAGAATATAGGTGTGTTCAAACTTAACTATGAAATGGTAAATACTTATTGGTATTTCCTGAGCTTGCATGTTGAGGGGCAAAGTGGGCAGAGTAATAGTAAGGTGGTGGTGAGTTAGGAAAACACTCTCGTGGAAGGTATCTTTGGAATACTCAAAATCTTTGGTATTTACCAGGTTCATGGTTCAGGAAATGTCCTTAATAAGCCATTTTGTTTTGTAGTCTGGCACAGAAATTATACTTAATAAGTGCTTAAAGTACAATAGGTAAATGAACTAAATCTATAAAACATTCAAGAAAAGCTTTTAATTAGAAAATGCTAGGGCTAGCTTAGTTCATTAGGGAGAAAATCGAATTGGAGATAGAAAATGAGAAAGGATGAAGAAAATCACTCTGATTTCCCAGGTGAGTAATGAGGGGGGATTAATGCAATGGCAGCAAAAATGGAGAGAAGGGCCTGGAATCTAGGATTTCTGAAGCAAATAGAGATTTAGTGACAACGATATGAGCAAAGAAAGATGGAGAAAATGAAAGAAGACCAGGTAAGTTTGCTGCCAGGCTTGCACGCAACAACATATGTACACTAACCTATATAACACAGCACATCAGATAACAGTTGATTGTTTTCATTTCTGGCTGCTTTCAGTTTAGATGAGGAAAATGGGTATACTTCCAGAGAGAAGTTCAGATCCAAAAAAAAAATAAAACTTTTGGTTAGTTTTTATGATTTCTGAGATTTCTCAAGGAGGAGCAGCTCGGCCATTTCATGCAGGGTTGCTTCTCTCCCCAAACTTTACAACTTCCCAGGTAGCCCGGAGCCACCGAGCACCGCCCACTTCTTCCCAGCGTTCGTACGTCCTTCCTAGTCCTGGCTGGCCAATCACCTTCTGCAACGTCATCACCGTGCGCCTCCACTGGAAAAGTCAGAGGCGGCACCACGTGTACTATGTTGACTGTCAAAGTCTTGGGGAAACCCAAGTCCCGGAAGTTGTGTTTTTTGAGGGACATTTCTGCGTTCGAGTGCCCGGGATCTGCGAATTCCCAAACATGAGCGCCCCAGGCGTGCTGTCCTTTACCCAGCAGGGCTGGGAGCAGGTGCTGGCCAAAATGAAACGGGCTATTGTCTACCTGGACGCCGCTATTGCCGAGAGTCTGCACTGGAGCTGCGGATCCACCCGGCTCCTGGAGGCGATAGGGGGTCCTGCGTGTCACCTGCGGGAGTTCGAGCCCACAGCAGCTGGTGGCGGAGCGGAGCAGTTTAAGGCGGTGTTTGTGCTAAGCTGTCTGCTCAAAGGCCGGACCGTGGAGACTCTGCGGGACATCATCTGCCGCAGTCATTTCCAATATTGTGTGGTGGTCACCGCGGTGAGCCACGCTGTCCACCTCACGGCTAACCACGTGCCGGCAGCGGCAGCGGCGGAGATGGAGGGACTGCCGGTATTTGAGCAGCTGGAGGAGAAGCTGTGTGAGTGGATGGGCAACATGAACTACACCGCCGAGGTGCTGCATGCCCCGTTGTTACTTGCTCCTGTTGCTCCCTACCTTGCCTTGACTCCAGCTTTTGCTTCCCTGTTTCCATTGCTTCCCCAGGATGTGCATCTTCTTAATAGTATCCGACCCGACAAGAAGAAACTGGGAAGCCTGGGTGAGGTGGATGCCCCTGCCCTGACCTCTGAGCTGTTGCTGCAGATCAGATGCCTGGTGTCAGGCCTCAGTTCTCTGTGTGAACATTTAGGGGTAAAGGAGGAGTGTTTTGCCGTGGGTTCCCTCAGTCGGATCATCGCTGGAGATCTGGCCAATTATGCTCCTGCCAAGAACAGGAGGAAAACCGTCACTGGCAGGGCGTCAGTAGTCTTTGTGGACAGAACTTTGGATCTCACAGGTAAGTGGTGTTGCTGTAGAAGGCTTCATTTCCGCTCACGAAAATAATATGGCTTTCATCGATTCAGCATATATTTTATTGACCTATTACTGGTTATTGAGGATACAGAGACTAGATAGATAGGCACACAAATTCTATTTTCACAGAATTTGTAGTCCACAGGGGAAGACAGACAAATGAATTAGCAAATTAGCAATTATAATTTCTAATATCTTGTAATACATAGATACAGCCTTAACGTGCAGTCTTCTTAAATAACTGCATCTAGCCCTAGAGATTGCTCAATGGAATTATGCTGCCAGGAAGAAACACCCACTGGGAAACTTTGAGAAACATCAGATGCCAGTATTCACAAGTGTTCACAAGATAGTTTTTATTTGCTGGAGTGGTGTTAACAGATGACCCAGTGGAAGGATAGATATATCACAAAACATAAAATTATCAGCAATAATTTAGTTTACATTTCTTAAAATGAGTGTTAATAAATGAGGTAGAACTTAAATGTCACTAGAAAATTAGATCAAAGAACAGTACAGGAGATATTTTCAAATGTTGATTGATTTATCTTTTATTCAATTGAAGAATGGGTAAATAATCTCATTGTAATATATTAATAATACACATAATGAAAACATTAGCCCCTAAAATAGATAAGGACAAACTTTCTGACACTTTATTATATGCATTTATAATCAAAGGTCAACTTTATTGTTATCTACATGTACTGTGATAGCTATCAAGTTGCTAGTAGTATAATTAGCTACATCCCAAGTTCAGGGAGAATAATCAGGAACCTAACATTGGTGAGCATTACCATAGTTTAGAAAGAAAATTAATGAAGTTATAAAACCAAAATAGGTGTGTGTGAGTTTTGGACCTTAATAAGATTAATTTTCAGATCACAAAGTAGAATAGCTAAATGATGCATATGTAAATTTATATGGAGGTTTAATTACACTAGAAAAAGCAAGTGTTCAGTCTGTCACTGTGATTTAAATATAATTAATAATTGAAACATTACAAAAATCTTAAAAGGATGAAAAAGATAGCACCTAATGAGTTCTTTGAATGAATGGTATATGCTGTAATTTATACTTAATTTACTCTGTGACAAAAATGTGACTTAGGGTTTTATCATTAATCAAGATCACATATTTTACATTCCCCCACTAAATCTTAAGACAGGCAAACCTTAATGTCCAGGCCATCTTGCATCATAGTGACAGGCCCTTCATATCTTTAGCATCTCTTCTTTGTATGATTCTGTTCTCTATGTAGCGCAAGCAAGGTGAGCAGAACTTGTACTCTTTTAACAGCTTTAATACAAAGCAGTCAGGGATAATTTAGAAAATGGGGGCAATTAGAAATACAAAGTTGCCATTCTGCACAATTATTTTTTACTTTCTTCTTAAACTTCCAGATCTCCCTCTTGGTACCTTAGCATTCTTGAACTTATATCACTGAGAAAATATAAGCCAATGGAAAATGTCCCCATCTTTTCATTATCAAATTTACCAATCTTGCGATATGTGTTTGGCAATTTTTCTTTCCTTCCTTCATATAACAGTTGCACCAGCCCTGATACTTCGCAATATTAACTGTTTCACCTGTACAAACCAGACCTTTTCTCTCTTCATTTTCTCGTAGAGTTACCTCTTTCATCTACTGTCCATCTTTCCTAGATCACTAGTTTTAAAATATTTTTTCCCACAGAAGAAACAAGCAGACTGGAACTTCTCTCTTGATCTACCATGGTCCTCCAACTTTAGTTTCATTTTATAATAAACTTGAAAGACTTGTCCATACTTGCTATCTTTATAATCATCTGCTCAAATTTACCTTTGTAAATTAATGTGGATTAATTAGGCCTTTTCAACTAATTCTCCCAGAATCTTCTGTCAGTATTACCAACGGCCTCATAAAGGACAAATACTCCTAGAAACTTCCGTTAAGCTCACCAGTAGCTTTAAGGAATTAAAAGCTAGAAAACACAGACATAAAAACAACAACAAAAACAGATCACAAGTGGCTTAATAAAAACTATGAAATTCTCTAGACACTTCTGTCACAATCACCAGTGGCCTAATAAAAGAAATTAATGAAGTACATGACCTACTAATAATGCATCAATTATCTGCATAATCTGGGAGCCCAAAATTGGAGCCCATCATAGCATAAATCTGACATGTCATTTACTCACTCTCAGTCCTCCTGTGGCCTCCCATTCCATCAGCTGTCAAGCCCAAGTTCCTTACCATTGTTTTTTTTTTCTTTAGGATTTATTTGTACATACAGAACTGGGGTACAGGACAGAGGTGCAGGGGTGGTGAGAGGCTTCCCCAGAAACAGTGGGAGCAGGACAGGCAGATCGATGAAGTACACTGCTGAGGGGAGCATTGGGTGAGACAGGAGAGGTCTGCGGGTGCCATGTGAATCACCTCCTGGGCCGGGATCCAACTGGTACTGAAGTGGCTGAGGCTGGCTTGCAGTGCTACGTCCTAACCCGTTGGGCCACCAGGGAGGGCCCACCATTATTTTTAAGGTCCTTTATGCCCTGCCTGTGTATCCCTCTCCCACCTCGTCTTCACTGATATCCCTTGCTACTTAGTTTATCAGTGCCCACACTTGCCATGTCAGTTATGCCCTAAACTCAGGGCCTTTGATGTTTTGCAGCTCAGCTTGGGATACTCTTTCTTCAGATATCTGTTTGGCTTTCTCTCTTTCTTCAGATCTCTGCTCAAATGTCTGCTATTCAGACAAGACTTCCCTGATTATCTCCTTTGAGATGATCTATTTGCACCCACCTTTCTGCTTTATATTCATAGTTTTTAGCACTACCTAACACATATAACTGTGTCTGCTCACTTGTGTGGAAGCTCCTGAGGGGAGTATCACTTACATGATCCGAACACAGACTGATCATTTGGGGCCTCTCATTGTCACAATAACTTCGGATTCTTCTTTTAGAAAATGAGTAAAATGCTGAGAATAAAAACTCTTCTTTAACATAAATAGTCATCTTAGCAGCATGCACACTGACTGTCTTAAGTCACTTTTGTGGAGTTGATTTTTTTTTTTAAATGTATGACTTTTGGAGTTATCTACCTCCTGGATTTGAATTCTTTTTCTGTAATTTGCAAGTTATGTCCAAGTTACTTGAATAAGTTACTTTAAACTGAATCATCTATACTCATTCTATGAATAAGCATAATAGTGCCTATTTCTTAAAGCTGTTGGAAGAATTAAATGGAAAATAAATGTCAAGTATATAATAATACCTGGTATAATGTAAACTCCAGTAAATATTAGCTCTTGTGATAAGGTGATGATGGTGATGATGATTCCTTGGGTTTCTGCTTTGTTGTGTCCAACCTATTCCTTCTGTTTAACTAACTAATACAAAGTGGTACAGAAGCAATAGAAAGATAGAAGTAGAGACATTAGAAAGCAAAACAGTTGGTTTGAAGTGGATGGGCTCTAGATAAGTAGATGTGGTGAGTCCACTTCATTGTTGGAATGACATTTCTAAACAGGATGGATCGTGGAGAAATAACTTGGTTTCATGGGTGAAACCATGAACTGTCATTGGTCTTGAATTTTAATTTGAATTAATGAGTTGATTTGTTAAAAGAGCTGGTACAAACAAAGCTCTAGAACAGTGACTAGTATGCAGAAGTAACTATAAATGTTTCTGTCGTTGCAGACAGTTATTTTTCACTCATTTATTCTTTCCTTCATCTAGCAAACATTTAGGGAGAGCCAACTAGTTTCCAAGTTCTGTTCTAGATATCCTGGGTACAAGGTCAACTAGATAAACAGCTGCTGTTATGAAGATAAGATTTACCAGAAGGGAGATTTTCTATCCTTGGTTAAGTTTATTAAAGATTTATTTATTTATGCATACCAGAACTGGGGTACAGGCCAGAGGTACAGAGGCAGTGAGAGGCCTCTCTAGAGACAGAGTGGGGAGTTGAATAGGTGGGTTGACTGAAATACACTGCTGAGGGGAGCAGCAGGTGAGTCAGGAGAGGTCTCCAACAACATGTGGGTCAGCTCCCTGGCTGGGGATCAAACTCGTGCTGCAGGGGCTGCGGACAGCCTCACAGTGCTGCACTTTAACCTGTTGTGCCACCAGGCAGGGCCCTGGTCAAGTTTCTAAGCTCTACTGTAAAATCTTTATGATTCTGAAATTTCAGGATCATATCATCCTGTGACACAATTTTGTTTGCTATATTTATTAAATGCTGTTGTTTACTTATTTATTAAATGTTGGTTGACGCCTACCATGTGTCATAGGTGCTAAGAATATCAGAACAGACACAGTGCCATCTTTCACTGATCATTAAATCCTACATTTAAGGCACAAATTGAGCTTCATTTAGTGATACCGAGGGCAAAATACTGACTTTGGTTTATGTTACTGACTTTGGTCACAGAAACTAATAATGTATTATCTTTACTACAAGTATCATTAATCCACCTTCTTTTTATCTTTTCTTATCTGATTAAACAGGAGCAGTAGGACATCATGGAGATAGCTTGGTAGAGAAGATTTTTTCAGTGCTTCCCCAGCTTCCAGGCCACACCAATGATGTGATGGTTAACATGGTGGACCTCACAGCTCTCCACACTGAGGATGAGAATCAGAATGTGGTAGCCCCAGGCTGTCTTGCACAAGCCAAGTAAGATACATGTTTTTCTCTCATTCTTTTCTCTCTCTGCTGTTTCTGCTGTCCTACTTTGACTATACACATAATCCATGTAGAGCTCATCTGGTTGAAAACTTCATAGTGCACAGCATTTAGAAAAAAGTCTATTTTCATAGCTTTGAAATAACCATATCTTTTAAACAACCCCAAGCCAAAAAGTATGTTTCTTTATAGAGGTGTCATTTAGATGAAATATAAACTTGTTCCAGAGTCAGTTGAGTGAGTCAATTTATGCGTCTCCATTTCACAGACAGTTTCATATGGGGTAAGCTAGGCTTATTCAATTTCTTTGTCCCAGTTGACGTTTTTACATAACTAAAGACAGGCCACATGGCTCTGAAACAGTGTCATCTTTTTTACATGTAAGTGATATGCTCTTGGGCATCAATGGAAGAAGTTTTTATTTCTATTTATATTGTTTTTACATGCTTAGAGAAATCTGAGAAAGAAGATGGTGTACTTTATATTTTGCCAAGTTTTTTTTTTTAAGATTTATTTGTGCATACAGAACTGGGGTACAGGCCAGAGGCTCAGGGGCGGTGAGAGGTTTCACCAGAGACAGAGTCAGGAGCAGAATAGGCAGATCGACGAAGTACACAGGAGAGGTCTGCCGCGCCATGTGGTCACCTACAGGGCAAGCGGGAATCGAACTCATGCGGAAGTGGCTTTAGCTTCTCAGTGCTATGCTTTAACCCGCTGCGCCACCAGGAAGGGCCTACTTTGCCAAGTTTTATAAAGAAAAGAACACTGCATCAGAAACAATATAAAGACAGAATAGTTACCTTGTCTACTTTGCTATTCAGCAATTCTTAGGAGGAGGAAATGTTTTAAGAGGGGGGCAGTATCTAAAAGTCTCTATTTCTTTTATTTTTATTTTTTAAATAAAACCTTTTGGCATTATAGTTTCAAATCTTCACATTAACAGGTATATTAGGCATTTCCTGTCGTGTTTGGAATTGATTTTCAGCTCCTGGAACTTGTGACTTTTTTGTAGATAGATCATAATATTTGATGCCCAGTATGAGAAGAAAACAGGAAGTTCTGTCACATCTCTTTTTTGTACACTTATACACACAAGAGAGCAGGAGACATGTGCTCACTGTGATTGCACGTATACTAAGGACTTGGCATTTTACAAACCCAGAAGTAATTGTGATTGGAAATACTGTTAGCTGTTCAGCAGGCCATTCAAAAGTCAGTTTTTACTGATTTACTGTGAGCCTTACTCTGTACTAAGCAACATGAAAGACACATTTATAAAAGACAGAAAATAATATAAAACATTATCCTTATCCATGCCTAGAAGGATCACTTTCCTTGTTAGGGTAGTGATGATTTACACAGAGGTACAATTAAAAAAACAATAGAAATTATATGAAATCCAGACTCATGTTTCTGCTATGGATTAAAACTCCTAAGGGCATTATGTTACTGTGTTCTTTTTAGACCAATGTGGGCTTTGTGGAAGTGGTGGTACTTGAATTATTATGTCTTAAAGGATTTGGAAAAAGTGAGCAGGCTAGCTTAGTTTGAACATAGGTTAATGAAAACAAGAATGGTTTGGGCCTGATGTGATGAGTTGTGAGGAAGAAAACCCCCCCACGGCCTTTAACTCTGTTCAAATTTTTTCAGGCTGATTAAGCATCGAGTATTCTTCCAAGTATTCTATATTCCAGTTTTGCAATAACCTATCTAATTATGTGGGTGTTGTTATTTGCCTGTTTTACAGGTAAAGGATTTGAGGCAAAGAAACATAGTTAGCAGGAGACAGAGCTAAAGTTTGAGTCCAGAATTGTGACTTAAGAGCTATGTCTGGATGTCTGTGGTATGTGTGCAGGTACCAGGAAGAGTTAGGCTCATGGATAGTTATTAAGAGTCAAAATAAAATCACTTCATGATTACATTTGGGGAGTTCTGTTTGTTCTACATAAACCAACAACAGTAATCAGTTTTGGCTCATTTCAGAAAAAATAAATTTATGAGCGGGGATTATATAGTTAACAGAATCAAAGGAAGAACTGTTAATCAGATTTTGGATAGCACAACATAATTCCAGGGACGTAGAAGGTAAAAAGTAAAGAAAATCCTCAGTGAGACCTGGACATCGGATATTTAATCTGTTGGCTACCTTGACTCATTCTGCTCAAGATTCAGATTCCAGGGGAAAAGGTAAGACTGGCCTGTCTGGGCCCTTGTACCCACTCTTCACCCAGAGGGGTTTGGGAGCAGTTCATAATGATTGAGAATTGTGTAGAGATCGTATAACACAGCAAGGGGGTGGTTCTTCAAAGGAAAATGGGAACATTTAGCACAAGAAGGGAGAAGGATTCTGGGGAGGCAAAAACTAGTAGTTACCCTTTAACACCCGCAGCTCACACTCATAGAGGATTTACTGCCTGATTTTCTGTACCTCATTTCATTTATGAAACAAGGGCATTCACGTAAATAATATGGGCTCAAATTAAAATTTCTTTCCTCCTGTGCCCCTGCTGGGACTCAGCTCTGCCTCTGAGCACCTTGTGAGCACTGCAGAAGACTAAGTACATTCATTGATGCTTCCCATCTCGATTAGCACCTTTCCCTCCTAGTAGAATCTGATTGAGTTTTGTCATGAAGTATGAGCTTTCAGTACCATCCAAGTATGAGAGTATTCTCATGAATGTCAAAAGTTCTCATGAATTCTAGAAGAATCTGAATGAAGGAAACATTAATGAAGCAGGTTTGATAAAATAATGAGACTGACAGTCAGACTGTAGAAGAAAATAAAGAGGCAAGTGCTGAGAAAATTATAAGGAAATGAAGGTCTAAATTGATACGAAGGAGAAAAATACTGTTATCGTGGAAGACTGGGAAATTGCATCTTTAGTTTCTCTGCAAAGGAGGAATTGAAATGAATTACTGCTTTCCTGGCATATACTCTGTTTCCATCAAAATACCAACCACCACCACCTCTCCAACATCACCCCCAGAAACTTTTCAATGAAATGAGTGTGAGGATCAAAAAGTTAGCACTAAAATACCAAACTGATGGATTCTTGAAGTAGATAATCTGCCTACATGGCAGATTTAATTCTTAAAAAAGCAAGCCTCTATCTATGATATCGGCCTTGATAATCAAAGTTATTGCTAATATAATTTTTACAAAAGCCTGTTTTTAATTAAAACAATTGAAGTTACTGCCAATACAAAGGAGACATCACGAACTTAAAGACGTTATGGTCTGGCTCTCTAATCCTTATCCATTGGCCTCTGGATTGTGTGGAATATTTTATATGAGGAAGCAGAATCTTTTTTGTTCTTTTGTTTCCTTTCCTTGGAAAGAGTTTCTGTTTTTGCCCCTAGCCCTGCTCTCTCTAATTTATTACTCTTGTTGCCTTAAGAACCCTTCACCTGATGCTCACCCTGCATTTGCTCTGCCTGTGCATGGTGTCTTTGGCTCTGGCCTAACCCGGCACTGCTGGTGTTGCTACTTCTGCGTGGTCCAGCTCTCACTCCCCTCTCCTTGTTCCAGTGCCTCCCAGCAAGAGTCAAAGACACGGACCTGACAATGAATATACCATGTACCATGTGACCTCATCTCTTATTCTTTCATCCTTATTCCTTTCCAGCCACACCAGCCTCTTTTTTTGTCTCTCCAGTAGGGCACTTACTGTCCTGCTGCTAGGTTTTTGTTCTTGATGTGCCATCTGCCTAGATCACTCTTTCCACACACGTGCACTTACTCAAATTCCTTCCATCGTCAGGTCTTCCATCTTAGTTGGACCTTCCTGTCCATCATAGCTCTTCATATTCCCCTTCCCTATTTACTGTTCTTCTCCTTAGCAGATATCATTTTCTAATACTCGTAATGTGTGTTATTTTGTTTTTCCTCTCCTAGCAAGCTATTGAGAGGACTCCCACTAGAAAGTTCCAAAAGAGAAAGGATATTTGTCTTGTTTATTCACTGCTATGTCCCTCATGCCTACAATAATACCTGGCATTCAAGAGATATTTATAAATGGAATGCATGCTGGTAGATGCTGTTTGGACAGGTAATGTCAGTGGGGGGAGGTTGCTAGAATAAGAGAAGGTGAAGCCAAACCAGAGCACCAGGAGAAATTAGGTTGAGAATATCTAGGCTCTATTAAATACTTATAGTAGTTTCATTGTGTTAGTAAATAGTATAGCAAAATTGATCCATTAATTCTACTTTCAGGAGTTTACTTCGTAAATCTATTTTTATATAGGATATAGGATAATGTATGATTTGTAATAGCAAGATAGGAAATGCACTTAACTTTCTACCAGCTTAGTAAATTATAGTATATTCGCACAATGGGATACTATTTAGTTATCAAAATGGACTGAAGAATGAGGGAGTTGTTTATATACTGCTAAACAATGAGTTTAGTGACATGCTTCAATGAAAATAAGTAAAGTATAGCAAAACTGTAAAAAGGTAGGAAATATATATTCACATTTACCTTGGTGCATTAAATATACCTGTAAAATGTATAATGATGTTGGTCACTTCTGTAGAGGGATGCTGAGTAGTAGAGGTACACTAAAAAGCTAATGAAGATAGAGGAGAGAGAAAGCTGGCATTATATATATATATACACTTAAAATTTTCAACTATGCGAATGTATCTCCTACTCAGAAAAAAAAAAAAAAAAAAAAGGAAAATGGGCCCTCTCTGGGCATAGCAGGTTAAAGCACAGCACTAAGAAGCTAAAGCCACTTACACATGAGTTTGATCCTTGCCCCAGAGGTCACCGACATGACGCAGCAGACCTCTCTTGACCAGACTTCAGCTTCCCTCAGCAGTGTACTTCGTCAGTTGGCTCCCTCCTCTGTTTCTGGTGCATCCTCTCACCACTCCTGCACCCCTGGCCTGTGCCGCAGTTTTGTATGCATAAATAAATAAATCTTAAAAAAAAAACTGAAAAATTACACATAAGTAAAAACAGTATGTGCTTTTGAAGTTAACTTAA